ATCCTTGAAGCGCGTTCTTACACTCCTACAACGCACACACCAAGAACGCGCGCGCACTTTGACCTCATTTTCCCAGAGCTGAACTGCTGAACGGCTCTACGGCTGTGTGGGTGCGTGTCTGTGTGTGTTTATTTCCTTTTGACGTGCCCCATAATGATTTAAGCGTGTTAGTGTGTTTGAGAACACACACACACGCATGCACAGGAAATGAATTAAATCAATAAATTGGGATAGTAACAAGTGAAGTGTGTGCAATTGTTGAATATTGTGTGAACTCTAATTAAATCATTTAGCCAGTTCATAAATATATAAACAGGCGCCCTATCAATCGAATTATTGCGGTTAAAAAGTCAAATGCAAATAATAATTTTTATTGCTTAACATGCTAATTTTGTAGCTTATGAAAAAATAAATACGAGTATGCGTAAACAAAGCAAAAAATATTTCAACAAATATTGTGCAAATATAGTATATTCCTTGAATATTATGAAAAGAGATAATAATGTGCAGCAATAAAACAGAAAATATTTGTAGTGAAATCTGTTTTTTTTATGAAATGCAAATTTAACATACAAAGAAATAAGTGCAAGCATTAATGTTCAACCAATTTAATGCAAATATATGGAATTTTGACGTGCAATAAATATTATCGAGCTAAATATAAAATTTAATGACCATATACCATTTAAAAAAAGAATAAAACCCTCATAAATAACAGAATCAGAGCAATGAAAATATTTTGTTAACTTCGAAGGCATTCCTAATACTCCGAATTTGATCTGAACCTGCGGGCTGAGCGGAATGCCCCAATTATGAGATTCGAGCGGAAACTGCCACAAGTTGCAGTTGTCCATAGGGTAAGGCTTCGTTTACAACTATTTTAAATACGCATTTGCAAATCCGAACACCCAAATAACGCAATAATTCAGAGCAATTGCAATGCAGAGCACGTGTCTGACATTAAAGTGCTCGCAGAATTTGCATAATTTCCAAGCTGAAGTCTAAATGCAGCAGCCCTAGAGGTTGCCGTGAACTTCAGGCGTCGACGTCGACTTCAACGTGCTGTCAAAATAAAATTGCGAATAAACAAACACTTCATTACAATACGAAACATTGCAACCAAATTAAACCATAATTGTTTTTGAATAATAATAATAACAACAACAGGAACCGCAACGAGTAAACAATTATCCATAATGCATGGGCGGTCTGGCAAACAGCCAACTTAACCCATTAGTGGGCGCTTCAGTTTTGACACATTTAAACAAACATTTCCAAACATTAATTAATCCAGGGTGCTGTTATGAAATCCTTTGTGTGTTGCGTTATTCTTATAGCAATAGTAGTCTGGTATTTATAAAAAGGGGCTCCTTAAAAGTTCCTGCATAAACCTGCTTGCATTTAGGCGATTGAATTTTTGCTTTCATCTGTTCTTTGACATTCGATTACAAATACTGGAATGTTGCTGCTTAAATATTTCTTTGTTCTACACTTATTGACAAAAAAGTATCAAAAAGACGCTCTACAAATTTATAGAAACCAACGTTAATTGACTTTAATCGACAAGCAATGATTCAATATAAAATTGCATGGAAGCATAACTGTATATATACAAGTATTTTACAAAATTTATTTCAAATCATATCAGCTATAGAAGAGTTCAGCCTAAGAAGAGTTAAACTTTAGAAAAGTCAGCTCAATTGACGGAAATTTCACCCATTTTTAAAACTTCCCTAAAAATGCAGCAAAATGAAGAAAGCGAGCATTGTGTATATTTTCGAGTATTAGTGCATAGTGCTTATTTTTGCATATTAGTTTCCATTCCCTAATAATAAGCTGAACGCATATCAAATAAGTTAAATTCATTCTTTAATAATATTTTCATCCAGCTATAGTCCTGATTTTGAGCAAATAGAAATGAAATGCAACGTGAAATTACAGAAGGCCATTATTGGGTTAAAGAAGCGAGCGAGTTTCATTTAATATTCCACAAGCGCAATATGTATTAACATGTCTGCTGCTGAGTAAGATGGTACAACAAGTGTGCCTGTTTGTATGTGTGTTTCTGTCACAGTTCCAATGGCAATGCACATAAACTTTTGCAAATTCAAACACTTATAGCTTAATTTAATAGTTGGCGGGCGGTTTCTCTGGCTCTGCCACTAAATCATTTTTAAGTGCTTGGAAATAATTTAATTTGCTAGTGCAAAGTGTTCACACAAATCTTAGTTTCGTATACGAGTACATATGAAATTTGTGCATGAGTCGCGTCAAGTAACAACAGTGTAGTGTGGATGTGTAGTGAGGTGGCGTGGTATGGGTGTGTGTGTTTATGTGTGTGTATGGGTGAAGGCGAAATGCCTGGAGCGCTTTGTCGCTATGTCTTGGAGCCGCCCAAGCAGTTTGCAGCTGGCTCTATGCGCTCATTCACGCATCATGACTTCTATTATAGTGCAAACACACATACACACATACACGCATACACCCACACACACACACACACACACACACACGTGTATGCATGTACTTATGTATATCACACTTGCCGAGCACAGCCGTGACGCCATTGCTTAAAGCAACAAGAGCAGAACAGCTGGAGCGAAGGCAAAGGCAATGGCAAATGGCGTCGCCCCGTCGTCGTCACTTAATATACAAATTTCAGTAAATATTTATACACACAAGCACACACACACACATGCACACGCACACGCACACTCGTTTGCGATACTGCGAATATAACTTCGACGACTTTGACAACGATGTACAGCAATTTGCAAACCCGCTGCAGTCGCTCAGCTGTCATCCTACTCGTAGTGCCAAGTGCAAAGGCAACCAGAGACACAATCCTGCTTCTTAAACAGACAAGTCCTTGCCCCCGCTCCTGCCGCCATCTTCCGCTGCCGGCAACAATTCATTCAATTTCATGCAATCAAGTTATTTTAATTCATTACGTTCACGCGGCCCACACTTGGTAGAAAGAGAAGGCGGTCGCATAACAATACACACGTATCTACACATACTCGTATATGTATTTGTTTACGTACACCCCCATGCAAGCTCAAGACCCCAAGACCATCTTGACAAGTGCATGTGCATTTTGCCTTCTGACGCCTGACATTTCACACAAACGTTGGCCTGCGTGAATGAAACTTTCTTCAGATGTTTATGCGATGCACGCTATTTAAATTTGTAAATCGTGAAATCCAAAATGTAATAAAATCTTTAAAAAGTATATTATATTAAAGAATAGCTTAAGTTTTAAGTTCTTCAGTTGTAGAATCTTTTTGCGATCATCACACATTTTTCGTTTCCTCAACTTATGTTAACCCTTAGGCTATCTTAGGCTTATGAAAATTTATACGATCCGAGGTGCTCGCCTGTGTCCTTATCTCTTGTTTTATTTTCAGTAGAAATAAATATTTTATAAATATCTATGTGATAACTAAAGGGCATTGTGATTACATTTCGGGACTATTATTTTCTTTAGTTCCTTTGTAAAATTACATTTATAGGCTGTAATGAATTAATGTTATTTTCGTTTAAAGAATATTTATCTTCTAAAAATATATTATTTACAAAAAAGCTTATAATATTGATATAAAACGAACCACATGATATTTACATCAATTTTTGGTTTTAAATGTCTCAAGAATTTGCCAACTACAAGTAAATATCCATCATGGTGTATTCTCCATCATTCAATTCCAAAACACAGAAAGTAGCTGAAAGTAGTGTTAGAATTTTAATGGCCTCAAATCAACGTTTTTAATAATGTTTAATTTCTTAGCAATGCTTAATAATATATGTTTATTTTAAAAATGTATATCGGATAAATAAAATTAAATAATTAATTAATTAAATTACAAAATCATCAATCTCAATACATTAGTTCTGCAGTCCAAAAACAATTTTCGTACAGAAACAGAAAAAATAATGAGTAAAACGTAAAAGTCCCCCATCCCTGCTCTTGTATACTCTATAAGCCTCCCATTTGAACTAAAATAAATAAGACATTAAATTAAAATCATAAAAAGCTGATTTCCGCATGGAATATACAGAACTTTATATGTATCAGGTTTGGATTCCCCAGCTGTTACGGCTTCAAAGTTCTAAAAGTACAAACGCACGAACTGCGAACCGATTCGTCTTTTCATTCTCATGATCATGTATGTTCTGATTGTTCAAATAAGTACAGTACAGTCTTCAACGCTTCGGCTACAGGTTGTAACAATTCCTCAAATTTAGGGACATGTCAAGACTTTGCAAGCTTTAAACAAAGAGCATTAAAATTAATTAAAGACTTAAATTTTTTAGACGTACAGAAATCAGTAATACAATTAACGCTACACAATTCGTTAAATTAATATACCTACCAAATTATCATTTTCTTTCGCATTTTCTGATTCCAACAAATATTGAATACTGTTAAGATATATATATACGTATACTTAATACTTGATCGTTTATTGCAGCGTACGAGTATCATGGCAATTTTGAGAAACCAAATTCGCACTTCATGAGCTTCGTATGAACTAAGTACTGCTTGCATATCCATGTAGTTAGTTGTATGTGTCTATATAGCATAGTACAACATACACACGCATATTCGCGCATGACTATCAAAATGTCAGACATCTGTCATTTAATTTAATTTGACTTCACTTGCTTTCATTTGCTCGCTTGCCTTTCTTTTTTTGTCGCGTTCAAGGCGTCGTCGCTGGCACATAACGTGTAATTTGGTGGGGGAAGGGTGCCTTGGGGCTGTTGTTGTTGTAGTTGGGCAACACACGCGCACGTATAATTTAAAACGCGTCACACACACAAGCAACCGCTCATGCATGAGGAAAGAGAAAACTTTTTGTTTTGCATAAGTAAATTTATTTACGATCCTTTGTATGCTCCGGTAATAAATATGTGTTATTCTAAACGCTTAGACTAAGAAGGAAACTTAACGGTTTGCTAAGGTACTAGAATATGATCTAACTTTAAACTAAGGCAACTCAAGCTGTTGGGCTCCGCTTTTCGAGAAGTTGCAACTGCTTGTGGCGATGCCGCAGCTGACGCTTCAAATCCCTCCTGAACTGCGTTTCGCGATTGAGCGCCTGCAGGTCCTCATAGCTACATGTGGCCATGCTTTGCTTTATCTGGGCTATAAGCTTGTCGGTCAGCTGAAGCTTGGTCTTTGAGATGCGCACATAATGTGTCCTCCGACGTCGCAGCTCCGAGCAATGCAGGTACAGTGCATAGGCGGTATTTTTCGCTGGCGTAGATGCTTCTACTGATCTTTCCATATCGACGTCTGATTGTCAACTGTAGTATGGGCAGCAGGAGATGCCACTTTTATACTTGCGACATGGTAAAGGGCTAACGGTCTAACGGTATGAAGTGTGCCTCAAATGCGGTCCTACCTGCTTATCTACCGAGTACCGAGCGTGCGCCACCGGCACGATTTTTCATGCTAATCCTTCTGGGCACATTTACCTGTCCCATGAATTATAGCTGTGCGGCCCTAGTGCGACATACTGTGGCTTAAGTCTAGTCAAGACTTTAGTGTGACCTGAACATATTGTATATCTGGCCAAAATTTCAGCCCGGCTAACTAAAATACCTGTTGAAAAGAAATTGAAGGTTGAAACAGGTAATAGTGTTCAAAGTTTTGAAATGTTAGTGCTATGTATATGCTTTGGTGTTACACATGAAGGAAATCCATCCACGAAGCGGCTTTCGTTAACCATTTTATGTAAGCATCTGGAATTCTAAACTAACAAAATGAAGGTTTTTAGCAACAATCACATCAAACTAATCACCTTAGCCATTTTTTCTCAAACCAAATACATTTACTTATATTAAGCTGTTTCTACATGATTTTATATAATCATCGGGTCATACTGACCCAGGATATAACATTTTTGGAATCTTCAATTATCCCTTTCTGTGTTACATACATTCGAACCGAACTTAATATATTCATGTGAAACATAATATTAATATCAGCTTTGTAATGAACTGGAAATTAAATTTTCCACCACTATTCCAACATTTGACAGCTTGTCCGCAAAGACCAATGATTTTAAATATCCCAAAGAATGTTTTTATCCCCTTATTCGTTCTCCTAATATCAGACTAAGTTGGTCGCATTGTACAGCTGGGAAGCGCCGCTCAAACATTATGTATGTTTGCTATTTTGAAAAACTTTTTATTTTTATGCTAAAGTTGAACTCATTCTTAACAATTTAAGAGTTTTTGAAAGATTCAACGTAATAGTAAATTGCAGGCAATTTTTTTCAGATTTTGAATAGAATTCTATGTGTTTATTTTTGGCCCACTGTATGGCAGCTTGACTTAAGCGCTTGTGTTATCTTTGGCCTGTTTTCCGGACCAGCGAGTTTGTGGATGGCAGCTAAAAAGGGCGAAAAGGGACAAAAGTAGAATTCCGCAGCCATGGGCAACATTTTGAGCATCGCCATGTGTTACGTGTTGCAATATTAATGCATTTTTGGGCAAATCCTGTGCATATGCATGAAGACCGTCTGAATGAAGGTGCTGGCTTCCGACACCGAAGCGCGCATTCTCAATGCGCTGCGCGTAAAGTTGAGCAAACTTTTGTGCTTGGCTGACCCAAAAATCAGCAACGGCATCGGCATCGCCATCGACATCACTCGCATCGACGCCATCAATGACGAAACTAACTTTAGCGAGCATGCAATGCAACTTTCGAGCAGCTCCGGCGCCCACGTTCTCAGTCAAGCCATCGCTATAGCCATCATCGTCGACGCTGGCATGCATGAATAGCTTTGCAAGCTGTGCCGCCATATCCTTGACACAAACGAGCAGACTTTAATGCTCCTTTGAGGTTTATTAATTTGCATGAAGTTTTGGACCGTTCATCATTTTTCATTCGTCTCGCAAAGTTGCCACTCGCATCATATTTTGGTCGCAATTAAAAATTGCTTATAACCGGAAATGTCAAGATGGTCAACCAATCCGATCGTTATGCAAAGCGGATAGAAAGTTTCGGTTGAAAAACTTAATTTCCTATTTCCCTTACTGTTTGACACATGAACTCCTGCAGCAAGCATGCCTCAAAAGTCAATCCCCGCCCCCACGTTAGCCCCCCAAGTCTTTTAGTGTAAACTGTGCGCATCATTATTTGTGAATTTTTGACACTTTTTCATGCTTCTATGATGTTGTTGCTTGCCGCTCTCGTTTCTCTAGTTGCCGAGCAACTTGTAAATCAACTCAAGCACACGCACACACGCCTGTCCTCTATTTGGTATGTGTACATACTCGTTTGTATGTACAAGTATATGTGTGCATTGCCGAGTGTGTGTATGTGTGGCACATTTCCGGCGGAAGCGTAAGCACAAAAGTTCGTTAAATGCCACGGCTCTGGCCCAAGAAATGCAACGTCGCTTCATTTTCAGCCAGACATTGACTGATGATGATGAGCATGATGATATAAATGGGATTTTAGTGCGCCATGACAATAGTAAACTACTTGCGGCATCACCCACTCTCACGACACACCCGCCGACACATCATAAGTTGTGATAGCGATTGCCGTCTTGACATCCAAGTAAATTACTTGCGGGTATTTATGGAGCAACAATTACAAGAAAACAAGAATTCCTTCTCAGTTTTTGCTGCATACTTCTGAGGGCCACACGGAATTAAGATGTATTTTCACGTACAGATTACGCAATTCTGTTTAACCTCCTTCCGTGTAATGGATGTATATTACATAAAATTGAGTATTATTGAGTCATTCGTTTACCAATTTTGTTTATAACATGTTTGACATCGAGCCTAATAAAGATGGCATTGAAATCAGAAACATTTTTTTTTTTTTTTTTTTTTTTTTTTTTTTTTTTTTTTTTTTTATACATATATACAATTTATTAAACTAGTTTTCTACTACCAATATGGCAACTTAAGCTAGTTGAAAGTTAGGGAATACAAAAGTTGTCTATAGTAAGCATCTATAGGACGCACTTATATCTATGTACATATATACAATATTTACAATGTTTTACATGAAAAATGATTATATTTTATGATATATACTATGTATTTTATACAAGGGCTCTTGTGGGGAGATCCTTTGGATGGCACTTCTTCAGTCTTCTCTTCTTAGGTTTGGACAGGAGCCGCCTCGCTAGTGCGTTGGGGTGACTGCCGAGTCGCTTCTCGTAATTGCTTGCGTGCATTTGAATGACATCGCCAACCTTGGGGACACATAAGTCTCTTTCGATGTCCCTAGTGCGCATATACCAGGGAGCGTTGCATATTTTTCTGAGTATTTTAGCTTGCGCAACTCTTATTTTGTTTAGGTTTGAAGCAGCGGCAATGCCATAAATTGGTAGCGCATACTTCCATATTGGACTTAATATGGACTTATATACTGTCACCTTACTGTGCAGGGACAGCTTGTTGCATGGTGCAAGCAGCCATGCCATCTTTCCGGCTTTCGCCATGACCGATCGCTTGACCATTGTTGTATGCTTGCTGAAGTTGAGTCTTCTGTCCAGAATTACACCAAGATATTTGTGCGAATTTGTATGACTGAGCGTGGACCCCAACATTGTGATATCTCCGCATGACGACGGCCTTGTTGTAAATGTGACATTCGCACACTTGCTGGCGTTGATACCAATGTTCCAATTCAGAGCCCACTTCTCGAAACTACTTACATACTGCTGTAAGGCTTCCGAAGCTACATCGATATCTCTGCTTCTGGTAAGCACCGCAGTGTCGTCTGCGTAAGTAGCTATTAGTGCGTCATCCTCGTCTACTCCAATGATCTCTTGCGGTGCAGGCATATCAGCAGTAAATAATGTATACAGGGTAGGACCGAGAACACTGCCTTGGGGCACCCCTGCACAAATTGAGCGCCTCGTGGATTTCACTCCATCAACAGCAACTCTGAAGCTTCTGTCCCTTAGAAAGCTTTCGATGAGTTGAAACAATTGAGGAGTTAGCATGCCTTTCAATTTGCAGAGGAGACCATCATGCCACACTCTATCAAAAGCTTGTTTAATATCCATAAACACAGCCACTGAGTACATCTTTTGCTCCATGGCTTCCAGGGCGAAGTTGACCACACGGTGGAGCTGTTCCGGTGTTCCGTGACTTCTTCGAAAACCAAATTGCCATTTTGGAATTCTGCGCGTCACGGCTTCGAGCTGGAGAATCCGGTCCAGAATCACGCGTTCCATCATCTTCCCGAGGGCAGGTAGCAGACTAATCGGCCTATATCCATCTACTTCAGTATGCTGTTTCTCTGGCTTTGGAATCATGGTAATTAGGGCCATTTTCCAGCAGTTTGGAAAGTGCCTCAACCTGAGTATGTTATTCATGAGCAAGACAATATACAGCAGAGCCCTTGTGGGGAGCAGTTTCAGCGTCCTGTTGTCTAAAAGGTCTTCTCCAGGCGCTTTTTTTACCTTTAGATTTTTTATCTGCTGTACCACTTCTTGAAGTGTAACTGGGCTTGCAGGCAAGGCCATTTGGAATGGCATCTCCAGCCTAAGCTCGACTACCCTTCGCCTATCTGCTGTTGTAAAGTCAAAAGGCTTAAATCTTTCCTCTAGGCTGTTTGCAAAGATTTCAGCTTTCTGCTGACTGGAGTAGCTCCATCCACCTGTAGGATCCTTAATTGGAGTCTTAGGGATGACCAGCCTCTTAAATCGCCTCGTAAGCTTCCAGAGCGAGTAATTAAATGATGCATCTGGACCAGCACTTTCCAATATGTCATCAATTCTGCCTTGTCTGATTTTAGCAAGCTCTTTTTGCAGTCGATTGGACAGTCTTTTGTAGATTTGATGAATGCGAGTATCTCCAGTTCTTGCATATTCTTTCCTGACTCTTCTTTTCAGGCTTAAGAGCGCAGCAGCCGTTGGTGGTAGACTAGCTTGACTATGTTGGGTTGGCAAGCGTAAAGTTTTCGGTGCAGCAGAAGACGCAGCCAGTGAAATGTTCTTCATGAGGATTGATATCTCGTCTTCGATATCCTCTGGGCTGTTAATTTCGACGTTCAGGTTAATTCTTCTTTCGAGATCGGCTTTAAAAACATCAATACGGGAGCCAGGTGGTAGAATATATTCCCTCTTGGGATTATATTGCGGTGCATGATGTAGCGTCGCTACTACTGGAAGGTGATCCGATGCGAGCTCATATTTTGTTTCAACGGTGAGTCTGTTTAGGGCAATCCTGTTGACAATAAAGAAGTCTAGTGCAGAGGGGTTAAGCCGTGTGTTGTAAGAGTAGAAAGTTGGCTCTCCAGTAGCAAGAACTTGGCAAGTAGTACTAGCTATGGCCTCTTGCAAACACCTTCCTCGCCTGCAAGATCTGGAATTACCCCACCATTGGTGTTTTGCATTAAAATCACCGCCTACAATAAACTTATCTCCTAAGGTTGCAAGCAATAGATCAAAGTCGGCCCTGCACCAAGCTTCATTGGGAGGAAGATATAGGGAGGAGACTTTGATGCTTCCACCATTCGTCGGTATAGTTACGCTGGCCGCTTGGATGCTTGTTTTTAGAATTGGCTCATTCTGTGAATGAGCGATACTTGATCTAATGATGACTGCAGAACCACTTTTAGCGGTGCCACTAGGATGATTAGCGTAGTACTGGTCGTATCCTGGCAAATATGCGTTCAAGCCAGGACGCATATGCGTTTCGGTTATTAACATGATATCGATCGAGTTTGAACTTAGGAAAAGCCTGAGTTCATCATTGTTTTTGACCAGGCCCCGTGCGTTCCATAATCCGATTTTTAACAGCGGATTTAACATTTGGATATTAGTTTTTGTACCAAGTCACGGAAGGCTCTATTGGAATCCATATTTTCCTGTATGAGCTTATACATTTGATCCATTCTTGCGTTTAGATCTAAAATCGCCTTTTCCAGCATACTAAATTTGTTGTTTAGATGCCAATCTTCGGCGGAACTGTGTGATCGGGGCGAGTTTTGGTTTGTTGGCGCGCTGGTACGTTTTTCTCCAATTGGCCTAGCTGCATCAGCATAAGAGAAGCCACTCTTAACAGTAGAGTTTGAGATAAACTGTACTTTAGTGCCTTGGTTATTTGGGTAACTCCTATTGCTACCGATAACTAGTCCATCTTTCGGCAACCTCACAGCTGGCTTAAGTTTTTTGGCTAGATCAATTCTTACCTTGCAGCCTCTGAAGCTCGACATGTGGTCTTCGCCGCAATTAGCGCATATAAATTCCCCATTATCATTCAGGTTACATGATTTTGAGCCAGTATCATGGTCCCCCGAGCATTTACCGCAAACCGGCTTTTTAAGGCAATAGTTCCTCGTGTGCCCGAAATCTTGGCATCTGAAGCATTGTACCAGCTCTTTACTCTGTTTGGCCTTTGATATTGTAACCCTGTGTCTACCAATTTGAGTTATTTTTAGTGCCTCAGCAACGTTGGGTGCGTTCTGGAGGTTAACGTAAAACATATTTTGTCTTGTTTTGACATTATTTATGTCTTCACCATCCTCCTCATTAATTTGAATGTTACGCCAGTCCGGTTTTCTGGGGCAATATATATTCAAAACTGTAAAGCCCTTGTCGGTAAAGGTGCGCTCTATTAATTGCCTGGGTACATTGGGATGAATATCTCTGAGCACCAATCTGCAGGGTTTGTTCTCCTTCAACTGGTGGTGCCAGAATTGACAATTTTGATTGGACAATAATTTGATTATTGCACGAAACGCATTCGAATTCTTCGTATAAATACGCGAGATCCCAGATTTCGATGTGCGTATGTCGTAATCGTTAGGGGAGACAGCAGAATTGAGCGCCACCTCCAGTTTATCCAATTTGTTGACTTGTGGCACACATATAGCAGGAGGCTTAGGAATACTACTTCCCTGCTGGAAACGGCTGGTTTCATTTTGCTGGCTCGATGGATCTTCGGAATCTGGCTCTTCCATTTCCATAATGGAATCAGCTTCTTCCAAAAGGGCTGCAAATCTATTATTTTGAAGCGCTGGCGGAGAGGAGGACGCAGTTCGTTGTCCCTGGGTTGTATTGACAGGAGTTGGCTTATTTTTTTGAGCCGATTTTAGTGACTCGACGGCTCCTTTCCGCTTCCTATTAATACCGGGTACTGGCATTTGAAACGAGCAAAATTTGTCCAGAGTTGGATTTGCAACTAAGTTTGTGATTGAAGCCGGTGTACTCACAACGGCGGGTGTGGAGCACAAACTGCCATTTGATGTCGCTACTGTAGTATACATTGATTGAGAGTTCACCACAGAAAATGTTAGGGTACTTGTAGTCGATGTACAAGTGGTTGAGGCAATCCAGTTACTGGTTGAGATTGACGGCTTTAAGTATGGTTTTCCCATTGACATATGCAAGTCCTTGGTTATTTTTGCTCTCAGCTCCGAAGGTGATTTACCAGAAATTTTTCTCATCTCCACGTACTTCGGCAGCTTATTGACTACTTCCTCAGCTGCTCCGAGAGCGGCCGAGTCTTCATCAGCATTCATTTACGTGAGATAAGATGACTTGCAAAACAAGCAAAGAAGAAAAATTCTGGGCTGTCTCTGCTCCGATGACGTGTATACGTCAGCAGAGCAGCCCCATACAGCAGATTAATTGTTGATTGGAATCCAAGAAAATAAGGATACTAAACGATTGCCAAAAAGCCAAGGTGAAACTAGGTTTCCGGGTGGTTTTTTTTTTTTTTAACGCACTATACGCGAAATAATTGAAAAAGAGGAATTTATTACAATTTTTCACGGAGCGCACAATAAAAAGTCGACTAGTCACTTTGAAAAAAAAAAAAAAAAAAATCAGAAACATGAATAAATTTGGCTCAAATAATATGCCATATGTCAGTCTGTTTGGGCTTCAACTAAGTTTTTGCGGTTTCTACGTAATTCATTTTCAATACGGTTTCAGTAATTAAATTGATATTAAATTTATTGACATGTATAAAATTGCTTAGAAATATTCTGTAATTTGTCATCCAAAACTAAAAGATTAACAGCGACCAGTTGTTGTTTCACCAATATGCGTCTGTACTCTAATTTAAATGAGTGAACAATGACTTAGCCTAGAGTTTACATTAGAGTAGTTGTAATTGGTGGAAAATTTTCTTCTGCAGCCTTCTACAGCGTGCCTTGTTACATTTTCAATAAAGAACCATATTTTTTGATTTCACGATTTATTTCTCTTATTTTTATAATTTAACAATTAATTATGTACGTATTCACTGAAGAACAAAAGCAAGGATCAAATCAATAATCGGTAGTACAAGCAAGAGTGAACGCTACAGTCGAGCGGGCCGCCAGTGAAATACCCTGTACCCAGGTATCCGGCCCTGACGTATATGCTCCCATAACAGAAGCAAAAGGAAGAAGAAGAGCGAACTTAATGCTGCAGCTTTTAGGCGTAGTACCGGAGAAAAATGGTTTCGCTATTAACTTTTCTTAGAATAAACCAATTTAGATGAAATTTGAAACAAAAGTAGATAATTATATATAAATTATGTGTACAATGTTTGATTTCTGTAGGTTTAAAAATGTGGACGGTGGATGGTATTGAAATTCTGCAGCGGGGAAAGGGGGGGGAAATTAAAAAAAATAAAATAAACTCGCCCGTTCTCGGACCTAGGTGAATCTGAATACCGACTTTGGTTATTCCAGCTTTTACAGTTTCTGAGATCTTTGCGTTCATCCAGACAGACGGACGGACAGACCGACGGATGGTGCAGCTAAACTATTTAATATTCATCAAATTGCTGCCTATATGAAGCGCTTAAGTAAAATGGCGGTTAATTTGGATGCACCAAACGTAATTATTTTCATACGAAATTAATGCTGCCAAAGACAAATTTCATGCAGATATCTTGCGGATGCAGCTAAGTAGCGGGGCAGCTAAGCAAATTATACACTACTAACTGGTGTGACAGGTAGAAGGGACCGGCTGCGGGCGGCCTAAAACAGACTACAACAAAAAATCTGTCCCGCGAAGGCTCTCGTGATGCGCTTCGACGCTTGACTTATGTTCAGAATCGGGTTGCCGCTTTCGCCATAACACTGCAGTTGGACATTTAACAATATATAAGGAATTAATATATAAAAAAAAGAAATAATACTTTATGCGATGAGTACTTACTCAAGAACGAAAACACATTGTGGGATTCCTGCTAACTCTTTAAGATTGTTTCTTGACTTTGTGTTCTTTGTTACAAAAAAATATTTTAATACTAGTTTGGGATAAAAAAATAAATAAATATAAATATATATGTATCGCAGTCCCTAAAATAACTATTATAAATATACCTGTATGTTCTTTTCTTTGTTATTTACAGTAACAAATCAAGAATGGAGCTGCGCCTGCTGCTCCTTCTGCTGTCGCTCCTCTGCTGCCTCCAGGATGGCCTTGTTAGAGGTCTGAGCATTGCTAACAACTCGATCGGAGTGGTCCAAAGTGATGCTAGTGCCAGCAATGCCAATCTTATGAGTGGCAATATGCCTGTCCTAGGCATCGGGGCCAGCAATAGCGGCAGCAATAGCAGCGTCAATAGTGGTGCTGGTCTGGGCGTTGGAGGCGGGGCCACCAACGTTCTTGGCCAATCACTTGGGGATCTTGGCGGCGGTAGCGCAGGCGCATCGTCGGTGGGCACAAGTGCTGGTAGTGCCAGTGGGAATAACTCCGCTATGGTGCAAGCGCCTAAGGAAAAGCTGTACGAGAAGTGCACGGGCCCTGGCGATCCCGGCCCCTGTAAGCAATATATATACAAATGGCGCTACGAGTCAACCACCAATGAATGCGCCACCTTTATTTGGGGGGGATGCGATGGTAACCCACATAATCGCTTCAGCACAGAGGCTGAGTGTCTCTTCCATTGCATTGGCGGACCACGTAAGTAGGCAATATATTTCGTAATGAGTTTATTAATTTGAATATCCGTATTTAAATAGAAATGAATAAAAAACAAAAAGAATGCCAAGCGCTAATAAAATATAAATTAAAAAGAAAGTTCACACATACATAGGTATTTCTTTTTGAAATGTTCAGAATTAAGTATCTGCCAGTCTCATGTTGCAAAACAAACAAACGTAAGAATAAAATGTTAAAAAGACAAATTAATTGCATTTACTACAATTATTTATTTATTATTTATCAAATAAGATAAAATTGTTGAATCGGAAAAACGAAAAGGTGAAAAAATGGCATTTGTGGTCGCATGGTTTTCTGATGACCTGCATGGGAAAATTTCTGGCACTCAAATTAAAATAATTAGAACTTACTTGAATTAAATTATATCTGAGAATTTTACCATCATTACTATATAACAAATAAACTAAAAAACCTTTCAAATAACAAACATTTCACTTCGTGCTACTATTTCATTCTTATTTTTCTCTCACTTAGACACGTTACCACCTTTTCTGCAATCTACAACCCGCGAGCCGAGCACCACGGAAAGTTCTCCCTACGCCAACCCCTATACTCCCAGCAGCGCGTTGGGAGGTGCGGATGTAGGTGGTGCAGGAGGTGGCGGAGCGGGAAACGAGGGCACCACACCGGTGCCCATCGACCAGCGCGGCCCTGAGCTGACGTTCGCCGAGACTGGGCAGGAGAAGACTTTCGTTTTCGCCAAAAATAACACGTTTATTCAAATGGACGGCGACATCATACAGACGTTTCAATTAAGGTGAGTGGGTGCTGGCCCAGCAGGCTGGGTGTTGTTGGTGTCACATTTACCTCGATTTCATTGTCCAACGTTTTTGAGGTGTTCTGCATTTTGCATGCCCGGTTGGTTGCGTCCGGACGTGTTAGCGCTGGCATCCAATGTGTCATGAGCAGGCGCTGATGATGCTCAGCGCTGTCGAGGATGTTGCAATTAGTGGGACAGGTGGCACTTTAAGCATTTAAGCCATTGCGAGCCAGAAATTTTCAAAAGTTGTTGTTGTGCCTTTTATCTTGGGAGGCAGGGGCACGAGCACAATTGTTAGAAATTAAACTTTCTGCTCAATTGCAGACCTTTTCTTGTTCATACCTATCTGATGACTTTTGTTGCTTGCTGGCATTTAAAATTCAATTTGGCAAAACGTTTTTACTACATACATGCGTATTAAGGTAAGATAAAAATATCATTTAAAATACGCATAGGCAGACAGTTAAATAAAATGAAACGTAACTTGACAGCAATGACGGCAAAGTCTACCAAAACTACTTATTGTTGTGGTTGGTTCTTGTAGCTCTGGTTGAAGGCTTGGCAAGCCAGCAATTTAGTTTTAATTTTATCTCACGTTGTCACCAACAACTGACAGAAGCAAAGGGAGTCAGGGGAAGAGAATACATTTTAAGCTTTTCCACCCTACCTCTCAGACTCCTCAAATCACTCATCTCTCGGAACTATGTAGATATGTGCATATAGTACGAAATATACTACATGCATACGTATATAATATCTCTCTATTTCGCACACAGACTATGTCGTGAAATTTCATTTCAATTTCGCACACGACTGCCGCACGGACTGCTAGTCTATCACAACGTTAAGAATCCGGATCGCATTAATTTGGACCCCTATGCACTCTATGTGATTGTCGAGAAGGGTCAACTAAAGGTGGTACATGTCTTTGGCAAGCATTCAACGAGTGTCACAGTGGGTGAGAGTTTGAATCGAGATGAATGGCACAGCGTCATGGTGAGTGCAAAGTTACAGGCCTGGTTGCTCGGTTGGTCCAGCTCGGCCGGGCAATCATGCCAGCGGCTGGCAGATACATACTTCCAAGCTTTTCTCTGCGGCTCTGCGGTTGAAGTTGGAGTCCGTGCAGTTATTGTACAGTCAAACTCCTATAGTGAGAAACTCTAGTACCATTTGAAAGTAGTAACTACTGGTGCGTTGGTTTTTTCATAGCATAAGGACGTGGAAAAGACCAGTAATAAATTTGTTAAGCCCCAAAATCAAAAATCATTCAAAAACACACAATGTGGGTGTGAGTAGACACCCGATTGGAATCACGTCACAACCATCATGACAGAACGCATGATTGAACAAATTTCATAAAATTCCACAATTGTCCTCCTTAGGGCAGTTCTTAAATAAAGATTAAAGAGGGAAAATAAACTTGATTTCATAAATTATTCAAACAAATTTGGTTAACAGTTTTCATCAAAACTCAAACTCAAGCGCACATGCTGGTAATCAGAAATAATTTAAAGTGACAAAACGAATGGAGTAATGTCCGATTTGAAAAGGAAATTAACAGAGTCGCAGATTTCTGTTAAATTTCAAGAAGCATGTTTTATTATTGCGCTGCCCCTTGTCAATAGTCCTTCTCAGCTCTCAAAAAAGTATAACATTTAGGGACTGTTTATATTTGAAATGCCTTAAGTATTAAATACCGCTTTATTATATTAATTACATTTAGTCTACTGGCAACTAGTCGTACAAGATAACTTAGGTATATTAGCTTAACAAAAGCAGCTTAAAGTGTTAAAATATTGCATGATATTTGGGTAAAATGAGAACTTTTGCTGCTTTAGGGGAGAAAGAACTTTAGCCATTTTGAACTTGTCTAGAAACAACAGACAACCACCATAAAGTTGTAAGCCAATTGTAGAAAATGAATAAGCAGAATACATGTTGCTTGTTGATTGAAGCTTGACTGTAGTTAGAGTAGTTTGTAGTTTGTTCTTCTTGCTGTAGGCAACATTAACAAGCATATGCGTTCAGCATGCAATTAGCAAGATTACTGTGCCCGGTGTCCTTGTGCAGCATTTACAGCAATGTGTGCATTTGTAGTTGTGTGAGTGTGTGTGTGTGTGTATGAGCATGGGATTGTGTGCGTGCTGTAAAACGCTTTATCAAACTTTTATAACAAAGCGACCAAGTTGATTTATGTGCATTCAACTTTGCTACCTCACCAACTTATGCTCTGTGGTGAGTTAGACGGAACATCCATATAGATATTTAGTAACAGGGATGGCATCATCATCATCAGCGCCACTATCATCAATAACAGTCGAGTGTCTGGCCACGTGTGTGTGTGTGTGTGCAGTAAGTGTGGGCAACAACAACATTTTCATATTTAAAACAAACCTATTCACTACTAATCACACACAGGGCCACGCACTCGTAAATAACACACAAAATTCCTAATGAATTTCAGCTGATCCCTGTGCAACGCGCGCACAGTTGCAATTCATTTTCGTAGATTTTTCATGCAACTAGCAACAGCAACAGGAGCAGTGGCAACAACAACAGCAACAGCAAAAACAACATGTGCATAGCAACAAAAAATTTATCGCTGGGCACTGCAACTTCCAACTTCAACTCTGGCAGAAACGCATAAATTCATAAATTTTTATCATTTGTTTTTCCACACACACACTCCCACACACACACACACACACACACACACACACACACACAAAACATAGACAGACACATTGAGAGGGCGCCGCAGAACGTGGCTTCAGTTTGCTAGCTCGCTGGTTTATGTTTGTCTATTGGTTTAATGCTTTATAACCAGATATACCAACTGCTTTCTCTCTCCACATCTCTTCCCTCCACCCTTCTATGGCATTGGCATACGCACAGGTGCGCATCGATGTCCATGGTGCAAGATTAATTGCACGCGTCGACAATAGTCAGGAGGAGGTCTATCTGAAAGGTCTGAATCACGAGTACAACTATGGCGTCTCCACGAATCTGCCATCGGTGGTTCTGGTCGGAGGTGAGTGCAAAATCAATTGTTTCTCTACCGTCACTCTGTTTCTGTGTTGGTGTCTATGGGAAAGCTCATGTTTCATGGTCGTGGCGTAGCTATTAAAGAGGTATCCGAAGCGCCCAAATGTATGCAATGCTGCGCGCTTTTGCCTCGAATATACAATTGGCTGCCAAAAACAAACAGAGACGAAAATGTGATGCGCCAGATCTGCAAAATGAAAACTACAAATCGAATTTGGAAGGCACACCCGCACACCCAAAAACACATACATATATATATATATATATATATATATAAACGCATTTGCAGGCTCGATAACATTTTCTCATTTGCCACTGCGTTGCGTATTGATGTTTTTTTTTTATCGAGTGTGTGTGACTTTGAAATCGGCTTTTGCGTGTTATTTAAGTCCAATTCTTTGACATTTTCGTGTTTCAATTATATTTTTGCATATGCGAATAAATTGTACTAGAACGATGTGTTGCGAAAAAATTGATATGAAATTTGATTCGAAGTGTTTTTTCAATTGCCCAAAAACTTGGTAATACTTTTCGTAGAAGTTTCCACTTTGTATGCTCTCCTACGGTACATTAAATGCTTATTTATCTTAAAATTGGATAATAGTTGTTTTATGTAACCTAAAGCTATTTCTGTTGCGATTACATTTGATTGACCAATTAGGTTAATATTACAATAAATAATTTAATAAATGGCTTAAAGGCATTTCTGTCAATCGAAACAGAATCAAATAAACAACAGTGCATATGTGCACCATATCTTAAATAGAAGCTGAATTGTAATCAAAATATTAAAGGTAGACAATGCATACAAACTATCAATATTAATTTTCGCTGTCTGACTCAGTATTTCAAAATTCGGTGTATTCGGTGTTTAGTGACTTTAAAAATATACACAAAAGCATCACTAGTGTGTGTGCATTATCAAAGGCTAAATATTTGTAGTAATTTATTGGATTTAATTGCCTTAGTAATAGTTAATAAAGCGGTAATGTTCAAAATTCATATAAAGTTTCAAATTCACGTCATGTTGAATATTTTATATAAATGAAGCGACAACTACATGCAATGCCGATGTCCATAATTCCAAAATTCCCTAAATACAAAACTAACATTTAACTTTTTTAATTAACAGCTTTTCTGCCGCACGACCAAAACACAGGCAATACCCAAACAAAAACTTTAATTATAAACAGAATTATGCATACATTTTCTCTCGTCAATTCTCTCGCCATCACATAAAGTTATTTTTCCAAATATTTTTCATGCTAATTAATCTTCATTATCTGCTATTGTCTCATTCCCAAACTATCTCGGCTTCGCCATAAAACAAACAATGCCCTGCCATGACGCCATAATGCCATAACGCCATAACAACAATCGACAGGCCTCTCCTCGGAGGAAAAGCTGCATGGCGTCAAATATATCACGGAATCGTTTGTGGGCTGCATACGGAATGTTGTGCTTAGCTCTGGAAAAGCCGCCTCCGATTTGCTGCCCATTGCTCCTTTGGTGGCCACCAAGCACGAGAACGTCAACGAGGGGTGCTCCGATATGTGCGACTCTCGCCACAATCTGTGCTTTGTCGGATCCCGCTGCATTAACCATTACGCCGACTATTCGTGCGACTGCTTCGGCACCCACTACGAGGGCGAGCATTGCGACATTTACAGTAAGTAAGACGGGGGCAGCTGTGGGGTTGGTGTTGGGGTTGGGGTTGGGGTTGTTGCGTCTCTTTTTTGTCGCTTTCGGCAGGCGCCATTTTGTTTTAATTATAAACTATGTTTGTTTGCTTGCGGTTAGCCGCCGACGCTGACGCCGAAGCCGACGCCGCTGCACTTTTGAGCACGCTAATGACCCGACCATAAATTATGTAAAATAGTGTTTGACTTTTTGACTGCCTGGCAAAATGTACGCAAAATTAGTTTGTTGAGCTTAAAATGTATTAACTGTCTGACGGACCGCACCCGACCGGACCGTCGCAACGGTTCGTTCGTCGTTCGTCGTCCGTCGCTCGACAGGTATTTAGTTAATGACATAAAGCCAATTCGGCGGTGCCATAATCCCAATTAAGCCACGCGATGCCATTAAAAATGCAAAGCCATTAAAAATTGAGCAGCTCGTTTACGTTTTTTGACACTGTGCAATTAGGCGCAGGGGAGCGAGGAGTAAGTCTGACTGCCAACCGCTGTCACAAAATATAACAACGGCAAACTGGGCAGTGTATTTGGGCTGTGGGCGCGGCTGTGTGCACCCGTAGGTAGCCGGGCGTTCGGTTTTTGCTGAAATTTGCATGCAAATGATGTCGAAAACGTGTGCACGCCTTTAAAGTGCAGGACAACTAATGAAAGTGTGCAAAGGGCCATCGAGCGGCTGAGCAGCTTGGTTTAGGGTCATCTATTGATGGCACGGACAGCTGCAAATTGCAAAATTCCAACAGCGTGCGGTGACGCCATTTTGAAAATTCTCTAAATGGCGCCTGTCAAGGACAAATGCCATGTGAACCGAACTTTCGCGTGACGTGCGAGTTTGTCAAGCATTCACAGTTAGCCGTCGTCTGATCACAATTACGACCCTGTCCCGCAACGGCTGACGGTAGGGGAAACTGCTGGCGAATTACACGGCACCATGGAGTGAACCGTTAGCGACATGCAGTCGCCACTGTACTCGTCCACTGTACCGCCATCATAGCTATAGCGGAAACAGTGTCAGGCCATTAAAAGAGCACAGCGCAGCACAGCGCAGCACAGAAATCTGCCAACTGGCATTGTAGTCGTGTATCCTCGTAGGTGGTACACGAATGTGCGACATAATCAAACGCAGGCGCTTCTGTAATGCAATAACTAAAATGACAACTGCAACAGGAACAACGTTGACAAGGACGAGCCAGCCAGTCAGCCAGCCTGCCTGTCTGTCTGTCTGTCTGTCTCTCTGCCTGACTGACTGCCTATCTGTCGGAATACTATAGTGGGCTGGTGGTGAAGACAATGATGACGAACCCCTGCCATATCTGCTCTGAAGCACCGACAATGCATTGAGAACGCGCAACTCAAATTGTATGGAATTTGTTAAAAGAGACTGCAAGATTTTTCGATCTGCAAAATCAGAGCCAACGCTGGGCCACACTCTCGCACAGTGGCTCGTTTGTTAAATCTACCTTCCATTTAAGTTTGAAAGAAAAAAATAGTTACTGAAAATGACAAATGCAAATAACAATAGGACGTACAATCCATTCAATTAGCTACGATTTAAGGCTTTTGAAAATGTATATACTGATGCGTTCACGACTTTCTTTTCTGAGTTTAAGTAAATCGAGCATTAAGAAATTAAGAATGTTTAGCAAGTAATGGCTAAAGATAAGCTTATGAAGCCCCGAAGTCAATCCATTTATTCACATGTTCTACAATTTATTTTCAAATTTTTGGTAAAAATTAAAAAAAATAATCAATTTGGAAGGAACAATAATTAAGATTATACCTTATTTTTTTGATTAGAATCTTAGATATAACTTAACGAAAATAAATAATTATTTTTGATTTCCTTGCTTCATTGATTTTCATTCAAATTATAATGGAAATGTTTTGGGTATTACGCCCATTAAATTATGTTAAATAGAAAAGTTGCATACGAGAAATGTAATGGAAATGATAATACATACGAATATGTACGTTAGTTCAATACGAATGTCAAACAAAGTAGGAACCAAAGTATAATGTAACCACATACACCATTCCCTGCTCTTAGCAACCGTGAAAGCACTGCTCTACCAATTATTTAATTTATGTCTATCAACTAATAAGCCTGAATAAGTCGAACTATAAACCTTTAAACATTTTCAAATTCTCTCTTACCTGTTTCTGTTGTGTAGCTGCTTCTAATCCATTACAAGCTACAACCATTGAATTTATTAACTAGAGCTTAGAGCATTTGAAGATACACATTTCACGTGATTAAAAAGTATCTGTGCCTCAATGTGGATAGACTAAATGGAATGGCCATTTTATTTCGGCTGAAATGGACGGACATTTGAAATCTATATCAAAAAGTAGCTTTAGCATGATCTACTTTTTGGCATCTAATCACCATTTAAAAGGGGAAGTAGCTCTCCTTTGTGCACAATTAAAAGATATGGACTCGGATTACGCACCACTGTGCACCGTTCCGCAACTCAAAAGTTGTCAGGCTGACATTTCTCGCATGTGTTATATACATACGAATAATGGAGCCTGGTTGCGCGCACCACTCCCGGTCGCAACCACAGGACGGCTGCAAAAATTTGCAACAATTTCATTTAAAAACGTCACGACATCTGCCAGACATCACTTGTCAGCGCAAGGCATGCGGTTGCTTTGGTATGCAGTCAAAGTTGGCCGGCAGAATTACGTTATTTCGTAAATCCCTCCCTGTAAGTTTTACTTTCAATTCAATTTTTACGAGTACACACACAACCACGCATCTCACTACAAACATTTGCAACGTTTAGTGTGTTTAAGTTGCTTCTTTTGGTGGCACTTTCATTTCAAATCCACTTCCCTAAATTAGCAATATGAGCTCTAGCCACCGTTTAACGGTCAGTGGGCCCAACTCCCAAATGAAGATCCAGAGTCGAATGCTGAGTGATATGCGTTTCCGGCGCCGATTGCCTACCTATGGAGAGTTTCGACGAATAATGCACAATCTGCAGCGAAAGAGCATCGACAAGAAAAGGGGCACGAGCAGGAGCAGCAAGAGAGTGTCCCATGAACTTCCCGTTCATAGCATAATAGAACTGCGGAAGGATGCACTGCATCAGGTTATGGTTCGTCATGCTAAATCAGTCATCGACCAACGACCTGTTCGCATACGCGAGGCTGCCGTTATGGCCATACCGCAGTTGGCAGCAGGCGTGGCCAAAAAGCAGGATATCTTTTGCAAGAATCTTATGCTGCTGTGCCGCATTAACGAGATTCAGCGGCTACACGGCAAAGTGGAGTCCTTCAATCAACGCGATTACCCTTCGCACCGTGATTGCCACCAGCTGCGCACCTTCCTGAGCGATGTGAAGGAGAAGAACAGACGGATTGGCTGCCGTTTGCTGGGCGTAAAGTCCATGGTGGACACCCATAACCCCCTTTCGCCGCCAGTGCCGCCCATGAAGCGCGATGCGCCAGAGCCTACGGTGCAAAAGTATCGCCAGTACATGCCCGGAGAGAAGAGCAGCACAAAGCATGCCCAGGCACTCTTACGCCCAGTCATATTCTTCGATCTGGCTGTCCGTAATGGCCGTCCCCTTGGCCGCATACTCATTCAGCTATTCACGGAGGTCAGTCCGGAGGTGGTGCTGGAGTTTGTGCGTATGGCCACGTACAATGATGTATCGGCCCATCGAATCTTGCGCATCTTTCCCGACCTCTGGCTGGAGGGTGAACTGGAGCAGCGCATTCAGACTGATATGCTTCCCAAAAATCACTACAGTCGCTCTCCGCTGGATCCCTCGCAGCTAAGCGGCATATTGTCCTACACATGGGACTACCGCAAGGACTTTCCGCATGGCCTTCTTAACTATTCAATAAGCTTCAGACCGTTGACTGTCGTTCCCCTGCGACGGGTGGTCTTCGGACGCGTCATGGATGGTGACCGAGTGCTGCAGTGCTTGAGGGACTTTGGCACCAAGAACGGCAAGACAAAGAATCCCATCGAGGTCGTCCGTTGCGGCCTGATTTAGGATAATAAGTTGTGGTCTTACCGCACAAATTTTAACGTATGCAAATTACTTAAAACAAAATGAGAAAACAACAAAAAATTACGCAAGTATGAACATAAAATTACGAAAGTGCATCTTCACTACAGTGAAAATAGAGTTGCTTGCAACGTTTTTATATACAAATAAATTTGCTATTATATACTATGGTTTCAATTCCATTTCTTGTGAGGATTCCTATTGTAATATTTGAAAGCATAATAAGCATTTGGAAATAGATCTTTCTCTTTCCAACGGAGCTCAAGAATGTTGCAAAGAGGTGAGCCTCTGCCATATTGCATGAACAGTGAGCCTCTGTAGGGTATCAGGGTGCGTATATTTCCAGAATGTGTTACAATATTAATGTGGACATAAAGATCAATGTAACCTCTACAATAATACCCAACAAGGTAGCTAATATCAAGCTAAAAATTTACAATTTTATCTAGATTCAAAATGCAATCCTTCCGTCCGTTCGTCTGTCTGGATAATCTATACATATGATATATGATACTATATGGTATGGAGACGAAGAGTCTAGTGCCTGGGTTACTTGACTTTTATTATTTTTCGCAATTTAAACAGAGCAAGACAACAGATTTTTGCATTTCAGTACTAAGGACTCACGAGTATGTAGTATAAACCGTTTGATTACAGTAACAATTTTAAAGGAAAAATATAATATTATTTATTATATATTATTGTTATACTCGCAACGGACTAGAATACTTTATGCTTTTTAATTTGAAGCTAAATATCAGCTTATAAAAGTTTTTTATTATACACTAGAAGTGGTAATAGTTAGCGAATTAGCTTGATTAATAATTTTTTTACAGAGCTTCAACGAATTCAATACAAACAAATGGGCGCAGAATTTCTGTATTTTCTAATTATTTAATAAATAATTACTAATGGGTTCAGCCATCACTGTTAACCGTGAACTTTTGTGGATTAGAGTCAAATAAATCCTTTTTATAAGTTTGTGAAGTAGTTTCCCAGACCCTTTTCATTCCTGTAATCAGTTCCAATGCAGTTGGGTAGTGCCTTCCAGAGTCCTAAGCTGTGCGTGCTAAACATTTCCAAACATCTATATTGTTCATATAGTATGGCCACCAGGTCAGTAAAGGCACGATTTGACGCCCAATCCAAGACCTTAAGAATCTACCAATGTTGACAGAGGCGCTACGCTGATGTAAAGTCTAAAAATTGTCTAATGAACCCACAAGAAATGAATTCAAATTGCTAGCCAAGTAATGTTAATTTAATTGCGAGTTTTTCGCTTTTAACTTAATCCCTATTTAGCCGCAATTGGTCATGGCCAGGTGACACGCCTTTGGGGCTCTACTGTAAGTTTATGAAAGTAGTTCAGACAGGAGCATTATCGGGTCAGTGCATCGTCTGTGTGACTGCTGCACCAGGTCAGATAAGCGCTAAGCACTGCGCCTGCTTCCTGTCAGTCCATTTTTTGTACACTCGCCAACGTTACACGATTTGCACATTCGGCCCCCGCCATCAGGCTGCCTGGGGGAAGGGATAAGAGGTTGCTTCTGCACGTACGGCACAAATGCACCGCGTGCGTATTGTCCAAACAATATAATCTTCTTTTTTTGTTGGCAGAGTCGTCGAGATAATGCATACGGACAGTGCCGGCGGCCTGTTGGGCACATTCACAAAAAGTGCGCATTTTCCAGCTTTTTTTTGCCCAGTGTGTTTGACTTTGCTCGGTCTCTGTGGCTGCCACAGCAAATGGGGGCGAACTGAAAATATGCTAAAAGCTGTTCTAGCCCATTAACCTACCGACAAAGTTTCTTAAAAGCTCAAACTTTTTATTGTATCACCACAATTAATCAGCAGTAAAGATTTTATAGTCTATAAAACTTAAAAGCACACATAATACGACTCATATTTTGAATATGTTGAGCATTTGTTTTAGTATCTTACGTTGCCTTGGCCCCTGGCCCCTGCCCCTTCCACATGTTACACATTTTCGAATTAATTTTAATTAATTTTCTTTCAGCTGCCACTATCATCACTTTACGCGGCGCCAGCTACGTCTCCTACCGCATCTACGACTGGAAAGATCGGGTGCACTCGAACACTATTCGCATTAGCCTCATGTTTCGCACGAATTTCGACGACTCTGCGCTTTTCTATGCTAGCGGGGAGTCACTGAAGCATCAGTACATAGCCGCCTCCATTAAGAACCAGTCGATCTATGTGGAACTGGACTTTGGCGACAACGTCATGTCTACAGTGCTGACTGATGAGCTAACTCGCGGCTATTGGCACAACCTGACAATATTGCATGAACAGCGCTCGGTGACCATTATACTTGATCACCAGATGAAGATGCTGGACCTGCCCGCCACCGCCAGCGCAAATTTACTCTTCGATCCAGAAATTTATTTTGGCGGCGGCCCGGAGCTACACAAAAAGAAGGGGCTAGCCTCGCACAACAACTTTGTCGGCAGCTTAAAGTATGTCTACTACAATGACATATCCATTCTATATGAGCTGCAGCGTGGCAATCCAAAAGTGCACTATCATGGTGAGTTGGCGTCTTAGCAATTTATTTATGATATAAGAGCTATGCTCGGTAATAGCTCAAAACGAACTACACTGTAAAAACCACATCTAAACTCTCAACCCAGTGTTATTTACAAATAATTGACCATTTGTGACCCGAAGAGTTTCTCCAATATTCTACTTATCGTTGAATTTTCAAGAAACACTTAATTACAAAACAAGCGACTTGAAAAAAAAAATGCTAAGCGAATGTATATTTTAACTTAAACTATTTATGAGCTCGAACTTGTTTCTTAACACAGTATTTTTAAATTGAAAATATAATATTTGTCTGCTTTTAAACGTTCCCATGCACAAGGAGACTCATTAGTTCATTATTGTTGATATCTGCATTGAAAGTTGTTCCTTACTTTCCAGGTATCCAAGGAACCATTTATTATAAATCTTTCAAAATACATAACTAACTACGTCTTGATAGTCTACTCGTAATGCGTCTCTGACCCCATTAGGCTGTAGATCAGGAACTGGAATTTACAACTTGATCATTTATAAAAATGTTATATGTTATGAAATATATATTTTGGGACGAAATAACTTATTTGGCTTCAATATTAATTCTCTCTATAAGGCTCTAAGAAAAGTAATTCACTGGACTTTATTTTCCCATACGCAATACTATTTTTAACATTTAAATAATGTATAATTACAATATTTTTGATTATTTTTCCATATATTTCCATAAATATTTCCAAGAATTATAATATTGAGAGTATTTTTATATACCTCCCACATACCTTGATCATAAATTTAAAGCTTCAAATATAATTTAGGGAGGTATCCAAATGCAAAGTCAAAACTAAACTTAAACATTATTCACAACTGGTGCAGCATTGAAATAGAGTGTGCAGCCCTGATGCAATTTATCCATTGAGATGCAGACACATAGGCCAGCTGATGAACTCTGACAATTTGTCATTGGAATTTTTGGCATACCTAGCTATCTTGCCTGTGCCTTAACATAGTAAATCCTACTCCTTTGCTATCTCACTGTACTGGCTTTCTACTTTACATCTACTTTCTATCCACAGGTGTGCTGGAGGCGGAATTCTTTGAGAATGAAGTGAACGTCATACCCATCACATATCCCTTTGCGACATCACACATTTGGTGGCCCATAAATCACGCCCAAGAATTTAATATTAAATTCGATTTCCGCAGCAGTCGACCGGGCGCGGTGCTGGCCTACAGTGACGTAACGACGAGTGCCGGAAATGGCTTCTGGGAGGTAAGTGTGCGTTAGAGCATTCAAGCATAAGCATGAGCTTATGAACTGCACACACATTTGCACATACACATTCACCCACACACATACGCATACATAGATGCGGCGTGTATTTAAGAAGACTTAGCAACATTTGGCAGACGAAATGCAAATCGAATGTGTGGCGTGTGGCCGAGCCCTTAGTAAGTGTAAGTGTGGTCTGTTGTGTGTGTGTGTGTGCGTATATTGCTTTTCTGCCTGCAGCAATTCATTCTGCTCAACACAAATTACTGAAATTTCAGAGATTTATAGCATTGGCGCATAAAAGGCGCAAAATATGAAGAGGTTAAAACAAATTGCATTGCTTTTTCGCAAAAATAAAATAAGAACAAGCTGAGCCAAAGGTTTTGTTGGTTACATGGAAATTGACAAATTTCATGGACACATACGGATGTGTTATGATTGTGTAACTTTTATTACGCAAAGCACTTAACGGTATAGAATTGTGGTATCTAAAAGAGCGTAACTGGCCACAATATGTCCTTAAAATTTAATAGAAGTCAAAGCTCAAATATACCATTTTGCGTACACGCCTACACACAAGCAACAAAAGAGGCTTTCAAATATTCTGATTATATGTGTCTGTGTGTTTGTGTGTGCTTATGTGTTGAAGTGTTTTGGCTTGTGCATAAATAATGCCACTGCCATTTATCTATATTTAAACAAACGGAGTCCGCAGGCTGCTGTCTGCCTCTCTTTCTCTCCGTCTCTCTGTGTATGTCTGTCTGCTAGTCTTTCTATCGGTTTATTTGGTTATTTGACATCTTGAAATTTACCAAAGGGAATATGCAATATTTATTTGCATTTTATTGTTGATTTTCATGCTTTGCCTTTGATTGCAGGCTGGTTGGTTACACAGTCAGTTGCTGACTTAGCTTCTACAAGTATATACTGTTATTAGTATTGACCCCCAAATATAAACTGACTGTCAATAAATTACTGCCATTTCGGTCTGGCCATGGCTGTGCCATATAACGGCTATGAACATATTCTTAGCCAAACAAATTGTTACATGGAAATTTTGTAAAAACAATAAATATTTATGGGCAAACTCATTTAATTTTATTTTGCTTTCGCCCGACTTTTGCCTTATTGAAATGGCATTAAAATTTATGTGAATACGAATTAATACAGAATTGATGGCCAAATAAAATGTGCGACAACCATATGCCAGTCAACGTCCATACCGCTATAGTTTTTGTCAAATTACAATTGTCAAATGTCGTCACACAAGCCCACTTAAATACTCGTGCATGGATGTTATAGTATTTATTTATAGCGAAGGGCTTGCAGGCATGTAGGCATTATTTTTTTTTCAAACGCATCAATTTCGGCTTCATTGTCAGCCCTGTGGCGAGCGCATTTTATTTATACACTGTTAGTGCTGCCCACAAAATTACCACCTGGGCGGCTGTGGCAAACAAATAAATTTGCATGTCGCCCCAAAACGTGGGCAACACGAAAAATTGTCATCTGAGAGATGGCGCAATAACTACGCGGGCGACACATAAATCGCAAATCGAAAATCGAATTTATTGACAACACGCAAATAGACAAAACGCGCAAAGGCAAACAAAACGAAACAAAATAGAACAGAGCAGAGCAGAAGCGTACTAAATCCACACACACACACAGCATTTGACTGTAAAAATCATTTGAAATATTGTCAGTGCGCGCGCAATTGAAGTTGTTGTTGTTGAAGTTGTTGTTGGTGTTACTGTTTGCAGACACACAAACATACAGAAACATAGTCGACGCAACGCTGTGCTGCCACCAAAAATTTAATGAAATATGCAATAAAATTTGAGTGTTTTGCATTTTGCATAAAAGCGACAGCGAGCGACGAAAAAAGCGCAATTCACAATGAGCATAGATAAATACACACGCGCACACACACTCATAAATAGAGTTATATGGCAGAGCAAATAGGCAGTCAAACATATAGACAGACAGTCAGACAGGCCTTAAATCTAACGGCAAGTGCGTGGACGTTGGCGTGCCGGCTCATAAATGCGAACATTTTTGTCACAAATTAATGTTGAACAATTTAACAGGAGACCATACCCATCGGTGTCAGCACAAACGGGGCGTATGCGTGATTTAAGCAAAGGCAGAGGTAAACATTTAAATTGTGCATTGGGCGCACAATTTGATTGCATTTGTGGTATTAACTCTGGGTGGGCATAGCTATTAGTAGCCATAACAATTTTTCAGACAAAATTCTAAAAACCTTTCTCTTTTCATCTCTTCCCCTCTACACTGCCACACTTCTAATGCCGTGATACGTGCAACATCCGTTGGAAAAACACGACAACGCACATGACGCGATAAAACCTCGAAAACCAACAACGACAAACGCCTCGTCGCCCCGTTGCCTCGGACAAACGGTAACGGCTACGATAACCCTAACATGTACTGCCGGAAATGTAAAACTAACGGAAATTACAAAATGGCGCAAAATACGCGCGTCAAAATAATACAACTGGCACTCAAACCACCCAAACTACCAGATCCGTCTAACATCGGACAAGCTGAGCTTCGATTTAGTGCCCGATGTGAACAACAACGTCACCCACTCGACCACCATCAAAATCAATCGCTCCACCTCCTGGCACAGCGTCGAGTTGAACTACAAGGGAGGCGAAATCAAATTTACGGTGGACTACCGTCATACGCTTAGCCAAATGTTTGGTCTTACCTTCAACATCGGCGACAAGCTGATCATTGGCAGCAGCCTTAAGTCGGCAGCTCTCGGTCTGGTTGGCTGTATACGCGACATTGAGATCAATGGCCATCTCATCGAACCACGGCACGTGGTCAAGACGGAGCGTGTGGTCGGCGAAGTGGCTCTCGACAACTGCAACTACATCGATCCCTGCAAGCGGCCGAATACCTGCGAACATGGCGGCAAGTGTTTCGTCAAGGACGATCGCGTCACCTGCGATTGCAAGCACACAGGCTACATTGGCAAGAACTGCCACTTCACCAAGTACCGCAAGACGTGTGAGGAGTTGGCCCTGCTCGGCTTCACCAAGTCGGATGTCTACCTCATCGATATCGATGGGAATGGAGTGTTTCCGCCAGCTCATGTCAAGTGCGACTTTCAGAGCCTCGAGAACGCAACTAAAACAATCGTCGAGCATAATCTGCCCAGTCAGGTGGATGTGCGAAGTGCTCGTGAATCGGACTTCAGCTTCAACATACGCTACCGAGAATTCTCGCCTCACATGCTCCAGGAACTGATCTCACACTCGCTCTACTGCACACAGTACATTAAGTACGACTGTTATCGCGCCCAGCTGGAGCTGCATTCGGCCACTTGGTTCACATCGTCGGCCAAGAATCAAACTGTTGACTTTCTGGGAAATGTCAAGAGGTGAGTAGTAGGGGCTGATTGGTCGGGGCTGCGTAAGGACTGCCAGTAACCACAAATGTCATTCATACATTCATTCATTTGAGCATGCTTGTGATTTACTATCCCGGTTATCAAACAGCCGGGGGCATGTCAAGGGCCAGTAGGCTATACCTACAGTCATTTTCAAATGTATGTTGACAAATTACATTGACATGAGAGCGTTGCATCAACTTCATTCAATGCCATTAAAAATAACAACGGTATTTACGGTCTCGTTTAGAAATCTCTCAATCGTGACTAGAAAAAGTGCATTTACATTAATTTCTATATTAAACATTTTTATTACAAACCGACCAAACAACAAAAACTGATTAAAATTCAGATTCAGGCTATTTGGAAATATGTTTTTTGCTAGTTTTTCTAGTGTTGATTTAATATTTCATGTCTATTCTACTTTTACAATCAATGTTATGTTATTAACAATTCAAATATCAATTATACCTTTTTTATAGTTTTCATCTTTTCTAAATATTTTACCCCAGTCACTTGATCCGATATACTTGTATATATATTTGATTTCTATTTGTATCTTTCTTTCTTTCTTTATTTATTTATTTATTTTGCACAAGTAATAGTTTGCATAGATAAAAATATTTCCATCACTTAAGCATTTTTATCGTTAGAACTTACAACTGATTACGCTTCATTATTATTTAACTACCCTCTAATTTTTTTAATCTATCTAAAGTTTACTTTTAAGCCTTAGGCATATCCACTTACATTTGCCTGCTAGTGTTCACATCGTGCCCTGCCGCACAATTAATGTTACAGTCTATTTGCTTAACTTGTTGGTTGGTATTGTCTCTATACGTGTGTGTGTGTATTTGTGTTTGTGTGCGCTGAGTTCTGGTTGACTGGTCAGTCGCATCAACAGCAGCAACAACAGCAAGTGCTACAGCTACAGCTTCCACCCGTGTGGTCTGTACGTGTCCACTTTATGTGCGGTAATCCAGCAATATAAATCCTTCATTCCAAACTACAGACTACGAACGAAGGCTGCCCTGTCCGTGATCCCACGTTTCTGGTTTCTGCTGTTGTTCTTGTTGCACGCTACCATTTCAATTGTAAACGAGACTTAAATTAATTGCACGAACATGCATAATATCAACTGCACTGCTGCTCCACTCAATGCCAACTGACATGTTTACCAACACAAGTGCACATCTGGGCGGGCTGTTGCCTATTGCCAGTCCTGGCTCCTGCTGCTCTGCGGCGCCCTATGACCCGGCGAGTCGCTTTCATAACGCATCGATTTGCGTGCATTTGTGTCAGTGGCAAGGCAAACGGCATGAGCCGGTAGCTCCAATTGTCAGCTGTCCGGCCTTCTTTCGACATTGCTTAGTATTTATTGCATTGCCTGTGGGAATAGGCATTATAGGAGACGAGTATGTGGTTGTGATTGTGCCTGTGAGTTCTGTGTGTGTGTGCCACTATTTGTCATGCAGTGCAGTCGGCAGCCAGCAAAGCCAAACATGAACTCGCTCGTTGCCCTTTCTTGTTGGCTTAGGCTGTTCTTTTTTTTTTTTTTTTTTTTTTTTTTTTTTTTTTTTTTTTTACATATATACAATTTATTAAACTAGTTTTCTACTACCAATATGGCAGCTTAAGCTAGTTGAAAGTTAGGGAATACAAAAGTTGTCTATAGTAAGCATCTATAGGACGCACTTATATCTATGTACATATATACAATATTTACAATGTTTTACATTAGAAATGAAATTATATTTTATGATATATATTATATATTTTATACAAGGGATCTTGTGGGGAGATCCTTTGGATGGCACTTCTTCAATCTTCTCTTCTTAGGTTTGGACAGGAGCCGCCTCGCTAGTGCGTTGGGGTGACTGCCGAGTCGCTTCTCGTAATTGCTTGCGTGCATTTGAATGACATCGCCAACCTTGGGGACACATAAGTCTCTTTCGATGTCCCTAGTGCGCATATACCAGGGAGCGTTGCATATTTTTCTGAGTATTTTAGCTTGCGCAACTCTTATTTTATTTAGGTTCGATGCAGCGGCAATGCCATAAATTGGTAGCGCATACTTCCATATTGGACTTAATATGGACTTGTATACTGTCACCTTACTGTGCAGAGACAGCTTGTTGCAGGGTGCAAGCAGCCATGCCATCTTTCCGGCTTTTGCCATGACCGATCGCTTGACCATTGTTGTATGCTTGCTGAAGTTGAGTCTTCTGTCCAGAATGACACCAAGATATTTGTGCGAATTTGTATGACTGAGCGTGGACCCCAACATTGTGATATCTCCGCATGACGACGGCCTTGTTGTAAATGTGACATTCGCACACTTGCTGGCGTTGATACCAATGTTCCAATTCAGAGCCCACTTCTCGAAACTACTTACATACTGCTGTAAGGCTTCCGAAGCTACATCGATATCTCTGCATCTGGTAAGCACCGCAGTGTCGTCTGCGTAAGTAGCTATTAGTGCGTCATTCTCGTCTACTCCAAGGATCTCTTGCGGTGCAGGCATATCAGCAGTAAATAATGTATACAGGGTAGGACCGAGAACACTGCCTTGGGGCACTCCTGCACAAATTGAGCGCCTCGTGGATTTCACTCCATCAACAGCAACTCTGAAGCTTCTGTCCCTTAGAAAGCTTTCGATGAGTTGAAACAATTGAGGAGTTAGTATGCCTTTCAATTTGCAGAGGAGACCATCATGCCACACTCTATCAAAAGCTTGTTTAATATCCATAAACACAGCCACTGAGTACATCTTTTGCTCCATGGCTTCCAGGGCGAAGTTGACCACACGGTGGAGCTGTTCCGGTGTTCCGTGACTTCTTCGAAATCCAAATTGCCATTTTGGAATTCTGCGCGTCACGGCTTCGAGCTGGAGAATCCGGTCCAGAATCACGCGTTCCATCATCTTCCCGAGGGCAGGTAGCAGACTAATCGGCCTATATCCATCTACTTCAGTATGCTGTTTCTCTGGCTTTGGAATCATCGTAATTAGCGCCATTTTCCAGCAGTTTGGAAAGTGCCTCAGCCTGAGTATGTTATTCATGAGCAAAACAATATACAGCAGAGCCCTTGTGGGGAGCAGTTTCAGCGTCCTGTTGTCTAAAAGGTCTTCTCCAGGCGCTTTTTTTACCTTTAGATTTTTTATCTGCTGTACCACTTCTTGCAGTGTAACTGGGCTTGCAGGCAAGGCCATTTGGAATGGCATCTCCAGCCTAAGCTCGACTACCCTTCGCCTATCTGCTGATGTAAAGTCAAAAGGCTTAAATCTTTCCTCTAGGCTGTTTGCAAAGATTTCAGCTTTCTGCTGACTGGAATAGCTCCATCCACCTGAAGGATCCTTAATTGGAGTCTTAGGGATGACCAGCCTCTTGAATCGCCTCGTAAGCTTCCAGAGCGAGTAATTAAATGATGCATCTGGACCAGCACTTTCCAATATGTCATCAATTCTGCCTTGTCTGATTTTAGCAAGCTCTTTTTGCAGTCGATTGGACAGTCTTTTGTAGATTTGATGAATGCGAGTATCTCCAGTTCTTGCATATTCTTTCCTGACTCTTCTTTTCAGGCTTAAGAGCGCAGCAGCCGTTGGTGGTAGACTAGCTTGACTATGTTGGGTTGGCAAGCGTAAAGTTTTCGGTGCAGCAGAAGACGCAGCCAGTGAAATGTTCTTCATGAGGATTGATATCGCGTCTTCGATATCCTCTGGGCTGTTAATTTCGACGTTCAGGTTAATTCTTCTTTCGAGATCGGCTTTAAAAACATCAATACGGGAGCCAGGTGGTAGAATATATTCCCTCTTGGGATTATATTGCGGTGCATGATGTAGCGTCGCTACTACTGGAAGGTGATCCGATGCGAGCTCATATTTTGTTTCAACGGTGAGTCTGTTTAGGGCAATCCTGTTGACAATAAAGAAGTCTAGTGCAGAGGGGTTAAGCCGTGTGTTGTAAGAGTAGAAAGTTGGCTCTCCAGTAGCAAGAACTTGGCAAGTAGTACTAGCTATGGCCTCTTGCAAACACCTTCCTCGCCTGCAAGATCTGGAATTACCCCACCATTGGTGTTTTGCATTAAAATCACCGCCTACAATAAACTTATCTCCTAAGGTTGCAAGCAATAGATCAAAGTCGGCCCTGCACCAAGCTTCATTGGGAGGAAGATATAGGGAGGAGACTTTGATGCTTCCACCATTCGTCGGTATAGTTACGCTGGCCGCTTGGATGCTTGTTTTTAGAATTGGCTCATTCTGTGAATGAGCGATACTTGATCTAATGATGACTGCAGAACCACTTTTAGCGGTGCCACTGGGATGATTAGCGTAGTACTGGTCGTATCCTGGCAAATATGCGTTCAAGCCAGGACGCATATGCGTTTCGGTTATTAACATGATATCGATCGAGTTTGAACTTAGGAAAAGCCTGAGTTCATCATTGTTTTTGACCAGGCCCCGTGCGTTCCATAATCCGATTTTTAACAGCGGATTTAACATTTGGATATTAGTTTTTGTACCAAGTCACGGAAGGCTCTATTGGAATCCATATTTTCCTGAATGAGCTTATACATTTGATCCATTCTTGCGTTTAGATCAAAAATCGCCTTTTCCAGCATACTAAATTTATTGTTTAGATGCCAATCTTCAGCGGAAATGTGTGCCCGAGGCGAGTTTTGGTTTGTTGGCGCGATGGTACGCTTTCCTTCAATTGGCCTTGCTGCATCAGCGTAAGAGAAGCCACTCTTAACAGCAGAGCTTGAGATGAACTGTACTTTATTGCCTTGGTTGTTTGGGTAACTCCTATTGCTACCGATGACTAGACCATCTCTCGGCAACCTCACAGCTGGCTTAAGTTTTTTGGCTAGATCAATTCTTACCTTGCAGCCTCTGAAGCTCGACATGTGGTCTTCGCCGCAATTAGCGCATATAAATTCCCCATTATCATTCAGGTTACATGATTTTGAGCCAGTATCATGGTCCCCCGAGCATTTACCGCAAACCGGCTTTTTAAGGCAATAGTTCCTCGTGTGCCCGAAATCTTGGCATCTGAAGCATTGTACCAGCTCTTTACTCTGTTTGGCCTTTGATATTGTAACCCTGTGTCTACCAATTTGAGTTATTTTTAGTGCCTCAGCAACGTTGGGTGCGTTCTGGAGGTTAACGTAAAACATATTTTGTCTTGTTTTGACATTATTTATGTCCTCACCATCCTCCTCATTAATTTGAATGTTACGCCAGTCCGGTTTTCTGGGGCAATATATATTCAAAACTGTAAAGCCCTTGTCGGTAAAGGTGCGCTCTATTAATTGCCTGGGTACATTGGGATGAATATCTCTGAGCACCAATCTGCAGGGTTTGTTCTCCTTCAACTGGTGGTGCCAGAATTGACAATTTTGATTGGACAATAATTTGATTATTGCACGAAACGCATTCGAATTCTTCGTATAAATACGCGAGATCCCAGATTTCGATGTGCGTATGTCGTAATCGTCAGGGGAGACAGCAGAATTGAGCGCCACCTCCAGCTTATCCAATTTGTTAACTTGTGGCACACATATAGCAGGAGGCTTAGGAATACTACTTCCCTGCTGGAAACGGCTGGCTTCATTTTGCTGGCTCGATGGATCTTCGGAATCTGGCTCTTCCATTTCCATAATGGAATCAGCTTCTTCCGAAAGGGCTGCAAATCTATTATTTTGAAGCGCTGCCGGAGAGGAGGACGCAGTTCGTTGTCCCTGGGTTGTATTGACAGGAGTTGGCTTATTTTTTTGAGCCGATTTTAGTGACTCGACGGCTCCTTTCCGCTTCCTATTAATACCGGGTACTGACATTTGAAACGAGCAAAATTTGTCCAGAGTTGGATTTGCAACTAAGTTTGTGATTGAAGCCGGTGTACTCACAACGGCGGGTGTGGAGCACAAACTGCCATTTGATGTCGCTACTGTAGTATACATTGATTGAGAGTTCACCACAGAGAACGTTAGGGTACTTGTAGTCGATGTACAAGTGGTTGAGGCAATCCAGTTACTGGTTGAGCTTGACGGCTTTAAGTATGGTAAGGCTGTTCAAATTTGATTTTTCATATGTGCACGAAAGTGTTGCCTACTTCAAGGCGCACCGTTGACTCTACACACTGGCCGGGCCCAGACATCAAAGTTATGTGTCGCATTTGTTCCTATGCACTGAGGCATACAATTTTATCGTGCTGAAAGCAGCCCAAAACATACACTGTTAAAAAAAATCATTCTAAATATAAATAATCAGACGTTCATTATTGACGAACTTGTATTTAAAGAAGGGCGATTGCGCTCTACTTCTTTTAACTTGTTAGTTTTAAGTTGATTAATTAAATATCTTAGGAAAATTCTATTTAATAAATGCTCAAATAAAACATTTATTGGGTTTTGTGGTATTATCGTTACTTTCTTTTCTCTTGGTGTGGCCCCAAAAGTGGTATTTTGTTTGTATATGTTTATCTTTTCAAAATAATTGTACGTTTAAAAAAACTAGTTTATATATTCTATATTTATATACAATTATACAATTACGTCTACAAAATAGTGTCCCTATTTTGAAAATTAAAAGGATTACTCATTTTTCAAAAAAAAACACTAAAATTATGTTCCCAACAGGACATAGAGAAAATAAATGAACATCCGCCGCCAGGTTGCCGTCTTTTTTAGGTCTGCCGATCCCGTCTGCTTCCTTGGGGGTTCCAGCGCCCTCCTTGACATCAAACATCGAAGTAGTGGGAGTCCTTTTTGGATTCAGTTGTAGTAGTTTCCATAATCATGTAGTTGTCAGTCGACCTGGTGATTGGCCAGATTTAGTCATTGCAATCGAACCTCGGAACGGATGCCTGTATTTTGATCTCACAATGACATTTTTCGAAAAAGTTCGAATTATCTACGAATGTGGTTTAAAAGCCCAACCATGTTAGTTTAACCACAATTAAGCTAAGTATTTTGCGGTCTATTTCGATTAGAGCATGATAACTATCGATAGTAGAGTCCATCGATGTTTTCGATAGTTTTGTATGAATTAATCAATACTATCGATAGTTCCTTCGAAGTTTGAATGCAATAAAATTAAGGAACTAAAGAAAAACGTAATGTATTTAAAGTCCCGATCCTGTACAATGCTGAAAGACTGCACATCCAATGCGATCATACGCATCAGAGCTTTAACCATAATTCATTTATTGAAGAGAAATACAAGTATTTTTATTAATATTACAAACTTCTCAAGCGTATTTTATTTTAAAGGCTTTTTCTCCTCAAAATGCTTCCACACAACTGAGTTTTCTGTCTTTGCTGTGGCGCTTTCAACTTTGGCTTCAGAGACTGTTGTTTCATAAAAAAAGAAGAAAAAAACATACATTTGATTAACATGAAAGCATTTCTGGTTAATAGGTACTTAGACAATTTTTCAGAAGCTTTAAGCTCGTATTCTTTCAGTCTAATAATGCTATCTAGGATGGTTTAAAGAGTAGCATTCTTTTCTATCAGTGCATTGCATGAAATTCCAAAGGCCACAAATTTATTAGCGGCAAATGGCAAAGTAAAACATATGAAGCAAAATATTGTACAAAATTGCAGAAGTGCAAAACAAGCACCGACCATACTTGTATGAATGTGCGTGTGTGTGAGTGTGTGTATACATTTGTGTGTGTTTGTGTTTGGTTGCGGCTGGCATTCGTCGCTGGCATAAAAAGCTGAGTTGTATTTATGTCAGGCAAATATGTTTCCGCCTGAGCGCTAATAAGGTTTATGAGTGAACTTTGTGCTTCAGTTGGTGTGAGTGTATATGTGTTGTATGCCTGTGCGTTAGCGCCATATTGTCGAACAACTCTTTTTCCCAACTTTGCCTGTGTAATATACTCGTATATATTTGCTATAAGCCGTCCTTTTTAAAATAAATGGGGCTACGCACAAAAATTTACTCACTTCACGCCTAATTTCTTTCGCACTCCAACCCGTTGAAAAGAACTTTGAATAAAGGGCCTCTCCGTTCCGTCAATACATCATGCGCCCAGAACCAGGCAACATCTGCTGGAAGCCATTTAAAGTTGTACTTGCTGGCCATCCGCCTCTCTGTCACTAATTTCCGCATTCACTAAATCAATGCAGAAGCCTAAACACAATTTTAGTTCGCTTGTTCTTTTCGTTCTCCATTTTTGAAAATGGATGACGTTGCGCTTCATTGGACGTCCCGACTTGGCAAAAATATCGAGCTGCGTTTTGGCACAATTCGAAAACGAATGCACGGTCGAACAGTTTGAAGTTTATTCAGCACAAGTCGGTCTAAAGACCATGGCATACATGCATACAAAAACACGAGCTAACTTTTTATGGTATGCGTGTGTGTATGTGTGTGTGTGTTGGGGTACATATGTGAGTGTGTATTTGAGTAAGCCCACCCACTGAGCCATCCATCAATGGGTCGTAGTTTAGTCTTTACTCATTCAAAATTTGACAGCATCGTTTGTTTGTTTGTCCGCCCGCCTGGCTGACTGCCTGCTCCATGTGTTCGGTGGCCTTTCATTCGCCGACCGGAAACGGCGTGCCAAACCGCACACACATACTAGTGCGAGCACATACAACTCACACAAACATCGATACACACTTGAGGCCAAACAAAAAGAAATAAACATTGAGTGGCACATCTAAATGGCACAAAAAAAACTCGCCAAACCGACAATAAATCGGCCAAAGAAAATCAGTCGGCGACCGGCCAGTCAACGGGCTCATCAAAAGCACCACAGAACGCAAATTGCTGGTAGCGCCGTCAACAACCCAGCTATTGGCATTCGGATCCGCATCCACATAAGCCCTATGCCGGTCAAATGTATGCAAATGTATGCGCGTGGTTTTTGTTTTTGTTGTTGGTTTTTTATACTCCTCCTCCCTAATATCTTTCACGTTTTCCTCACTTTCCCTGCCCCCGCAGAGGCGCCTGTCCATGTTCGGTGAACAAGACGTGTGTGGACCCAAATCAATCATGTAACTGTGACGTGAAGGAGAACAAGTGGAACTCGGACGAGGGCTTCTACCGAGAACCGCACAGTCTGGGCATCACTAACATGTACTTTCTGCAGCAAAAAGATCTAGACGATGAGGCACAGGGACGCATAACACTGGGTCCGCTTGAGTGTGTGGAAACAAGTAAGTAGAGAGAGAAAGAGAGAGAAGTTCAATAACCCACTAAATGGCTATTCTGACTTTAATTTGCATACGAACATACAACCCCATTTAACCATTTCAACCAATTTTATAACACATTTGTAAATAATGCCGATTATATCAGTGTGGTTTGCCCTAATAATTCTTGTCTTAGTGAGTAATAAGATTTGAAATGTGCTTTAAAACATGCATTGAAACTGATCAGTTTCTTAGAAAAAGGTGCAAAAAATAGTATATAGTAAGCATACCCCTTATTTTGTATATATAACATCAAAAAAACAGTATTAGAGTTGGAAAACTAAGAGGAATCTAGACAAATTTGAATAATATCTACCTTCTGCTTTTTATTTTTATAACATTTTATATTTTCCACTGTTGCCTTTTGTATAAGTTGAAGCTGCTACTAAAGTAACGAGCCATGAAAAGGATAAAGCAACTTTCTTTAGAAGTTTTCTGTTAAAGCACTTCAAATTTCTGAGGCTAGGGCGATTGTTGATTGGTGCGCTCAATTTTCAACAATAAAAGTAGCAAACATATTCCTTAACTGCACTTAAACGAGTTACTTTAATTAGCAATCAATCCTAAGATAAACACGGAAAATAAAAAGTTTAAAAATAAACAAGAATGGAATGTTAGTCAGGAGAGACCAACTCCAGACAATTTTTTTTTTTTTTTTAATAGTTTTTTAATTAAATAACTTATTTTAGACAATTTTAGACAATTTTTTTTTTTTTTTTAATAGTTTTTTAATTAAATAACTTATTTTAGCTGTTAGAGTAGGTAAACTAAAAGGAATCTAAACAAATTTGAAGAATATCTACTAGGCTTTTCTTTTTATAACATTTTATATTTTCCATTGCATCCTCTTCCTTAGCAGTGCAATGAATTCTAAGATAAGCAAATAAAATATAAAATAAAAATAAACAAAAATGGAATGTTAGCCAGGAGGAACAAACTCAGCAAATTTTGTATTTATTTATTGAATATAATTTTTTTTGACAAACACACAAACTCTCTAGAACTTGGGAGAATCAGATACCAAGTTTAGTTATTCTAGCTCTTATACTTGTACTCTCTTAGAGACCCTTGCGCTCATACAGACATGGCAATGGCTGATCAAAAATGTATAAACTTTCTGTGTTACATACATTCGCATTCAGTGTAAAAATATGATTGCACTTGGTATCATGTATCTAACATTTCAATTTATTAAAGGAATCCTTAAACTAACAACTAATTAATTATTTAATTATCCACCCGGTTCTAAGATACGCAGAAGTACGTGGTCACCTTCACGACCTCGCAGTCGTACATTGAGGTGCCTGGCTGGCGCAAAGGCGACATTGCCTTCTCCTTCCGCACCACCGGCGAGAAGGCCATCCTACTCTTCCAGCCCCCCATACGCGCCCACTATCCCTCGTTCATGGTGGCGCTGACCGGCGACTACCAGCTGACGTTCAATTTCACGCTCAGCACGGGCACCACGCGCGAACTGGTGATTAACTCGCACCGCAGGTTGAACGGCGGCGAGTGGCATAAAATATGGATCGACTACAACGAGTATCATGTGCGATTCATGATAAACACCGACTACCAGATGCTCGATCTCTTGCCTGAGGAGGAATTTGGACCGTTTGAGGGCAGCATGTACATTGGCGGGGCGACACTGTAAGTACTGGCTGACTGGTACGGGGCTTAAGGGGGTTTTATTACCGCTGGTAACGGTAACAGTAACGGCTACAACAGCTGTAATAATAACCGATGTGAAATACTCGCGGGCGCTCTCAATTGGCCTGTCTGCCTGACTGCCTGGCCACTGGTCACTAGCCACTGGCCATTGCGGTTTGTGCAATTTATTGCGGCCATTACGTTTTAATTATAAACGCGCATACAACTGGCCAGCTGGCAGCAATGACAAACAGTCCAAAAGCAAAAGCAAATTCGTGTCACTTCATGGCTTAACTGTTAGGGGATGTTTCCCTCTAAATTGTCGCCCATTTAATTCTATTTCAATAAATTTGCAAATAATTACATTCGGGGTAGTACTCGTATTTGATGTATTGCAAAAAATCAAACGACAACTTTAATTATGTTGCAAAGTCAATTACAAAATACATATGGACCCAGCATCGAAATCGAGTATGTGGTATTTTCAACTCACCTAGTTGCATCAAACATGAATTCAAGCTATAATTGAATTTTATTTCCTGCAGAAATACATTTTAAAGTCATTATCAATAATCCACCCCGCAGGCAGGGAAGAAAACCTGGCACTTCTCCGGTCTTTTTCCCCCACAGCAGAGCTGTGCAAGCGAGCTCCTCGGTTACTCCTTTGCAGTTGGCGCACTTAAAATGCGGTTATGCTTGATTGGCATAATTTGAAAGTTTTTCTCTTCACGCCCACAAATAGAGACACACTCATCGACCCACCCAGACAAACTGATACATGGGAGGGGTCGTTTCGAGGGCCACTACAAGAATAAAAACCCGCCACAAGTGCTGACTTGCCACATAAGTACTACGTTTTTTATGGGGATAATGCAAGTGTGTTAAGAGCCGCACGCTTGTTTAATTATTAAAATCGGCACGGAGAATGAATATCGAAATTCCATAATTACAAGTACTATAAGAATGCAGCCCCAACGACTGCTGGATACCTTGCTGATTCGTCAAAAAACTGACCAGCAGATATTTTTAAACTGGAAGCCCTTACGTACGATTTATGTCTGTCCGTCTATCTGTCCGTCCGCAATTCTTGGAATTGTTGGCCCAAATTTGGCAAATACCTCCAATTACTGATTACTTCTTAATTTTTTTAGTTTTTTATTGAATTATTCTACACATACGTACAGAGTAATATCAACATTAGATTCTCCACTTGTTAATCATGGACTTTGGACAAATTGTAAATATATTTGACCAGTTGGTTGTAATATTTAAATTCTTTCATGGTTACAAAAACAAATATTTTCACTCTTTAACATTTATAAATAAAAACATATTTTAATTGAGGGCGAAACCAAAGGAATTCAATTTTTTCCACTGCTGATAAAAAAAAAAAGTCTTCAATTACGTTCATCAAGCAATATATTTGATTTTAACAAACACTTTCATGAAAATTATTTATTTAATAATAATTTGTATTTCTCTTATTCCTTATTCCTTTCTAATTTTAAAAATTAAATAAGCAACAGACATATAGTAAATGATTTGAAATATTTTTTAATTCAAAATTTCTGTCTTAAAAACGTATACCAAATACGTATGTAGATGGTATTTGAATGAAACACTTAATTTTTTAATGAATATAATAATAAGCACTCGTAATTGATGCAGACCATGGATAGAGATTATATACGCATCTATAACTTTCTTTAAAGTTTCGCTTTAATGATCACACTTGGCATATTGTTCATAAGGTTCTGTTCAGGTATGGGTGGAGTAAAGCAATCCTTCTAAGATACTTGCCTTCAAAGAAAAAAAATAGAGGGACATAACTAGGTTGACTAGTCCTGCCTCATGTCTATCAATCATATTTACAAGTATACATTCATATATACTTTGTCCTGTTGGCTAATATAAAAAAATCAGTCGTTAAGGCAGGGATATAAAATGAAGACTTTAATTTAAGCAAGTACAAGTAATTCTTACTACGAATGCTTTCGTTATCAGGCTTAGGCTAGCTATTGAGCTCCTGCAGAATGTACTGGGAATATAATAAACATTTCCTAAATTGAATAAATCTTCGTATTATACTGCAACTTGGTCGTATCCGCTCGCTGATGAAAATTTTAAACTTTTATCTGTCGATTGCAAACATTCCCACAATACCCACTTACAGTATATCTCATCCCTGAAGCAATGAGGAAGCGCATTAAGTTAAGGAAAATACTTGTACGTGAACATTTGCACTTAACCTCGAGCCCGCACAAGCCGCGCGCCATTCATAAAATTTCGATGAGCGGTAAACACGCAGAGTAATTAACGGTAAAGTGCTGCGCTTTATAACCGACCAAGCTGCTTTCACTACTACGCCAATTAATGAGTTCGATTTATTTACAACGGCACGAGCGCGAAAACACAGCGTAAAAAATATGCCCACAAACGAATATATTTTCATACATGACACATATATATGTATGTATGTATGTATGTATATGTAGCCATATAGCACATATTAAAAAAACATCGCAAGAAGGAAAATGTTGATGTAAGCTCGTATACCATGACAAGGGTAATAGCAGCAGCAGCAGCAGCAACAGCAACGGCACTTCTCCAGATTGAAGGAGCATCCTCGGAAAGGCCACGGAGTACCGGCTACCGGCAACCGGCGTAAGCCATTAAGCAGAATCAACGCCAGCTCATAAATAAATGAGTTAATCAACATATTGACAGAGCCGTGGTCGAGGCATAACACCCGACGCTTCCAATCTGCGGCAGCTTAAAGTCTTCCCCCATTGCAGCGACGGGCTTGGCTCCCTGCTGCTGTTGCTGTTGTTGCAGCTGCAGCTGCAGCTGTTGTTGCTGTTGTTGTTGTAGTTGCAGTTGTTGAAACTGCTATGGAAATTTATGTTAAAATTCTGCAGCACAAAAATTACAACGGCTGCTGTCCGATGATGCAGCAGACAACGCTAATGATTGTGTAATCGGTTTTTGTACTGACATCGCCTGCTGCTGTTGCCGTTTTTGTTGGTGCTGTTGTTGTTGCTGTTGTTGTTGTTATTGCTGCCGCCGTTGCATGCCCCGTCGTGCTTAGAGGCCACTCCCCACCGCCGCAGCATCAATTTCATTCACACCAACGTCGAGTCCAGTCGTTAGCAACCGGCGATCAAAATATGCGAATTATTCGCCTCGCTGCAGGAAGCGGCGGACACCAGGACCGTGTCCGCTCTCATTGGGGAAAATTGGATGAAATGGGGTGCGGGGTGCAGAGTGTGGCGATAGCGGGAATTGGCATCGCCTGCTGTTCAGTGTTGTCGCCAGTCCCGTTGCCTCAGCGAGTGCCAGTGGCCGCCATGAATGAATGAAAAGTGCTTAATTGCTTGTGACGGCGTTAAATAAATTTTTAATTGCTTCGCACTTTGCGCGTTTGCAGCCTTAATAGGATTTCCGCTGCATGTGCCACACGTTGCACTCGCTGCTCGACTTGCTGCATTTTCCAACTTCTTGCTTAACATTTCGTTGCGCTTTTTATTTTACTCGTATTGCCGTTAATTTGGAAACCTACCACCCACCACCCACCACCAACCACCCACTGGTGGCAACACCAACAACAATCTTCCAACTGTCAGTCCGTGGGGCACATCATTTGCAACGCAAAGCGCTAAATTTTATTTTATACGCGCGCGTGTCACGCTTCGGATGCCACCGGGGCGTATGTGCAATGCGAGTGTGTGGGGCACGCGACTCTTGACGTTGACGTTAAAAGGCAAAGCAAGATTGACAGTAATAGCACACAAAAAATAGTCGACTATTGGCTATTCTCTACCTACGGACTGACAAACGGACATTTCTATATCGACTCGACTCCGCATAGAGTTTCGTCTGCCATGCCTGAAGTAAAATTGAAGTAAAAGGAAGGATTTAGAAGTCTTTTAACTAGAGACACCATTCGAATTTGATTTTGAACCGATATTCCTAAACTTGTTCGTGAAGTAACACACATCAAGACTATCAATTCTACTAATGTGATACTCTAATGAAAAACCAAGTTGAATTAATCAGCCGTTAGTGAAATACCTATTTATATGAGCCTCTTTTGCGATGTTAACTACTAGCATTGACCCAGTCCTGTATAAAATGACAGCTTTACAGATCTAGTATAGTTACTCCCCGAAAAGAACAGTGTTTGGCTTGAAATTTATCTCTGATTTATTAACCAAAGGGGTATAGATTTCAAGTATAACGGGCAAAATATTAACATATATACTTGTATGATGCATAACAAACAATTATTCAACAGCAAATGTTGCCTACAATTTTTAAAATGATTTGAGCAGCTTAGCAGATAAATGACATTAACAACTGCTTGCCATGAGTTTGTCGATTGCTTTGGCATTTCCAATAACTTTGATGCTTAAGCAACAATTACACAACTTAGCAAACAATTACAAGGCAAAGGAAAGTGAAAGAAATTATAATAAAATGGCACTGAGTGGTGTCCCCGAAGTCCCGAACGCCTGCATGCACGTTTCGTTTTCTCTTTGGCGTTTTTTTTGTCCCTCAAGTTTATTCCTTCTTTTTCCGTTAACAAGAATTTTAATTTCGCTTAAAACTTTTGTCAATGTTTAGAGGCGAAGCGCAACAGAGATACGACACTTGGAAACTGTGGCGACGGCGGCCGTCGCGACTCGTAATGAAATTTACATAATTTAGAAAGACATTTGCGAAGAACTTTCATCGTAGCTGCCTTATTCTTACCGCCCGACCAGGGCGTCCTTAGCCCACGCTATACGCGTATAATCAAGACATTTCCGCCACTTTAATTTTCAAAAGCTTACACTTGAGATTTTATTGGCCAATTCATTGTTGGCTACACTGTGCGTACAAAAGTTGAAAGCGCAGCAAAACTTCCAAAGCGGAATAAAAATATCGTATACAAAAAATGTGCTAGGGAACAGAAGGAGTAGAAAGCAAGTGAAGCCAAATGAAAGCGTGAGCTGCATTGCACTGAGTTGGGTCAAGGGGGGGGTCAGAAGGAGCATTTGAATGGGTTTGAACATTTGAACATTTTATTCGCAACCATTCGCTTCGATTTGCAAATGCTCGAATCGAGCAATATGGGTCACAATTTATATTTACATAATTGGCAATGCCAATCTAACTATTTGTACTTTCATCATTCCTATGCAAATGCCAGCTGCTTTACAATTGAGCTCACAACTTTGGCCAACATGACTTTCAGTTGACGCCAGGCCCTCCTCATTTTCTTTGTAATACTATACCTTTTTTTCTTCTCTTATATTAGGCAAGACACATTTATTATTATTAAAGCCAAAATGTTCCTTTTAAGTTTAGGCATTGTAATGTGGAAGGAAAGCCAATTCAATTTAAATTGGCACTTTCCTTGTCACCCACATACTTGATACATGCTTAAAAATGTGTGGAATGTAGTGTTGAAATATAATTATGTGAACAAATGAGGATACAGATTTCAACTAATATATACAATAATCCATTAATTTCATCTTAATGGATAAGAAAGCCTCAAATATAAATGTATTTATAATAATGTCTATTAAAGCCTCCGACTCGTTGAGGTAATACTATTTGCTATACGGCCAGATATTCCCCGATGCAAAGCGAAATGTGGTCAGAGACTTTGTAAAATTTACAAACTAAGTAAATTGTATATAGAAGAGAAAACTTAATGTTGATTAAAAACCTAATTAGGTTAGGAGCAAAAAAAGGGAAAGGAAAATCTCCAACCCGGTAGGCAAAAATTGCAGTGCCTGTCCGACAAGCAAAGTCCTGACTCTTAGGCGTAAGGAATGGTTATAGAGAACCGTTTTTAAAAATTTGTGAAAAATATCGTTATAGTCAGAAGCCAGTATCCCTAGTTAGTTGTGCATCTAGACAAGATGAATGGAAAATAATCCCTTGTTGGTCTACAAGGAACTAAAAAAAAACAAGAGAGAACGCTACAGTCGAGCAAGCCCGACAGTGTAATACCCTGTACCCAGGTAAACTTCCGTCACTGAGTTATATGTGCCCATAGCAGCAGCAAAAAGAGGAAGAAGAAGAGCGAACTTGTTGCTGCAGTTTGGGGAGGTTGTACTGGCGAGAATTTGTTTCGCTAATAACTTTTCTCAGAATTGACCGAATTGGATAAAACAAAAATAAAACACTAGACAATTATATATAAATTATGTGTGCAAAGTTTGGTTTAGGTAGCATTTGAAATGTGGACGCTATTGACGAAATTCTGTAGCGGGGGAAGGGGGGGGAAATTAAAAAAAATAAAATAAACTCGTCCTTACTCGGACCCAGGAGAATCTGGATGCCAACTTTGGTTATTCTAGCTTTTATAGTTTCTGAGATCCTCGCGTTCATCCAGACGGACAGACGGACGGACAGACGGACAGACGGACAGACGGACGGACAGACGGACGGACATGTCTAGATCGATTTCTCTCGTCATGCTGATCAAGAATATATATACTTTATGGGGTCGGAGATGCTTCCTTCTGTATGTTACATACTTTGCACAAACCTAATATACCCTTTTTACCCTACGGGTACAGGGTATAAAAAACATTAAATTCAATTTCATGAAGAAAAACTACACCAAGGTTTATAAGCAACATTCCTCTACTATAGAATATGATGGCAAGCAAAGATTATGATCCCCGTTTAATGGCTTCTAAATAAACTCAATGCGTTACTGATGCTTTCTACAAGTATACCTTTCTGGTCACAAAACGCAAGAGCAGTATTTTAACCACAGGGCGTACTAGAGAGTATTTCTACAAGTACAAGTATGTCCGACATTTCATTTCAAAATTGCTTGCTCGCGAGCAGAATTGCACCTACTTGTATGTACGTTATATTGTTAATATATCGCCATAAATATCTCCATACTTATCGTTTTATTTATTTGTACAATTTAAGAGAAATGGTGTATTTATTACTAGTGCTGATTTTTTGTTTTACTGTGTAAAATATCAAACAGTGCGCTTCAAACTAAATTCGAAATCAAACTGGTTATTTTCTTGGACGCTAAACTTACGTTCTTTAAACGTGTTATACAATATACTTGTACATGTGTGAAGAGTTGTTAATACGACATTTAAAAAAGTCTATGCTTGCTTTATTGTTATTAAGAAGTAGCTAATACATGTGATTAAAGTTCAATCTCAATTATCGCCCACCCGCCCGCAGGGATCTGCTGAAGAAATTGTCTGTGAAGGCTGGCCTTATTGGCTGTTTCCGTGGACTGGTTGTCAATGGTGAAATACTGGACATCTACAGCTATATGTCCGTGCATCTGTCAGAGATCATCAAGGACTGTAAGCCGTCTTGTGTACCCTCTCCCTGTAAGAATGGGGCGCAATGCAAGGAGCTATGGAGCAGCTTTAAGTGCGTTTGCAACAATCCCTGGGCGCATATTGGCGAATTCTGCGAGACAAGTGAGTAGCTGGTTACAAAAGTTGACCAATGGACTAACCTCACATATCTACAGATATCAACGAAAAGGCTCTAACCTTCATCAATCGCGAGTCATTCCTGATGCGCAACTATCTAAGCGTGGCACCAACGACAGCGATGCTGTTGCATGGCATTGAGAGCGAGGGGGAGCGTGATATACTCAAGGGCATACTTAGTCAGGATATGCTCATAAACTTGCGCTCCTACGACACCAACGCCTTAGTGCTTTATGCCAACGATCACTACAACAACTTTGTCCAACTCTATGTCAGTCAAGCACGAGAAATTGTTTTCCTCTACAACTATGGCGATGAAATTGTAAACCTGACACTCCTGGACGATACGCTGGTGGCCTCTCTAAAAAGCATCCAGGTTGCCATTGTGCGTGGAGAGCAGGAGACGCGCATGCACGTCAATCAGCGTAGCGTTAGTGTCGATCGGGGTGTTCTACTTTCGGATGAGTACGCCAATAAGCCCTGGAGCAACCCTGAGAAAGGTAAGTCTCGAAACAGTTCCTGAAATTTTATAAACATTGAATATTTAACATATTTTACATACATTTTGACATTCATTTATTCCGGTTGCTTACTGCCAACATGCAAATGTAATTACAATATTATTCCATACTTAAAGGAATCATTTGTAATTATAATTTTTTGAGCTTACATTTTTTCACGGTTTGATAAAATTTGAAAATACGAAAAATTTGGAAAAAGCTTACGAAAACATATTTAAAAAATATTTCAATTGAAAGTTCAAGAAATGGGAAATTAATTTGTTTTTCAAACAGATTTAGTATCCAAATTGAAAACTAGATATAATTAAACTCTACCCATCCAAATATATATGTGGACTTCATAGACAGATTGAAAATTTAACTGTTTTTTTGCTTGGAAGCTTTCACTCATCATACCATCACCAAAAGACTTCCGTTCAGCAGAGTTTGAAATAATCGTTTCGCCTAGATTACACATGAATATCATAAAGAAAATAATGCATGTTATATGAAAATGCCAGCCCTGCAGTAATAATGGCACATAGATACAATTTTATTCAAAGAGATGCTGAATTACTTGTATAAACGTATTCAACCTCTGCTTTGCGATGCAAAATTTATTTGACTAATATTACTTTTACTATTACTTTTAGTATTTACATGACTTTGTAGATAGGGCTTTTTATAATTGTCAGTGTTTTTCTTTACTACGTACAATTTGTTGCAGTTTAACAATGATTTCAACTTGCAATTTCGTTGTGTTATCCCAAAGTTTGTCCGGGCCGAGCCCTTTGTCACTTCCAACGACTACCCGCGCCTGCTTTAGAGGGTTTGTTGTGGGAAGTTGTGTTGTTCTGGGCCTCGTCCAGCGCCACCAACTCCTCATCAATAAGCAGTTCAAAGTTCCCCAAGGCATCCGCACTTGGTATTTTGTTCCAGCGCACATCTGGCACCCCATCTGGGGGCAGCACAACAGACAGTATATTGTCGATTAGCTTGTACTTTAATATGCGATCATTAACCGTGGTGGAGGTCAGGGAAGGCGATGCGTTGACCTCTACTAGCCAAGGCTTCAGAGCATTGTCGATAATAATATCATATCCATAGCACTCGAAACAATGCCGATCGCTGGCCATCACAGGCGCCACAGCCCGTAAGGAGTGTACAATTAGCCAAGAGATAGCACCGAAAAGCCTGTCAGTTACTTCCTTGCCCCGCGTGCCCTCCAAGTACAACGCTAAATTTTGCACAGACCACTTACCACCATGGAGCGTGTTGTACTCTCCACCATGCTTCTGCACACTCACATTTGTCAAATGCACATACATGTTGTCCAGTTCGGTGACGCTTGTGTCATATTTGACGGTGCAGAACCGACAGAAGCCCTGCTTGAACAGATAAGCCTTCAGGGGCCTGAAGGAGGTAACCAGTACGTAGAGACGCAAATCGAACTTTTTGCCGCCAATGAGTAGCGGATTATCGATGTAGCGCGAGATAACGTAACTTTCTTTGGCAATTTGTGGATGGAAAGGACCCTTAGCCTCGCGCGACCACTTCTTTAGCTTGGACAGTTTGTTGATCAGGAAAATGCCCGCTCCCTGAGACTTGCCACACGGTTTCATGATCCACGTGCTCAACGGAAACTTGCGATACTCCTCCACAAACATATTGTAGTCCGCGGGCAGCACAAATGTTGTGGGCACAAAGTCCAAATAGAGATATCGCGTCCCGCTCGAGTTATTCGACTCCGCCTTTTCGGCCAGCGGATTGCCATCGCGCTCCAGATCCTTGCGATAACGTTTAATATTCTTCACCAACAAATCTTTGCGCGAGAGCTCGTAGTGATTGGGAAAATGATTAATCATCTGATTGTCATGCATACGATACCCACTATCCACGCTAAAGATATTCCGGCACGTCTGCACGCCGGCCCAATAGAAATGCCAGTCATCATCTCCATTCACCTGATGCCAGCCTCGCTTCTCGAAATTGTTTACCAACACCGACTTATCGAGATCCGTGCAGAAACCGATCTTCATCTTCTCGTGTCCCTGACCACCACCAGCGCCGCCCGCACCTCCAACTGCGCTGCTCATATTACTTGCCACCGGCAGACGACCGTACATTGTGACTGTGCACTGGCTGAGAGTCGGCTGCACATTGGTGAAGCGCCACGTTTTGGGCCAGTTACACACCACCATCGGTGGTGGTTCAGGGAATGCTTTCTGCTGCGGCTCATTCGACATAAGGGCAGGAGAAGGATACTCGAATCGTTGCCTAGCGTCGCTGGGGCCGCCTCCGCCTCCGCCTCCACCGCGCTCTCACCTGCTCGATTTTCGACTGCAAATTATTGAACTAACAACAAAAGCTGTCGTCGTCTGTGTCCTCGTTGTTTGGCTACCTTTTATTATCCAAAATATGTGCATGCAACTTTTTGTCGGTTGCCAGGCGACCCTCCTACCACCGCCTCCCCACTGCTCTCAATTGCCGACTGTCGCTTTTTTCATATGGCAGCCGAGCGGCGCAAAAATGTTCAAATAGTTTAGCAAGTAAAGTTTCCAAAAATGCCAAAAATGTTCGCAACAAATCTGTTCACTGTGATCGCCAAATTATGTGCAGTTGAATCGGTTTTCTCTATGCCCCATGCAGAGTATCTGTTGTTGGGAAGTGTCTATTGTATAGTGAGTGTGTGTAGTGGGTGTGTCTTTCTGTCTATATAAAACTTTCAACTGTTAAACTGTACTAAAATAAAAAAAGAGAACTAAATAAAAGCTAATTCACGTGTAGTTTGCCACATGAAAGCGGCCTGCTTTGACTAAGTTCTAAACTAAATTCAACTACCGTTGTTGCTCGTAATTTGTCCGCAGACTTTAAATTCAATTTAACACTTTTTGAAATGGAATCAAGAGAAAAGGGAAAAGTAACTCATTTGTTAAGAAATTCGAATATGATAAACATATATTTATATTTAACACTTTAACACTCTTTGAAATGGAATCAAGATAAAAGAAATTCGAATATCGTAAACATATATTTATAATTATGTATAAAAACCCAATCTTTTGGGCTATGATGAGTGACGAATATATTTCGTTTTAACCCCTTATCCTCAACAGAATAATTATGAGTGTTTCAGTCTATTACATTTTAAACAGTTATATTGTATGCGTAATCGGTATACACCTAGAAATCAGCGGGACAACACAATTAATGTTCGAGTTTTTGGAAAAAAAAATCGTAAGACTCTAAGACCAAAATATTGTACGTTATCCCACCTTGCTTTAACTTTATTTTAGATTGTTTTGATCTCATTAGTATTTTTTTTTTAATTATTAATTATTTGTAATCATTAATTAGATCTACAATATGCAGCACCCAAATCATATACATTCATATTTGGCATCCAGAACAATACTCTTGCGCAGAAAAATGGCTTGGAAATGGCACTCTTAAGTCTCAGAATAATGTCTCTCTTACAATTTTTCCTCTATTTGAAACTTCAGTGAAGATCTTCTGAAAAGCAATTGTAATTTCTCTACGATTTTGGGATAAATTCTTTTGATGGTGCGTCATGGTATTCACTCATTTTTTAATAATTTTATTTTTGTTCAATGCACGAATGCTTCCGTTTCCACAAATTGCAACATTTTAGCGAATTATGAGCAGTTGTTTTGAAATTCATGAACTATAGTATGTGCGTCGCAATAAATAAATATTTTTATGCCGATTTACATTCGATTTACAATTATCCCATAAAAAGTACAAAGTGCTACTGACTGATAGTGTGTGTAACAGGCAAGCATTAAATAGAGCTAAATAGAATGCGTAAACATGGAACGAGGATGGAAATTCACTTATGGAGTTGAATGTTCAGATCTGCAATCCTCACTTCCTCGCACACTGCAATTCAACTCGAAAATCAATTAAAGTGAGACCAACACCAATGCCAATATTTCAGTTTTCAATCATAATTACTCGCCTGTGAATGTGAAACTTAACTTCAGTCTCGCTCCGAATGTAAAGTCCGTTCCGACACTGGCCCCATAGCAAGTGGGATAACATGGCTATATATCAGTGCCAATCTGCAATACTTTGCACAGAATAACACATAAGCACTTATGTAATTAAATGCGTTAACTGAAATTATAGTCCAGTTGAAGCCAATGGACGAATCCGATGGCCAAAGGCATGCAGGACCGCCGCACATAGTGCACGCATGAATTTGAAGGAAGGATGGAAGGAAGGGAGAGTGGGCGCATGGGTTTCGGTTAGAAATTGCACAGCCGAATGTTTGAGTATTTGAGCGTGGCATGCATAACGTGCATAGTTGGCATCGTTCGTTCGGCCGGCGTTGCAAACATTTCAATTAGACAAACTTAAACTCGGAATTGATGGCCAAAAAGCAGGCAGAGGCAGGCTATCCAGAAGACCTCGCCGAACAGGACGAGCCCGCAACCGAAACGCCACGGCAATGAAGGCTCATTTCCGCGCTGCATAAACATACACACACACACACCCACACACATGTGCACACTTCTACACATACACTCTAAATGAAGCTACGGCTTCATATGCCAAACGAGCCAACGACAGGCTCCCTGGGCCCGCCATCTATGCCTCTCCTCCATCCCGCGTTTGCTCATCTGTCGCGCCTGTATTTTACCCGCTCATTTGATTTTGTTTATTTGCAGAGGTCCTCTCGCCGCACCGACCCCCCGCCCCACCCACCGAATATTTTCAATTCCACGTCGGCGGCTATGATCCGGCGAATTTGCTTCGCCCGAATTTGGATGCACCCGCTTTAGAGGGCTACATTGGCTGTGTCCGTGGTCTCAAAATCGGTGCGCAGTTGATCGACTTGGCGGAAATCAATGAAAGGAATATAGCGCCGAGTAAGTATAAATCAATTTTCACTGAGTGCAATTTGTGTCCATGTACTAGTATGTGTGTGGATACTTTGCCATACTAATGCCATTTGGGCCTGCTCCCCAAACCGCTTTGCCTTCGAAAACTTAATATGCATGCAATTTCCGTTAAGTGCAGCGGCTGCGCGCCTGTCGGCATGAAACGCAACCGGCTGGCCACTTTGGGCCAAGATTAATGCCAATCCGATAGGCGAGCAGTCAAGCAATGCCTTCCCAATGATTTATGCTTATGCAAAAATCTGCCCTTTGACTTCAATGCCAGCTAACCGGCCAATAAGTATACAGAAATTCTCAGCACATAGTTTCGTTATTTGAAAGATCAAATACGAAAATCAATAGAAGATTAAAAACAAAATTTCATTAATTTAGTTAGATAACTAAAAACAGAACATTGTAAGTCTTAAGAAACACATATACCTTTACAAATTACTGACTTCGATAAAAACTTGATCCCTTAATGGTACCCATACTTTTCAATTTTTTAAGATTAAGAACATATATATACTTTTTGGCTCAGAGGTGATTGGTCTTGGCATGTTATCTCCGTCATGTCCGTCCAAAAGAAGCGTCGCTGCAAGTTTTATGTTTATAGATCTTTCGAGTGATTCTTCCATCTTAGTGTTACAAACATGCTCTCCAAAACACTTTATGCACTTAAACTTTTCATGGAAGAGTATACGAATGTTGTGAGATTGAATTTTTGTCGTTTATCGCTTAAGAAAATATTCGAAATATTCTTTTAAAGCAAATAATGGCATCTTGCAGGGTCTCTTTATATTTATTTGTTTCCCAGTTTCAACTTAAAAAAAAAAATGGCCTTCCCTTAAGATCAGAATTAATTTATTTATTATATTTTTCTCGAGGTTTCAAAGGCAAATAAACCTATTATTTTGAGCATGGTTCAGAATTTTTTAGTCTTAAAATAAAAATCATTGAATACTGCTAAAATCGTATCCCACCGCCTTGCTTATATTTATATTTCTCAGTTCAAAACGGCGTGCTGCCCAATTGCCAGATTAAATGTGATGCGGAGCCGTGTAAGAATGGCGGTATTTGCCAGGAACACTTTGCCAAACAGATATCCACCTGTGATTGCGAGCACACAAGCTTCCTGGGCGAGTTCTGTTCGGAGGAGAAAGGAGCCGATTTCAGTGGCGAGTCGACACTGCAACGCAAATTCGAACTACCAGGCCGCGTACACTACATGCGCCTGCAGCTGGCGTTCTCGTCCTTCGATCTGCGACGTGCGAACCGCATCATGTTGCTCCTACAGACTGCGGAGGAGCGCAGCTATTACCTTCTGCTGGCCATCACCTCTGACGGCTACCTGCAATTCGAGGAGGATCGTGAGGGCGGTCTGATGATGGCCGCACGAGTCGACAGAAATTTCCTGAACAGTGCCCGTCATTCAGTTTATTATGAGCGCAACGGGACTCAGGCAAGACTCTACATCGATCGAGAGCAGGTGCAGCTGGCAGAGAAGCCGGCACGCGTGCTCACGACCAACGGAGATGCGGGCGCGAATCGCGTGCATATCGGCGGCATCAATACGACAGACTCACGCTTTGCGGTCTTCAAGAGTTACAGCGGTTGTTTGTCCAGTGAGTAGATCTTCCGTTGTGGCCTGGGCCATAAATCGTACATCTCCGTGCCATTAAATCTTATTGCTTGCCCATACAACAATTCGCTGGTGGGGTCAACTGCTGCCAGCTGCATCAAGCTGTAGGCCGACTCATCATGGTTTGTACAGTGAACGCAAGTGTACTCGGCTATAGCGAACCCAAAACGACCATAAGATTGTATTACATATTTTCCAATTTATGAGGGTGAGGATGGTATTACAAGCTAACAGCTTTTATACCACACATTGTGGTCATTTTTTATTTGTTTTTCATATCAATGTTTTCTAAAGATAAACAATTCATGTTGTTAATATTGTTAATGATGTACTCTTATAATCCCGGTTGTGTGTTTTATGAAAAAGAAAAAAGACTCGACGATAAAAGAACGATTTGAAGCCGAACAAATGCTAAGGTCAATAGCTCTAAAGCAGACAGGCGGACCGACATCCTGTTCGCATCTGGTTAGACAGACGCAGCGGCTTCTTTGTGACAGTCCTTAATTTAGCTTTAAGAAGCTTTACTGTACACACAATGCTTCCAGGCCACATTGTTGACCAAAAATTTAAATTTATTTTGTGCCATAAAAAGTCATTTCCGAGGCATTCGCTATAAATCGCGAGTCGAAGTTTGTTTGCAACAATTTTCGGAGTGGCGCGCTTTCAAAAATGGCTGCCTTAGCTACCGCAACACTTTGATTAAATTTCAACTAGCCAGCTGCTAGTTACGCCTACAAACTGTCAGCCACGCCTCCTGTAAAGCGTAGCCCATTAAAGCGTGATTCAAGTAGTCGCCCATAAAACGTATCCTTGGCAAATAAAAGGCATTGAATGTGCCACACCCATGCCCAAGCACACGTTCCAGCCAAGTCACAAATCGGGCCAAGTCAAGTCGAGAAGTTAAAATTTTATTGCCAATTTCAGTTTTGGGCAAGCACAGGACGCTGGCACACGGCCGAATGCCCGGCTTGGCCGGTTGCTAGAACCGAATTTGAATTTCAATTTGAATTAATGACCAATACTAATGAAAATTTCACCAATATTCCCAATTGCCGACAAACCGACAACAACACCACCACCAACAACAACAACAACAACAACCAATTTTGCGACAGACATTTACATACAAGTGAACGGACACATTATGAAGCCACTCGAGGAGTATATGCTATTCACCAAGTCTGGAGCCGACAACATAACGGTCATAAATCCGCAGGGCGTACGCAGCGCCCAATGCAATGCAAAATTCGATGTGTCCGAACAGCCCACACAGGAGCCAATGGTCAACGTCAGCATGGTGAGTAAACTAGGCTCTGTTCAGAAGGACATTGCCACATTAAAGATGTTGAGTGGAAATAAATGAATGCCAAGTTGCAGTAGTTATTGACGAGGTAACTTTAGCTTTGGATTGGTTATGTTATACAAGTATCTGGAAAAGCTGGACTTTTAACTTTTGTAAGCTTACACTCTCAATACACATTTAATTCAATTCATTTTTGTGTTAAGCAGACTCGATACCTCAGCGTGAGATACTTTATAAATTAATAATCTTTCATAATATATAATAAATAGTCTAATTTATTCGATTTGAATCATTTAAAGTCTATTTTGTCAAGGAGGAGGAATTCAAAATCAGAAGGTCATTTCTTTTCGAATTTAGTGGAAACATCGAGGCAATTTTTTTTCTTATAGGATATATTACATCACTGAGCATTTACCATTTATTCTCTTTCTCAACCAACATACTTGTATGTTATATGTTGTCTTATTAGACATTCAATTTTTACTTAGATTTTTTACAATTGTACTATATATTTATCTCAAAAACTAAGATGCCTACCATTTTAATTGTTATAATTAACTTGAAGCTTAAATATTTGTTTATATGTAGAATTGAAAAGCCCATTTGGCTTTTATACAATAACTGGGTGAATAAGTTATATTTTGCAATGAAACTACATATGTAAGAAGACCTTTAAAATGCTTTAACTTTTGCTCTCATAAGTACTTAAACTAAAGTCACTTATTTTTATTTTATTTTCTCTTTTAAAAATATAAAATATTTTTAACACTTTTTTCTACTCCACTTCAGTTTCTTAATAACCACATTTGGTAGGGTGTATGAGTTACACTTACTTTCGTTATGTTAATAAAATATTATATCGTAAATCAATATTGACTTGAAAATATTCGAATTAACAATTAAAATGATTAAAATGAAATATATTTTTAGTATTTTTAAATGCACAACCAACAACTTTAAATTAAAGTTGATTTAAATATTAACATGTACCATGGAATATAGTTAACTATTTGTTATTTGAAGTGGGTGCATATTAAAATTATGGCTCAACATTAAATCGAGCACGACACTCTTTGAAGACAAATATTTACACTTTGTTTTAAATATTATTCATATTTAAATCAGTAATTGGATATGTTCTTAGTTAATTTTGTGTTGCTTATATTTGATTTAAATACGAAATATTAGAACATTGAGTTGAATATGAATATATGTTTGAGTGTATAATGGCTGATGAAATTAAGAAGCATATTAAATCGTTCATCAATGAAATTGGCGATTGAAAAAAAAAACAACAAATGAAATACGAGATTAAAATATGTTTCATATGTACAAACGAAGGCAATAAATTTAAAGCTAGGGGAAATTTCATCGAACCCATTGTCCTGTGTGAACAATCCACAATGGTGTGTGTGAGTGTGTGTGTGTGTGTGTGTGTGTGTGTGTGTGTGTGAGGGATGAGACTTAGGAAATTGTGCTAATGAACGACCCGACTTGCAGATTCCTGAGCCCTGGGTTGAGGAGCCGCCGCAACGCGTGCCATACATATCGAAATTCGTTTATGACGTGGACAAGAAGGAGGACTCCACTCAGGTTGTCTTCATTACGCTGACGAGCGTGTTCGTCATCATTGTCATTTGCTGCCTGCTCGAGGTATATCGCAGCCATCTGGCGTACAAGAAACGCATCGAGCGCGAAACGGACGAGGACATTATTTGGTCCAAGGAGCAGGCCACGAAAATGCACGAGTCGCCAGCTGTTAAGGGCACGGGCGCAGGCAGCGCTGGTCCGCCCTACGGCTACAAGCCGGTGAGTTAATTTTTAATTAATTGTGAGTGCGTGTGTCTGAAATGTCTCCGTCTGCCTGTCACGACTCATTGCAGCTGCCGCAAGACGACAAGAAACCTGGCAACGGCCAGCCGTTGGTGGGCATCCTGAAGAATGGCAGCGCAGCAACAGCGACATCGGCGCCCACAACGCCCACAGCAGCAACTAAGAATGGCGACATAGCAAAGCGCATTGAAGAGGAAGACGACGAGGATGAGGCTTCTGAAGAGGTGCATGAGCCAACGGCTCCACAACAGCATGAATTAAATGACGCAGTAGTCGAGCCCCAGCCACTCGCAGAGCGGCAGAATGGGCCCAGCCCAGCAGAGGATTCCACCGCTCAGCCGGACACAACAACAACAGCATCAAATGGTGCGTCATTTAAATTACTTGAAAGACTTGTAAAAAATGAATATTATTCCATCTTACAGCCGCGGCACCTCCAGCAGCATCAGTAACGCCTCCTCCGCCCACGCTGGACACTGGGGAGCGCGAACACGGCCATGAGAAGGAACAAGTGTCTCCGACGCTACCGGTAAGCAGTGGCCCAACTTTGCCCGTTGTACAGCATTTATACAAAGTGGCGCCTCTCGTCACAATAAGTGAGACAAATCTGCACGAATTGTGAGCGGGGTGTGGGCCTCAATCAGATTGGCATGATGATGACAATGATGGAGATGTTAATGATGTATAAATAACAACGCAGCCATGAGCAGCATGCCATTACATTATCTACATACATACATACATACATACATAATACAAATATATCTTCACATTATTAAAGAGCACTTAAACATGTCCATGCATAATTAAGCTGTTATTGTTTGTACATATTACAAATCCATTAAAACACACGCCTATTTCAATGCACATTTCTAAGGCCAGCGCCAAAGAGCGAAGCAAAGAAACATTTTCTTATTCTGCATGGAGTATATTGGAGAATGTTCATCGTCAATCTCTGCTCTTGCATGATTTCTAAAATTGCATGTATTTATAAGTATCTATATACACACATATACACATTAACATACATCGCCTTGTTTATATTTATAAGAATAAGAAGAAAGGTAACTCACACTTTTACAAAACAAAACATTTGATTGATGATGCCCAGTTACGAATCTCACAAGACTTCAAATTTCCCTAAAACGCATTCAATTAAATGACACTTAAAATTAGTAGACACTTAATTTTCAGTAATAACTAATTTGAATTGCTGATTCATTTTGTAGTGCCAGAAATTAATGTAATCTTTAACAATATTCGGTTAATTTTTCACTCACTTATTCGAGCTTATCAAAAATATTAAATGAAAAAATATAAGCATACAGTAATGGGGTTTTTTTTTTAAATTACTAGTAATTAATGTTAGATAGCTCTGACCCATTGTCTTAAATACAATTCATAATGTTCTATATACCATTATGTACGCCTGCATTACGAATTCAGCTAAATATCTATAATCGAAATTAATAAATGTTATACTTTCTTTAAAAAAAGACAGGTTCATCATCAATTTAAGATTATTTACATAAAATAATCTAAAGTTTCATCACAATCTATGCACGATATCAAATACCCATGGAAGTTATTGGTGCATCGATATTTTTAATATGACAAAATAGGTCGTTATAGCCTTGTCTTTTAATTCACCTGGCGATCTGTCCAGTTGTCCGTCCTTCTCTAAGTCTCTCTTCTCTTCTAATCCCTATGCAAGATATGTTTCGTTTTTTCCTGATTCTATGCAACTCTTCAAAAATATATCAATAAATTAGGCGTATATTATTTTCAGTTCAATTCAATTCTTAAAAATTTAAATGATGAGCAAACACAAAACTATTGGGCCCTCTTTCCTTAAAATCGCAAAAATTAAAGAAACGTTCAACGATTTTTAAAGATAAAGTCTTTCTTTAATGTGAGTTATTTCCTTTATTTTCTGTATCAAAGCTTTTCATCAAGCAAGCCTACACATTTGAATGCCTGCTTCAATTTGTCTGTAAATTTACAATGCCTGGTGTTTTAATAAATTGCATTTTGTTTTATTTGATAAATACACAAATAAACAGGTCGAAAGTCAAACCATTTCAAACATTCACTTTCCTATTCATGCGTAAATATTCCAATTGATTGTTGTTGTTTTGACATTAGTTTTACTGCAAATATGAATTGTGTATTCATGCATTGTACCCATTTGTTGGTCCTATTCGAATGTGCTTATGCATTATATGATTGAACAACAACAGCAAAGACTCTAATATTCGTATGTGTATGGCAAGTTAATTTAAAATGGCGTCCTCTTTGTTGCCTTTATAATGGTCCTGTTGCTTTGGCTTATAACACACTTGTGCTTATTTATTTTGTATACCGGAGAACCAACAAAGGAGCGCATGGCGGACTTTGCTGCTTCAAGCAGACTAAGGAGTTTTTAGCTGCAAGCACAAAACGAACTACTTTTGTTCATTGGTTTTCAGTTAGTTGATGCCCTGTGGCCAAGCCAATTGTCTAAAATGTTATTTAATAGAAAAGTGCACAGAGCAGCACAAAAGTTGTCCCGCCACCCATACCCATACCCATACCTTCACCCTCACTCTCAACTCTCCCCTCTATCGCATAGCAAGTAAATTGAACTGCTGAGCTTATTGCAATTGCGAAGCATTCAACGTTTTGGGGCTTGGGTTTTGTTGCAAAAGACATTTGCGAAATTAATATGCGGTTGGGTAAAGCCAAAGAAAAGCTAATGCAATAAGGCGAATGCATTCAATAGAATCCTGTTTGAAGTTATGCTCAAAGTTCAATAGATACGAAGGACGACAATTGTTTACAGCTACTCGTGAGATTTATATGTCGCCAATGCAATTCGGCCAAGAGTATTCGTTTTGTTCGCTCGATGGGTGGGTTTTTTATTTCTGTTTATAAACAATGTTGCTTATGATTTATTGTGATGGCATCTTGCTGGCATCGAGCTAGAACAAAAAGCGCTCGCCTAAGCAACAAACACGAAGCAAAAGCCTCAACAAAAACTTCAACTTTACTTTTGACTTTTCGGCAAGCCTGTAAAACTTTTGCCAGCTACTACCAGCCTCTAGAAACTCTCACACATACACCCATTCCATGTACGAGTATGTGTGTGTGTGTTAGTACGAACACATACCAAAGACAACAACAATGAGCATTGTAAAACCATAATATTGAACTTATTCGCTGCTTGGCGATGCGATGCGATGCGATGCAGATATAGCATGCACCCCGCAGTTGCAGTAGCAGTTGCAGTTGTAGAGGCAGCATCAAAAGTCGTTGCATGCGCGAACTTTGGACCCCCATTTTACTTTCTAGCTTACTTAGCATGTACTTTGTCTTTGTCTGAAGCTAAGCTGCGCCAAAATTGAATTTCCGATCCAAGCTCGTCCTTGCATTCAAATCAGAATCAGTGCCAACTTTGGAGCGAGTTTTGGCTTGTGTTTTATCTGCCGAACCGCCCAGCAAAATTGACAACAAACACTAAAAATGGAAAGTTGGACGACACGACTGCACGCTCCCGGGCCCCATTTCCATCCGTTCCCTCTGGCAAGCCCAGATCGAATGGACGGCACTGCCTGCTTCCTTATTTCCACTTCACTTGCGGCATTTGCTGTATGGCTCTTTACTTCGTTTTTTTTTCTCTCTCTTCCACTTCTCAGCAGACGAGATACTTGTCCCCAGTCCCCATCCTCATATTCGTGGCCAACACGTTTCGGTAGGGCCTGATTGCAAAGCAACCAAAATTGAAGCGTACGCAAAGTTTTTTTGTTACAGCTGCCCCTTGGCCCTCGAAATCAAAAAGTTTCGCTTGCACGGTGTCAGGGCTAAAGGCTCACCGTGGGTTGCAATGTATAGAGAATGTGGTTTCCATTGTTTAAGCCAAAAGAAATACAAAATCCATATAAACATGCACCATATTATCCAGAAACTAACTCTTTTTTGTGTGGGAAAGCAATGGTTGCTATTGAGAATCAAATCCAAATCTGAAATATTCTTTAATTCAGCATATTTATAATCCAAGTAAAAAATTTCAATGTTTGCTGGTAGCAAACAGTTCTCTACAAAGTATATTATCGTGATGATACTATGCACGAATATAATTTAGATTACTTCGATAATGGGTATCTTTAATACAAACACAATACTAAATCCAATATTTGTTAACATGTCTGTTTTAAGATTACGTATTCCTAATAGGAAAATCAAACCCAGCTTCGATTCACAGTTTTCGCCTTCACTTAACATTTCATAAATTAATTGGAAAACGAATTTAATGTTTGATGTGATGTTTATTGGTTTATTTAATCATGTTTCCCAAAATATGCAAAAAATGCAATTGAAATACTACGAACAAATTGTGCGTGCTTTAACAGATAATTTTAAAAAGTTCTCAATTAAATACATACAAAATTAAATATTCAGGCTGAAATTGACTTATGCTAAGAAATTATAATAGTATCAAGTATATACTTCATCAAAATATTATAAAATTAAAAACAATGAACTTGCGAAAAATAATAGTAAATAATAAAAATAGAACAGTCGACAAACGGATTTAAAAAAGGTAAATCTATGAATCCTCCTCGTGTTAACTCACAGCAGAGACATTTGTATTTTCTGGCTTTTCGCAAAGTTCCAAGTATATACTATTTATTATTACTTAAAAAAAAGCAGCTACTACTATTTTACTTATTCAAGCGTATTGTGTACTTACAACCTCAATACACAAATTGCTGTTTGTAGAGACCACAGTGCGACAGTTGCTGGCGGCTCCGGGTGGCAGTGGTGCTGCACTTTTATTTGAGCGCAACAAAAAGTGCAAGTGCCCCCACTTCCACTGCTGCCTCTCTTCCTGTCACTGCTCTGCGATGTATGCCAAGTTTCTTTTTATTCAAAAATGTTTGTGGGTACAGCTGTAGAGCGCGCCCCCGGCCTTCATCACCATTTTGTAGCGTCTCAGACTTTGCTACGCAATGCTTCGTAAAATTTCTTGTTGCGGTTCTTACTGCTCTTGTTAGTACGCTTATAGTCGGTGTTTCAGTTGTTGTTGTTGTTGTTGTTAGTGCAGTGGTTCATTTGCCTTGGCCGCAAACGCAGCACGCACTTAACTTTGCCAGCTACCACAATGCTGCGGTAAAACTCATTACGAGTTTAGAATGCAAAAACCAAACCTCAAGCTAGCACACAAATACAGAAAAACTCGCACATACTTACATATACATAATATACATACATAAACAGGCACTTGCACATACACATGTATACACAATTAACAGATATATGCTCATACATATACATATATAGATGTGTATATTAGCAGTTTGCTAAAAACTAAAAAACTCGCTCTGTAACTTTATGGCAGCATGTATGAGAGTAGGTGTGTGTCTGTGTGTATATGTATATATGGATGTGTGTGTGTGTGTGTGTATGTTTTTGAGTGTGCTTGTTGTTTGCCTAACTTTTCTATAAATCTTAATGAAGGCGTCGAGCTAATGATGTGTAAATTAAAACCCGGCCGCAGTTTAATAAACAAAATACAGCGCAGCATCAATGGCAAGCAACAACAGCGACAACAACAAAAACAACAATAAATAGCAAGCAGCATAAAATCAGTCAAGGGGGCGTATGCGTAATATCGCCCATAGCAACTGGCTTTAATTAACAGTTTTGCTGTACTCTTCTATTTAATGTTGAACGAGTGTTCCTTTTAACTCTTTTCACTCCGCTCTCTCTCTCCTCCCTTCCTGTTACTGCATTTAATTCATTCTGTATATACTTGTATGTGTGTGTAAATATTAAAAAGTCTTTTTGTGTGACATTTAAAAACGACACAAAAATAAAATGAAAAATTCAAATAAAATAAACCCGCCTGAGCATGTTGCATGTTGCAAATAAGCATGAAGCATAAAAGGTACGACAGCAGACGCTGTCATCGCTGCCTGGCGGCAGCAAGCAACAAAACTAATTAAAGAACATGCAGCCCAACAACTACGACAACAACGACAACGACAAGCAACCAAAAAATGTTTTATAAAAAATGCAGAAGCAAAAATATGAAACGAAAAAGTTTTTAATAAAAAGCAATGCCAAACATCTTTGCACTTTGACAGCAGCAGCAGCAACAACAACAACAGCTACAACAACGAAATCCTGAAAATCAAAGGCTGCACCACCAGCAGCAGCAACAACAGCAACAACAACAACAGCCGCGACAACAGCCGCTACAAAGAGCTGCAACACTTCAGCAGCAGAACTCAAAACGACGTAAACCACCAACGACAGTGCGACGTCAAGTGTCTTGGGGACCTCCGACCGTAGCCGAAACGGATGTGGATTTGGCTGTGGCTGTCGGGACTGGATCTGGGACTGGGACTGGGACTGCCACCAAACAGCAGACCACGTCAAAGACTGGCAAACAAAATGGCTACCATGGCGTGAATAGACGGGCAACATCAGCCAGAAACTGACACTGCGCTGACAAATAAACGAGAGACATAAGCATAAATATTTGAGCAAATTATGTTAGGCAACGAAGAGAGTTCTGTGAAGCAGCTGCTTCAATATAAAAATACAATATACTTGTAAAATAAAATGGAAGCAGAGTTTGCAATAACATGGAGATATGTAGGTCTTTGTGGCGAGCAATTTTTCTCTAATTTGTTGACCAACTTTAATAGCCTCGAGCACGAAACTTTTTGTAAAGTCCCTTTTGGTTATATTTTCATAGAAAACACATGAAAAATTCAAAAAAGTTTAATACGTATAAAAAAAGGGTCTTACCAAAATTCAGTGACTAGCTTTGAAGTCTTTTATATATTTTATACTATGGACTTTTACACTTCTCTCTCCTCTCTTAAGCCTGAATTATGAAATATAACTGTAGCAATGAGATTATTTGAACAATAAAAATGTGGTCCTGTGTGTGTGCATGAGTATGGCAAAAAAAAAAAAAACAGTTGTCATAAATTGCAGGCCAAATGGTGCAAGTTTTCCTAAACCGATCAATATCACATTACTGAAGTATATTGAAGAATCTGTGTACCCATAAGGACCCTCCATGTACGAACATGTTGTATAAATTCTGAAAATTCTCGTTTATGGATCTTCAACAATTAACAAAATGAAGCATCTTGTGTTTTAACTATAAGCTATAGAATACTGAATCCAATGTGTGTGTGATTGTGGAGTGTGCGTGTGTGTGTGTGTGATATACTTACATAAGAAGGGAAAAATAAGAAGGTTTGTCAACGAACTCATTAAAAATTAAAGGCAAAGTATGTAAGCGAATTTATCTTCTAAGTATTTCGAAGAATAAAAGACAAAAATGACATGAAACATATCAATTTATTTAAATGCTTTATTAAAAAAGTTTCAAAAGAAGACGGGGACAAGAATAACAACAGCAACATGAAAGGAAAGTCAGCGAGCGACCATAAAAATGACAACAACAACAAAAAGTGTACATAGCGTACACATAATAGCACTTCAATATATGCACGAGTGTTCCCATAAGTGTTAGTGTAGGTGTGTATGTGCATGTGTATGTGTGCGAGGCAACCAACAGCTTGTTGGTGGCTTTGTTGGTCAGTACTTTCAACTAATGTGTTTTGTTCGACCATACAAAATCTCAAGCACACACACACACACACACACACATATATATACACACCCTCCTCTATATGTATACACCCACATTTGATGTACTTAACTTAACATCGCTGCCTGATGCTGTTGCTGCTGGTGCTTCTATACTTGTAGTTGTTGGTGGCTGCTGCTGTTGGGTGCCAACGAAAATAGCTGCAAACAAACCGCAAAGTGAATGTGTGCATGTGTGGGTGAGTGTAAATGTAAGTGTATGTGTGTGTGTGTGTGTGGGGAATAGCATACTTCAGTCCTTTAGCCCCATCCCAGTCCCAACCCGTTTTCGCTCCTTCAACAGCACAGCATAACCGCATAAAATGTCGTTAAGCATAACGAAATTGAGTCTGGTCATAAATTCAGATTATGAGATTAAAATGTTATGATTTTCACACATAGAAAGGCGCAGACGCCATCAAAAATTTGCAGCGCTTGCCTTGATGTTGGCTTCAATTTTGAGCCTCCTTCGGGGACTGTAAAACTGACGCACACCCTTTAGCTTATTGAAAAGCACGTTGACTGGATTATGTTCGCACACTGGGAGAAAAGGAAACTTGACATTTTCTCAATATCTGATTAACATATTCCAAAACTATATTTCGCCGATTATTGTTTCGTACTAATGGAATAAATTACTTAATCCCGATCGGAAGTAGCTTTTTAAAAAAACATATGAGAAGTTAGCGAATTTCTTTTTACATATTTATTGAAAAAGATTATTAATACGAACGGTATTTAAGTGTTTTGGCTCTTATTTAAAATGGATATCTTACAAGTATATTCGATGATTTTCAATATCGGAAATATCGCAATAGTTTGATTATTGTACATATGTTCTCTATTAATAATTGTTTATGTTTCTCAGGCTGCAAAAATGTCCTTTTGTCTATGATGATTGCTGTCTTTTAATGAAGGACATTAAAAACAATGAGAAAACATGAATCTTTCATTCTTTTGAACTGCTTCAATTCTTTCAATTTATATTAAATATAAATAAATATAATGTTTTCTCATTTAACAAATGTCGTCTATTACATAAAATAAAATAGAATTTAAAAAAACGTAAAATTTCCTCACTCAAGTTTTTTTTGAAAAAATCTCGGATTCCTTAACTTAAAGTCAAAAATTCGAGATATTTGTAAATTTAAATAATGATCAAATTTTACGGGCTATATATATTTCGTATTTGAGTTTAATTAATTTTACTTTTCGATATTTAAGTTCACTATTGAATATTAATACAGCTTTTAATTTTATTTCACAATCGCTTTTCTCTAACTGCAACCGTAATGAATTTCTATTGTGGCGCCTTAAGCGTCCTCCATTGAAATTTATGCCCGGCCAGCCAAAAAAAAAAAAAAAAACCAACCAACCAATCAATTCATTGAAGTTTTGGGGCAACAAATTTAACTTTAGGGAAAGCGGAAATTTACGATTTAAACTTTCGTCTTCGGCTCGTGCGTAGATCAAAGTCAACGCAAATATTTTGAGGAAAGTTAAAAGCACACGCGGATATACACGTACATGTACATTTAAACACATTCTTAAATATGACCCTGAACTTCATTCCACTTACATATCAATTTTTAGCTCTTGATTGACTGCACAAGTCGCAATATCCATCGAAAAGTATGGAAACATTTTTTAGAATTTAAATAAACATTGGGGCAGAACCTTGGAAGTCGATGGTAACATTTTTAAATGCCCTTTTTGATTTCGCTTCCAACGTCATGATTTGTGAGCGTATATGCGAAACTACTCCAAAAGAAATTTCATTATGTGGCAAACGAATTGTGAGAATTGAAAATGTATTCCTAAAATACCTTTAACTAGTAAATTCACAGAAACAGACTTTATTCTTTCGGCACAAATTGTTATCAGAAATTTTGTAAGCTGCAGCTTCGACACTAAGTTCCTTAACTCGTCAAGATGTTTCTTATATTGATTTATACTTATACAATATGTAAAACTCCCAAAGGCCGAAATGCGTCGCAAAGGTTTTGTGTTTGAAACGCAATGTAGGAGGGACCCACTTAAATAGAAAAATTGTAATTGTAAATTTTGAATGAATATTACTTATACATTTAACAATGTAAATGCTACGAAAGTTTAAATTTAATTTTGAATTTCCTGGAAAACCAGTCTACTTTGGATAATCAAATATTTTTCATTGAACATTGCTTATCAATTTCTTTGAACACATAAAAAAAGGGTAATCATTTGCATATTTTTGGTTTTATTTTATCGGAGATAATTGAACGCATTTAGAAAAACAAAACGCGGACACAATTGATACGAGCTAAGTAACTAAAGTACCCCCATACTTATTCATAAAAATGAATGAAAACTCAAACTTTACTAAACATTCATGAAATGATGAAATGTGCAAAATATCGAAATCACAAATTTTATCATCATCAACACAAATACAAATGCAAATTTGTTTAAAGGCAAATTATAAATATAATTGAAATATTTCGATCAGAATGTTTTGAAGTATATAAGCAAATATATAAAAGGGTTGGGTCCGTGATTGTATTAGTATATACTCGTATTAGTTCAAATTAAACTGATTATATAGACATACCAGTTTTGGCAGCTGACACATGATCAAGCATTTCGGCCAATATTTGAGAATGTTTTTGTTGCTACGAATTTTCCCACAATTCCATCAGCTGTCAGCTCATAATATTGCTAATTGCAAGCCACCAAGCTATGAACGGGAATGTGGCCGAAAAGGATTAGCCAGCATGCAGTCAAATGTTTGGCAATGCGAATGTGCAAATAGAAACATGCAATGATATGCAAGAGGTAGCAGCAGAAACAGCACCAGAAACAGGAGAAGCAGTTCTCGGCACTTGACCCATAAACAGACACACAGTTGAGCATAATCCGGTTATGTGTCCGGATTAGCGTGTGAACGCATATACGGAACAACAACAGCAACTAGAATAAATACACACACACAGTGGTTTGTTGTTTTTGCAAAGTATTGCAATATTTACGACGCTTTTTAGGTAATGAATGGATTACTTTTTTTAATCCACTTTACGTGCAAAACAACGTACTCGTGCTCGCAAAGGGCACTCAGAACCCTAACCGAACCATTTATTGCGGCTGTGTAAAAAATGCAGTGGCAGACGGCCCATAAAAAAGCATTCGCCCGACTTTAAACAGGCAACCCACACACCTCACTGACCTGTTGCCCATGAATGGCACGCAGGCAGGTCAAATGTCAAGTGTGTATAAAAATACGCAACAGTAGCTAAATGGACAGCAATCGCAACTCAGCATTCCATCAGCAAAGATGTGCAACCTACAAGAAGCGCAACAATCGCCAAATAAGAATCAGAACCAAAAGGATAATTCAGCACCACGGCAATCGCCGACGGCTGCCTATGCCTTGTATTTGCACCGTGAGGAGTTGCGTCGTCGCAAAATACACTCGGCACGCACTTCCATGACCAAAATTCAATTGACCAACGAGCTAATCTCTAAGACCAAGCAGAACATTAGCATATGCAGCAATGAGGATCTGCAGATATTGGCTCGCGAGACGCTCTTCAAGAAGAACCTGCAACGGCATCTCCACTACCGTCGAATGCAGCTACAGGCTTGGATGCTTGCCAAGCGGCAGGCAAAGAACCCGCAATAATGTGATAAGGATTTGCCGAGTAGAACAGCTCAAGTGATACAAACCGATTAAAAAATATGTCTGTTACAATGAGACATAAGGTAGCGGAACAGCTCAAGTGATACATAAAATTATTATATTTAACAAACATCTCGTTAGTGATAAGAAGCCCAGTTTTACATAATTGTACTATAATTAATAAAACCTATTAAAAATTAACAAAATAATTAAATTTAATCAATTATTTAGTTTACACTCTTCGAGTGTTTAAAAAGTATTTAATTAGTATGCTCTTTTTTAAAAACTGCCGAATGCAGGCATCTATATAATCAGCAAAAAAAAATATTATTTATTTTGTAATTGTAGCGGGTCTCAAATTATTAGAATTTTCATTTTACAAGTATATTACATTTAATAAGCGAGTCTACCGAAAAGAAACCCAGTTAGAGGTCAAGCTGAATCACAATTACAGTCCTCATTGGCAGAGTGGTACAAAAGCATTTCATTTTCAAAATTTATAACACTTTAAAAAAAATACTTTACTTCTGAATTTTTAGACAAATTTGTCCAAGCTTAATCTTTCAAATATTAAACAAGGTTCTACTGCGCCATCTTCTTCAGTTGCTTGCTACACGAGCCTACCAATGCTAACAACCTGCTAAAAAGTAAATTATTTAATTGTCACTCACACTATTAAACTTCATATACCCTTAGCTATTTGAAGTAAAGAATTTATAGAGAAGGCCAAAAATTGCACACAATTTTTAATTACTTTCCACATTTTCCATTGCCTCAAGTCTCTCTAACCCCAAAATAAACACGCACAACTTGTCAGTCGGTTCCCTTGAGTCAATAAGGAAAAATATATAGCTCTAATTACAGAGCCGGTAAATATGCTTTCAAGTCTGCCCCGCCGGCAAACTAAAACGTGGAACATCTAACGTCAAGTGTGAAAGTGTATGCACACATAGAACTTTCTGCTTAAATATTAGAATAACACTGACAATGGATTTCAAAATGGCTGCCGGCATATGGCAGATGGGCTGTCTCCATTTCCCCCTTCCTTCCCCCTTCCTCACCACACTCCTTCTACTCGGCGCCAACCGACCTGTGGTGGTGTAAAAACAAATTTACACATGATTACCACGCGTTGCAATTCCGGGGCGTTTAATAAACTCAAACAAAAGGACGCGTTGCAGAAATTTGAACTAGCAGCAGTGGTAACAACAACAACAACAACAACAACAAAAACAAAAACAATAGTAGCAACTCCAATGTCGTCACATGCAAAAATTGCTGTGTAGAAAAATTTTCCTTTTTATCATACATAAATTTTAATTAAATGTCACTCATACGCCATGTATGCCAAGCGCAATGTATGCCAAATACACACACGCACACACTCTTATTCACATTCGAAAGTGTGTGGCAGCGTGTGTGGGTGTGCTTGTGTGTATGTCAAGGGTGTGTGGGCGTAAGTGCAACTGCTGCGACAAATGAATGCACACAAAAGTGGCACGATTACAGTTTATTGAACAGGAGAAGAAGCTGCAACGGCGGCACCAATTGTAACGAAAACAGCCAAGGGAAATACAAGTATGTGCTGGGAGAAAGGGGGAATGTGACTACGCACATAAACATAATTTAGGAGGGACGGCCAATCATTTCATGGGAACATGTGGTTTGGAGTTTAAATCAACTTATGAAGCAGCACCAGTTCTGAGTGCATATGTACATACATATATGTCAGTATGTATATGATAACTACAGCTGTCATGTATTTTTACTAATCTCTAAAAACTTCGTAAAGGTGAGGATCCAAAACAGCTCGTCAGTTGGACTCTTTGACTGCCTTTCCATCAGTCTGTCTGCCAATATTTCTTTAGACAACGCTTTTTCTCGTCCATCAGCCCGACTGTTGATTTGTCCGCGTGAACGCAAAAAGTTCCTGAAACGATTCGCAAACATAATTCTCATGAAGCAATTGGTGAAGAAAATTGTGCTATCTTGAGTTTTTTTCACAAATTTAAAACACTACATTTAATCTCAAGGGAATAAAATCTTTGTACATGTCATTTGAAATTACGCTGATTACAATCCTTCTGTGCTTTTACATGAACTTTTTGCGCACCCCTCTCATACAATGAAGGGTCACACAAAATTGTGGCTTGCGGCCATGCTGAATTTTAGGGCCAACAAATTTTGTACAAACAACCATTGTGCGTGTTGGTGTGAGTGCTTGTGTGTTTTAATAAAAGTTTTGCGACACGCGTTATTCATGTTTTTACAGCAATTACAAGAACATGGGGCACTAGAAATCGCTCGGTGACCATGAAGTGGCCAACCAAATCAGAGTGCCTATAATGAAGGAGAACAAACAATTCGCCCCGTCTTGAAACTTTTTCAATAATTTTAACATATGCTCGCTAAAGTTCTTGACAAATTAACTCAAGTGCGCAATGAAGTGTTTATTGTGCAAGCAAAACTTTTTGCACAACTTGAAGCGCGCCCTCCATCCCGCTCATTGTCACACCGAACAGCACTTGGCATGGAATTCGAGCGCAGCTTAAAGCAATTTGTTATTAATTTCCGTGCTGAAAAGTTAAGCGCGTCAGGGAGCGAGCGAGTCTGAAAAAAACAACAACAAAAAACTTTGTAGCTTCCTTTCACGTTGCTGCTCGATGTTTGCGTTAAATGCGAAAAGTTAATGCTGTAGTTGTTGTTGTTGTTGTTTTTGTTGTTGCTGCTGCTGTCGTCCGGTTGCCGCATTAAAACATTGCCCATAATTGTTAACAAGCATATTTCTTGTTGTCGCTGACCAGGCCGAGGGGCTCCAGCCCCTGAGCGACTCAAACGAGCAACAATGTAGTGCGGCCCAACAATGTAAAACATGTGTAATAAATATCTCTGTAGGTAGGAGTGTTTGCTTCTGTGTGCGACTGCCAAGCATGTGCTGTTTGTTTTGAAAGCCGCTGGCAGGTAATAAATTGATATATGATGTTCAAATTTGAAGGCAACAGAATGCATAAATATCTGGAAAAGTGACTGGCAAAGTATTTTAAATGCTGGCGCCCAGATGTATGCAATGAAAAATGAGAAAGGCAGAATGTTAATATGTTAAGCAGTAGAAGGTGCTTCAATGTGTGTGTGTGCGTGTGTGTGAAAAATGCACGTTTGCATAGACCTTTGTTGTTGCTGTAACCTTCAGCCAAGAACAATAAAAATGCGCAAAATGAAACTGAAATGAGTCTAAAAGTGGGGGGAAACTGGAAAACTATGAAACTATGAAACTATGAAAGGCAGAACGGCAGCGTGATGCGTGAAAAATAACATTTTAAATTCGTTTTTTGTGTTGGTGAGCACATATGTACATACATATATACATGTACACACACACACACACACAGTTACTTCCATGGTAATATGTGTATGTTGGTCTTTGTGTGTTCATTTTGGCCAACACATTTGCACTTGACTGAAATGACGTTGCCACCGAAGCTGCCAATGCCACTGCCACTGCCACCGCTGCAGCTACGTACATATATTACTGTTACTTTTGTTGTAGTTGATTTTAAGTGTGCGTATGTAGGAGCATGTGTGTGCTTGCGCTCGTTGTGTGCTTGGACGTGTGGACAGGAGCGCTTTCATACAGCACGCTAGCCCGGCAGACTGGCGTGCCATCTGCTTGCTCCATTCAGAGCCACCCTGCCGCATGCCACAACGACCAGCGCGGCCACCATTGTTGCCAAAACACAAAGCACGAAACGCCGGCCAAGTTTAATGTGCGCTCACCAAAGTAGATTTTAGTCCTGGCAGCCGGGAGCTTTTGCTAAAGTGCAACGAGTACCGGGACATGGCATCCTCACATCCGTTTTAGGGATGGTTGTAAAAGCTGTGATCCTGAATGTGATAGCTTTGTTCTTTCCTGCATTATGATTATGTGAAATGCGTGCTTTGCTAATTTTCCTTCTTAACTCTTGCAAAGGCATATTTCATTAAAACTTACAACTTAGATATGGCAAATTTACATTTTTCACATGAGCATTGGCTTGACAACAAATAAAACAAAAATGCAAATTGTGTGTTAATAACTCCTCCAATGTTACTCTACTTAGCCCATCAATAACAACTTTTTGCAATGCAATCAATAATAAGCAACGCGTATTATCTTAATATATGTTCAATTATTTCAACGATTTAGCATACGGAATTATGCGGCTTAAAATGTTAATATTTTTATAATTTCAAAAAAGCACGTCCTTTTTCTCCTTTGTAGCAAATGTTTTTTTTTTCAACATTTTTTAATTAGGTCATCAAATCATTCAAAACAGATTAAAAAAAATACGACTCATTTATATTTTTTCTTTGCTTAAAAAGAAATAAAATGGAAAGGGCGAGCGAAAGGGACGAGGCAGCAGCAAATGGATTTGAAAATTAGTTTATGAAAAACAAGAAAGGAATGCTAAAGTCGAGCAGGCTCAACTCTTAAATACCCTGTACCACCCTAAAAAAATTCAATAAATGTAATTTAATTAATAGTTAATTTAATTAAATTAATTTAATTTAATTAATCGTCCTTTCTCGGGCTCAGGAGAATCTGAATACCAAGTTTGGTTATTCTAGCTCTTATACTTTCTGAGATCCTTGCGTTCATACAGACGGACAGACAGACTTGGCTATATCGACTCGTGCTTGTCATGCTGATCAAGAATATATATACTTTGTGGGGTCAGCCACGCATCCTTCTGTGTGTTACATGTACACTCGCACAAAACTAATATACCCTTGTTCCCTTTGGGTACAGGGTATAAAAACTACGCCATTTCAGATTTTATGACGCAAAATGCCAAAGCCTTGGTGGTGTTTTAAGTATTCTGTTTAGTTTGGAAAAAAATAGTATTTGTACTTTGAGTAATAGATTAAATAATTATTATTAATGCAAGCATTATTCTAAATTTAATTGTGACAAGTTGTAAAGCTTCCATTTGACCTAAATAAGACAGATAATAAAAATATCTAATAAAGCTAAGTATGAGGAGATCAGGATAGAAGGGAGATGTACTATAAAATTTCAAGATTTTAATATATATTAGTGTGAGTAAGGAGTTTCTGAAATCAAAATATAATAAGCTATCACGCACCCATCTCCAGAGCATAAACGCATACTATACTCGTAGATACTTACACACACACACACTCTTACACATCAGCACGCCAGCTTACCAATATCCAAACAGCGCACACACAGACGCTTATTGCATTGTTATGTGCACACATGAAGGCATTTATATTACGGCATAAAGTGCAAAATCACGACAAGTGCTACCTGAAACTACAGAAGCAGCTGTGAAACTCTCAAATCATGCGCATCTATTTATTAATATTGGTGTGTGTGTGTGTGTGTGTTGAATGTGTGGACTGGATGTAGCTTATAGTTGCATTTCAGAATTAAGCTTAATAATTACAAAATTTCTTCTTTTTCATTTTCTGTTTACTTCGTTTTGCCACACATTCCATTAATTTGCCAACGCTTCAGCCAAACAGAATTAAGCCTTAAAAACTAGTTGCATATAACGGTCCTACATGTACAAGTACAAGTCCCACACCCTCCAAAACGCTCAGCCAACCTTCTCCCCCTCTTCGCAGCCAACGGAGCCACAGCAACGCAAATCCCACCACAAAGCCCACGACGACACTGGCCAAGCCTTTGATGTGAGCGCCACGAGCCCGGACCTGCCACCCCCTTCACTACCCCCACCACTACCCCCGCCACGACGCGAACACTCGAAAGCGCCAGCTCTGCGACCAGCCCCGCCTCCCATATATCTCGAGAATGCACTACTCCAGCGCCAGTTCGCGAATCCAATTAGTTACTTGGGTGGTCCGAGGCTGCCACCACGCAGCAATCGCAGCAGCATCGCGTCCATTTTATCGTTGGATTAGGTGCGAATCCGTCGGCAATGGATGGATGGATCCCAACAAGGCTAGTCACAGTCACAAACTCAAATCAAGTGCCCGAGAATAACCGACGAGCTGTCGGCCAGCACGCAGCTGTGTATCTCCATTAGCAATGTGACCTTAGTTAGTACTTAGCTAGTTTAAATTTAGTTAGGCAATACCTTTTGAAACTCACTGTTAAAAAAAAAAAATAATAATAACCATGTTACGAAATATTTATGCCTACGTTTTAATTGCTGCATCAAATTCATGAAGTAAGCAGAATTACAGGGTGCTTCGACAGCTGAAATATAATTCTTGAGTATCATTTGAGCTAACAAAACAAAAGAGGATGCCGACAGTGAAATACCCTGTACCCAAAAAATAATCCGCCGATGTGTTACACACGCGTACATCGGAAACAAGAAGAAGAAGAAGAAGTAAGATATACATAGTAGGTCTCGTAGTACTGGAATAAAATTTAGAATGCCTTAGAATTTACCGATTAGGATGAAGTTTAAAGTAAGAAATAAACATTTATTACGTTCCATACGTAGTTGTATATATGTATATATAATTTGGAATTGTGGACAGAATTGACGAAATTCTGCAGCCGGGGAAGAATAAACAAGAGAGAACGCTACAGTCGAGCAAGCCCGACAGTAAAATAGCCTGTACTCTCCACAAAAAAAGGAAAAATAAAAAAAATTAAATTCTTAAAAATAAGAGAGAACGCTACAGTCGAGCAAGCCCGACAGTGAAATACCCTGTACCCAGGTAAACTTCCGTCACTGAGGTATATGCGCCCATAGCAGAAGTAAAAAGAGGAAGAAGAAGAGCGAACTTGTTGTACTGTAGAGAATTTGTTTCGCTAATAACTTTTCTTAGAATTAACCGATTTAGATGAAATTTGAAACAAAAGTAGTTAACGTAACATTTGAATTATATATTATATTTGAATTTATATATTTATAGTTTCTGAGATCCTTGCGTTCATCCAGACAGACGGACAGACAGACAGACGGAAGACATGTTTATGTACAGTTTTAACAGCATACATTTACATCATCGTGTCTATGCGTGTATGTATGTAGCACAAAGTTGAACCAAAGCAGCAACAACAAAACAAGTAAAAAAAAAAGCTGAAGTCGGATATCCCGACTTTGAAATACTCTGTACATATCTTTAGAATAATTATAGAAATTAAAAAAAGTTTAAAAAAATTTGTTATCGATTTTACCTCTCTCGGTATTCGAACTCACGTAACTCACGAAATCAAAATAATAAAACAAACTTGCACAGCGTACACAAATAAGGCATCTTTGTGCAAAATTTGGTGTCTCTAGCTCTTAGTCTCTGAGATCCAGGTGTTCATACGGACAGACAGACATAGATCGACTCGTCTTGTCATGCTGATCAAGAGTATATATACTTTGTGGGGTCTGCCACGCCTCCTTCTGCCTGTTAGCTAATATACTCTTGTGCATTTCATGTACAGCGCATGGGCAGCGATTTTATTTATGGCTATAACTTTCTTCAGAATTGACCCATCATGGTGAAACTTGGCATACGGGCACATAAGCACTAACTAGATGTAACTACCAAAATGGATTTCAAAATTCCAAGAACTACGGAAGTTATATAAAAACACGAAAAAAAATATTTAAAAAAATTTAAATTAATTAATTAAAAATGAAGTATTTAATACATACATAAAATATCCATTTGAGGTAGAGAATTCTACGCATAAACTGCTTTTACGCACATTCAATAATGGAGATGCTCATTCTTTTTCTTACATAATTCTCGCTATTAGGCAATATCATAATTGCATTGTTTTTTTGAAATCCTGTTTCAAGCTTTCGCTACTCAGGGTGCCGCTCTTCGAAACAAATATTTTTGGTGAAGACAGTTTTTACCAATATTGAAAGTTTCACCTTAAATTGTAGGATTCCTAAAACATCTGAGCCTCCTTGTTGTATGGAACTAATCAGGCATGTTACTGTTTCGGAATCCTATTAATAGAACTACATCATTCAAAGAATAAATTATTTACCTACAAACTAAGACACTTTCTTGAGTTTAAAAGCTGGTATGGGATTCTGACAGCAATTAGTATCATGAAAATATAGACAATTCTAAACAAATTCGTTATTCGTTTTCGATTTGAATATCTTTCCTTTTCCCCTGAATTCGAGAGTGAAATAAACAATATTTCGAAAATATTTTTTGTACGATCCCAACCTTTTTAACTTTACTGTTATCGCCTATTTTCCCGCCGCAGTCAATCAACTTAACGTTATGGCAATAAACAAAAATTGATGGTACTATGATCAGCTATATGCCAGCTATATGATATAGTGAAGCGATTCTGATGTTCATTCACCATGCCGGGATGCAAGCTGCAAACATACGAACTTAGAGCGGCCGGCAAGCATATTACTGCTAGTATATTTCCATTCGACAGGTGGCATACCGAACGTGAAAAAAAGCTTTTTAGAACATACATCTTTTTATAATAATAAAGAGAAATTTGTCCAGATTGCACCTCTTTATCGAGTGGTACTAGATTTATTAAAGACATTTAATTACGCTTAAATACGCGACAATATTTTATTGGTTAAATTATATTCGACCACGCACGGTGAATCGCCTATAGTAACTTTAATTTTCTTATACGAAATGGGTCTACACTGTACTGAAGTGACCGGACGACTGCTGGCCGTCCGACGTCTAGTCTTGGCTTACAATAAATTGTATTTAGGTTTACATGCACTAACATAATTCGGATTTTAAAATTTAGCTGAATGATAGACACAAACTCTGTGAAGTTGCAGTAGTCTGCTGTTTTCTGTATGTTGCCAGAATGTAGCAGGCGCCGAACAATGAGAAGCCCTTACCCCAAACTAAAATTGAGAGGAGCCTTGAGACCTGAGACGGTGCTATTGTTTAGGATGAACATGCTTTTGGTTTTAGGATATCGGCGCCTCGAGCGTGTGCTAAGTAAAATCTGGCGGCTTGTACTTGGGTGGACGTTTAATTGGCTTCTATAACCAATTACGGCCACCACGTCATATGTTGTTCTCCTTGGCGCCCTTGGTGGAGGCGGCTGCGGTACCGGCATCATTGTCGCTTTTGCTATTGGCATTGTTGCTGTTGTTGCTGTTATTATTGGCTGCCGGCGTTTCTTCACCATCGACGGGCTCAGCTGTAGATCGGAGGACAAAATTATTTGCTGTAAGAACTATAACCTTAGCAGTAAAGTAGTAGGAACTAACCTTTCTCTTTCTCATCTTTTATCTCGCTGGAGGTTTCTGAGGACGTTTTATTGCTTGAGTTGGCATTGGACGAGTCTTTGTCTAGACGCGGCCGTTTGCGTTGACCCTTATAGCTGCGATTATCGCGACGACCGCCCTCACCCTCATCCTCTGAATCGGAGTATTCGTTTTCGGGTACAATGCGTTTGTCTTTGTCGCTTTGCGGTAAGCGCTCATCCTTGTCCACCTTGTCCTCCTCATCAGACTCATCATTGATGGCGTCCTCGGGAATTGCCTGGATTTGTACGCCAGGCGCGTGTGGCAGCATGCGTAAATTCTCGAAAAGTCTGCGTCACATAATCAAAAAGCAGTTAACGGTAAGTAAAATGTAGTGTTTTTTTTTAACAGAATGCGCACCTGTTCTTGATCTTCTCCAGATATTCGGAGGTATTCTGATTTGTCATATTACTCGGACTGATGTGCAACTTAAAATCGGGTCCGAAATACTCGAAGTAATCGTTGTAGGGCAGCTCGTTGGCAATCTCCACGGCCAGCGCTACCGACGTCTCGTACGTCCAGCAACGGGACACATTTCGTATAGTGTATCCACCACCGCCAACCATTAGGAAGGGTAGATTATACTTTTTGACGAACTCCACACACTTGCCATGCCCACGAACCGTAAGATTAAAGCAACCCAGGCGATCACCGGTCAACGAGTCGGCGCCACATTGCAGCACCACAGCCGCCGGCTGGAATGTCTCCATGACCTTAGATATGATAGGCACGAATATGCTTTCGTATGCCTCGTCATCCATGCCATCACGCAATGGTATATTGACGGCATAATACTTGCCCTTGCCGGCGCCAATGTCACGTAGGTCGCCGGTGCCTGGGAAGTACTCGCCGTATTTGTGGAAGCTGACGGTCATAACACGATCTGTTGTGTAAAACGCCTCCTCGACACCATCGCCATGATGCACGTCAATGTCGATGTACAGCACCCGCTGGTGGTATTTCAGCAATTCCAGAATGCCTAATACAATGTCATTCACATAGCAGAATCCAGAGGCCTCCGATTTCTTGGCATGATGCAAGCCACCGCCCCAGTTGATGCAGATTTCGGAGGCCTGTTTGTTCAGCTTGACAGCGGCAGCGACGGAGCCACCTGCAGAAAGCTGACAGAACTCGTACAGACCATCAAAGACTGGACAATCTTCTCCCACGTTGAAGCGCTGCATCTGTTTGTTGTATTCGGTCATGTTGTCTGGCCTAATAGACCGCAGAAATCGCACGTACTCGTCGGAATGGAACTTGGTCATCTCATCGGCAGTGGCTTTGTGCGGGCGCTGCTTGTACGAACGTTTATTAATTATCTAACCGGTTCCAAAAGACGTTACACGCAATTAAACTTACGTAAATTTCCATTTTGCGATAGAGCCCATAGTTGAGCAGGAGATTGTGCGTCATGCGTATGCGGTGCGGCTTCATAGGATGGCCCTGGCCATAGTAGTAGTTGCCAATGTCGCCTGGCAAGAGAAAAAAAAATAAATGGCGGCGTGAAAAAAATAATTAACAGACGCTTTGCAAATTATAAATTTTATCACGACTGTCGCGAAGGCGTCTACGAACACAGCTCACTTTTCGCCTAACGGCCGCAGCGCTTTCGCTACGTGCTCGCCGGTGGCTTGAACAAAGACCTACAGGTACACACACACAAACTCAATGCCGCGCTACGGTCGTTCCCGAAAGTGCGCACTGGCATTGTGCCCGCCGGTACAGTCGCCATAAAACTGAAAATTTTCAAGACGGCTATCATAAAGTTCCGGGGGGCATCTTATCCGATACTTGCAGACCGCAAATGTTGCCGAACTATGTGAAAACGATCATTCGCTGCTTTCACAATTTGTTTTTAGCAGGTTATTAAGTTTATTTAGACCAACTTACTGTCGTAATAGTAACAAACGCGCTTTTTGCTATGAGACTGCATTTTTCAGTTACCAAAAGCGACTTATTCTGGCGCTCTACGTACACGCGCCGGCTCTAAAGATATTGTTAAAAGCGAACAAGCCTATATGTAAATCTCACAGTTTTTTTTAAACTCAACTAAATTTACATGAGTATAAAACTCTGTCCCGCGCACTAAAACGAATATACAACTAATCTAGTCTCTTCAGAGTGTGACCGTATCACTGAATAATCAAAATACTGAAGGGCTAGCGCTCGCGTGGCTACTAGAGACGGGAATGCGCACGAAGAAAAAATGAATAATACCGATAAGTACCAAAGAAAACATATTAATTTGAATAATTTCTAATACCGTGATTATTTGTCAATTATGTCTCTTCTATAAGATTTATAAAACAATTAAAATTCTCATTACCATTGTTTATATATATATACAGGGTGCGCCATCTTTTATGTCGGTATGTAGATATTGAATAACTTTGTCATTAGTGAACCGATTGACTTGAGTAGACCAGTGTTGAAAACCTCAGTTCAAGAAATTGTACAGAACCAAATGAAATAAAAATATATCATACTGGAAAATCGGTTGTTTATTTTCAAAAATATTCAATGTTTACATACCGACATAAAAGATGGCGCACCCTGTATATATATATATATATATATATATATATATATATATATATATATATATATATATATATATATATATATATATATATATATATATATATATATATATATATATATATATATATATTATTATATTTAGTATCACAAAAACATCTTGTTCACCATAATTTACATCTAACAGTTGGCAGATACTTTTCATTATTTTTCAAATTGTGAGAGTCCGATACATTTCATTTTCCATTCCCTGATATATCGAAAACAAAAGTAGCACATGCTTCCCAAGTATCGACTTTTATCGAATCCTAATAATGAAACTCACCACTCTTTTTATTATAAGGTGGCAGCATGCACAGTGGTGGGCATCGAACTGCATGGCATCGAATTAACAGTTAGTTCCAGTCCGACAGCGTTGGCGTTTGCGTCGGTTGTTTTGCGTTTTTTCTTCATATTGTTGTTGTTGTCGGCAGCGTCGCATGCGAAGACAGAATAAAAAATCATAAATAAAGTGATAAAATTAATTAAATCAAAGTGCAAATTGCATAAAAATTAACACCAGTGAACGTAGCAGCTTAGCTCACACGCGAAACTAGCGTAAGTTTTATGTTGTGTTGTGGTGCTTTTGTGTTTGTTGTGTATGCCCGTGCGAATGTGTGTGTGAAAAGAGAAAGAAGTTTCAAAGCAAATAGCAAGTGAAGTTGCAGTAACAAACATACACACGCGTATTCATACGAAAAAAGGCAAAAGAAGTGGAAAAATTGAAATAAAATGTCAAAGCGGAGTAACAAAAACGAACGCGCCCGCTTTCTGTGCATGAGAATTAATTAAAATGGATACAAATTTTTAACCAGCACATATCCTGCGCATCTCTTCCGTTCACACTGTAACAGGCCAGACGAGTTTTGCCGACTGCCGCAGACGGTTATTTTCCCTGCACTCTAAACCAATACCTTGCTAACAAACTTGTAATTATTTTTGTTATCTCCTTTACAATTTTTGTTTGTTAATTCCATTTAGTTTTCAATACGCCCGCAGGATATAAGTTGCAGTTCTTTTTTGTCGCGTACGTGTTTAATTATAGTTTCGGCTCTATCTCCCTTCACTACGTACACACGCACATACACACAGGGCTGCGCGTTTGTGTGTATGTGGCTCTTTTTGCTCGCGTAGTCATCTTTTTCCAATTAGCGTTTTTAGTAACCCGTCGATTTTCTTCAAAATTTAAATCAAAAATTTATTTACCATCGTTTTTGCCCGCAGTCTAACGACCGTGAAAAGCAACACAAACAACATAATCATCAGCTTCAACGTTTGGCGGCGACTTTTTGCGAAGAGGCTGCTGTGTAACTGTAAACGGTTGTCGTTGTGGCTAAGCCGCTGTTTTTAATCGCTAGATTTTCGCTTATAAATGCACATAAAACGCGCCGAACAAAGTTGTTTTCTAATTAAGAAAGGTGAGTGTGGCACGATTTAGCTTTAATTATGCCTTTGTATATAAGTATTTTTCCTACTTGTTGCCCTCTTTCTCATCTCTAAAAATCGCGGTTTCGAAAACTTGAAGAATAAGGCACTGGCGAAAAAGTAAACATGCTTGTTTGTGTGCCGACCAACGCATTGCTTGTCTACTCTCCATTGTGGTACTTGTTGTTGTATTCCGAAAAGTGGCACAAAACTGCATTGCCAGCCTGCGCGCTGCTGCTTATTACAAATTGTGCGGCAAGTACCGTTATAAAAGCCAATGAACGCACAAAGTAATGGAACTTAAAAAAATACTTGCAAGAGCAGAGCTGAAAGAAGAAAACAAATCTTACAATAAAATCAACAACAACATCAAACTGGTGTAAAGTTCAAGATCTGTGTGGTTTATTTGTAGTGCTGCCATCTTAGCTATTTTCCCGACGTTTTGGCGTTTACACAAATATGCTGTTGGGATGTATAAAAAAATGAATGTCTATATAATATATGTACTTAAAATAATATAATATTAATATGTAAATGAAATATTTAAACATTTAAAATTGTTCCAGCTAGTTTCAAATCCTGGTCTAGCCTTTTTTTGACGTTCCATGTTCTTGTGCATTGTGTAAGCAATGCAGAGCGCGAGCGCAGCTGTCGCTTCGCTCTCCCGTCCCAACTTGCTTATGAGCAACAACGTACACACACTCTCATGAATTTATTTCTATTTGCGCTGCTGCGATGGCAGCAACAACCACAAGAGCAACGTGTCTGCTGATAAAAGACAAATCTATTTCCATGTTGAAGATGGGAGCAAAATTAGTATTTCTGTTACTTTGTCACAATTACTTCCAAGCATGCGGTAGGGTAACTACATTTTTTAAGTTCCTACATAATTCCATATTGGCTAGAAATCGTATGCTTATTTATTAAAAAAAAAAATGAATTATAATAAAATTTATAAACTTGATGAATTGTTAAATGTGATTTAACTAAGTAAAACATACAGCACTATAACTTCCTGATTATATTGAATAATTAAAGTCACATGATATAGCAGTTTAAAATATCGAGGTTGAGTTCATCTCTGGAGCACATTATGAAGTCAAACGGCATGTGGCAGGGTGCTATAACTTTAGATTTTGTTGTTGGTCTTGCTGCTGCCATTGTAATTGTTTGCTATTAAGCCATCCAGCTGTCTTTTCGAAATAGTTACCAGCAGGGATAACCAACAACCAGCTGCATCAACGCACTCGCTCGCTCCCACGTCGCTTCCTGCCTGTATTCATTCACCATAGCGCGCTACTTGGGCAGACTTGGCCCGTGGATTTTTGTTTGTGCGCTATTTTTGGGTTTTTTCCTTTTGCCCATGCCTATGCATCGCTGTCGCTTACCCGTTTATTTATTTACCTTTTCTTCCCTTGTTTATTATCCCTGTGCATATTGTCTTTTGAAGTTCAAGCCACAAATTTGTTGTCTTATGCTATTTTTGTAGCTTATCTTCTCTTACACAAACCAAGTGATGTTCTTTTTTTTTAATTTTGATTTTTATTGTAGAACTCGGAAACAAACATTTTCATTAACACGTTCCATGATATACTTACACACATATATACAAATATATGCGTGTCTACATATGAATGTATAGTTTATACATATGCATGCATGTACATACTTGTATATTTACTTGCGTTTATACTATTTCCTGATTATTGTGAGAACGGGGAGGCATCTTGTTTTTGGCACTTGCATTGCCTCTCCACTTCTGAAGCACCTTTCTACACTTGCCGCCGTCCGCTGCTTTGTTTTGTTATACTTACACATGTACATATGTATGTATGTTTTTATTATCTGTTCTTCTATTGGAGTTTCACTGCCAACAGATAAAAACACAAACACAGGCCGTGGCTTGAATTTGTATTTACTCTTCCCATTTCGACATACTCCTGGCCTTTTCGGTAGGTTGATTGGTACATCAAAGCAGCTGCATCAACAGAAGCACTCGGGCGAATACTTGAAGTTCATTAGGGTGCAGTTGGAGCGCCAATTATGATTTTTGACCTCTGCTCGTCTCTTTGAAATCGTTGCGAAATTATTGCAGCTCTTTTTAATGCTTGAGCGGCAAATCTGCTTAACTCATTCAGTGGCGGCAGGTTAACTTGTTGAGGGATTTTTGTGTATGAAAACTCTGGTATCACAGCCAAGGCGACATCCAACTAAAAAACACATACTACAGGTACATATGCATATTTCTAACTCTGATAAATTAAGTATATGCAAAGTATGCAATTATATTTATCATGCCGTGATTTACGTAGCAAGATATTTAAACGCTCTTGTAATAAATACTGAATTCATTTACATACATATTTAGCGGTCTAAGATGTTGGTATGTTGTTGTTCTTGCTTGGATTTCTGAATAACTTTTCGGTCATACTCCTCTCCTATTTTTGCCGTTAAACATTTTAGTTGGTTCTGAGGGAAAATGTCTTGTTACAGAAGCTCGGCTGTGGCTGCCATGAAAGCTTGATAATGTGGGGTGGCCAGTGAACGGTAAAAAGGCAGCACCAGAAAATCAAGAAAAAGAATACGTTGAAGCACAAATAGATTCAATTGTTGAGACTGCCTTTTGTGTGAAGCACAGCTTGTCGGCCACTTACCGAACACAATGCGCCAAGTTTGATTGATAAGAAAATTGAAAGTGGGCAAGCGAATTAGAGGCAACAAAAGCTGGTGGCAAATAGATCACAAATTTAATTCTTTATTTTTCTCAAAACATAAAACAAGCACAACAAACAACTCTAGCTAACAAAAGAATTTAACACAATTGGTATCTGTACGTTTTAAACTGAGCGGTGATTTTTGAGGCGCTCACGCAGCTTGTCTAGCAGTGTTTTATCGGAAATATGTTCCAAATAGGGGCCAAAAGCCTCTAGCATTCCATCCAAACTTCGACCTGTAGAGACCCGGAGAAGATGGTAGCTTTTATCCAAAGTAGCTGGAAGTCTAGTTTGCAGAGTGGGATACGTCAATTCATGGGCGTTGATCAGTTGCTGCTCCACGTTTATTAGGATCTCGAATATGCGTTTAAGATCACTCTGCACCACACCATATTTATCTTCAGTCAATGATCGCTCACACACAGTGGCAAGTCCCTGGATAATCAAGATCAAAGGCTGTGCACAACGCAATTCGTGATTGGCTCGCGAACATACATTGGACTTAAAGAGCTGCTCGAGTCGGCGTGAACTGCAAACATAATTCTCCAATATTATTTTTGCTGCGTTATTCATCCATGAGACCATTTCTCGAAGGAATGCCCACAAATCAGATGGGTAGGGTTGTGGATTCTTCATATTTAAACAGCGATGTTCTTGTCCGGGGTAGTGCTTCGTTAGTGTAAATTTTGGGAATGGCGGCACCAGAGGACGCATGCCTAAATATAATCGCGCCTGACGTTCGCTATGACGCAGCATCTCTCCCAAAGATTTCTGCTGTTTCGACATAGACGGTTGGGGACAACATGCTTCCATATTTTTGATAAATTCGTCAAGCATTTCGAGGATAACATCGCGCAATTCTGACCAGGGAGCTTTCATACATCTATTCAACTGAAAAATCTCCCTACATTTTGGACTATCATAGCAGGACACAATATCGTAAAAGTCCTTGGCCGCCTGCAGCTGAAAGCCATAAAGGAATTTGGTGCTTAGTGCCTCACTAAGCGTCAATCTTAGTTGAGTTTCTTCAATACCACATTGCGGATTCTCGTTAAAGGGATCACAAATCCACTGTTTTAGAAGTTCCCATATCATTGTACGCAAGCATATGTTCTGAGACTGGCTTCCGTTAGGATGTAACCCCTTTTCGATCACCAGCGGCAATTTTAGATTGAGCACCACATCATATATTTGGCGAACTATGTGCAGCTTGGCCGTAATCAAAACACCGGCGCTCCAGGTGTAAATCCATGTTTGAGGTTTGTTCAAAAACGTAGTAAAAAAGAAATAGCAAACACAGAAGAAAAGAGCGGGTAAAAAAGTCTCTCGCAGTGCCAAAAGGGCAGAATTCCAACAAATCCATTTCACAGAAATTCTCAGTCCGAACCGAGCTATGGGAAGTTTGGGAAAGACATGACGTCTCCGATGCACGCGCATAAAATAATGTAGGCCGCAAAATAAACCATAGTATAACGAAATAAATTTCAGATCTTCCGCAAATCTGCTGTAAAAGAAGCCGCTATAGAATCCCACATAGAGTAGCACCGCCAGAATCGTCAATTTTCGTGGCAGTTCGCGTATGATTCGCTCCATTCGAGTGGCATAATAAATTGGGCGCTTATTGTGCATCTTGAACAACAGCAAACCATAAATGCCAACGCCCACATGGAGACCTTGCATCAGTGTCCATGTATATATCGAGCACAACGTGTTTGTGAATACTTGTTTAATCCAGTCGGAAGTATTTCCCATTTCAAAATGGACAACCACCAAAAATAGACCCAGCAGCACATATTCCAAGCAGGCACAAAGCCATGTAGCGTAAATGTAGCGCCACAATATTAGCTTCCGTATATTAGCGGGCACCTGTACGACGTAGGCGGGTTGCACTTCCTCCATCTAGTAACGCGTCCCAATATAGTTAGATTTAAAGATAGGATTAAAGGATAGTATTAGAAAAACTTAAAACAATAGCTTACAGTATTTGGTTCCAGAATGCTGAGATATAAATTTACGAGTTATCTTAAATATTAAGTAAGACGAACTGACTGACAGGTGACATTACATTTCAAATAATTGTATAAAAACAGATTCATAACATACACATTATTATAGTATTAATCGTGGAGTCGATTTATGGTCATAGGTGTTTAAATGATTTTAGTAATGCAAGTGCACTGTAATAATGAAGATTTATTTCGAATACAAACTATGCTGAACAGACTACCTTAACCAATTTTATTTTCTGTCTCAACACAGCGACACTACAATTAGGGTATACTTTTTACTAAAATTACTCTTGCACTAATTGGCTGATTCAGGCTGAAATGTGGGAAAAGTAATCGACATCGATAAACAAATTACAAGTTTGAAACCATTTAAGCCAGACTAGTTCTTTTTATGCCCTATGCCTATAAGAAGATATAAGAAGAAAAGACGTGGAAGACCACGACCTTTATTATAGTATAGGTATAGATAGCCATAACAGCTACGGGCTAGTTTTTCCGTAGTTTCTACGGATGTGGTTTTAAAATGTGGGCAGTATTGAAAAAAAAAAAAAAACTAGACGGACATATCTAGGTCGATTTCTCTTGTCATGCTGATCAAGAACATTTTCTTGGTTTTGAAGTTTCAAATGCGTGCTAAATAATTGCTCTTCATTCAGTTTCATGAGCCATACCAAGTAGATACCAAGTTTGGTTATTCTAGCTATTGTACCTGCTAAGATCCTTGCGCTCATACAGACAGCAGGACATGGCTTAATCGCGACTCGTCTTCTCATACTGATCAATTATATATATACTTTGTGGGGCCTGCCACGCCTCCTTCTGTGTGTTACATATATTTGCACAACACTAGTAGACCCTTTGGGTACAGGGTACAAAAATTGCAGTTAATTTGTTGTAATCAATGTATGAATCATCCCCAATAAAACAAAATAACTTAATACATCGATACTATGTCATAGAGTGGATTTTTCCCCACTAACCGATGTACATATCAATAATTCTTATTGGAACAAAAATAACTTAATAAGGATACGTACATAACTATGTATTTCTTAGAGTGGAAATCTCCCCACACCCACATCCGTTTTTTCAATGCGAGAAAGGACGAAAGATATTACGCCTTGGGACTCTTCTAACGTCAATCTGGGTAATGGATGTCTTTGTGAGGGCAGCATCGCTACCTCCTCCCAAGGCAAAAGTTCAAGTTTTTATGGCAATTTAAAGTTTTTATTTTTACCTGAGCTATTTGCACTAAAGCAACTTCAACAACAACAACAATAACAATGCGAGCAACAATAGGGAACGCTGGCAACAACCTGGAACTAAGTGCTATGCATTTTTGTTATTGCATCGGTTTTTTTACACTACGAAAAAGGCATATGCGTTTCATAATAAAATTTGTGAAAAACAGAATTTTATTACTATACATCATAGTACCTACAGATCATATGCAGGACTAAAATGCCGAAACACTGACTTCAAGACATATTCCTAGTTTCAAATGAAATCTGTGATTTGATATTCGACAGCTTAGTAGTTGTTATTGAGAGTAAAATGGAAAAAATGTTAAAAGAGAGACGTACGAGTATGTATGTACATAAAATATTTGGAATCTCTTTCGACATTAATCGGTTGCTTTAATAGTTCCACTGAATTGAATTTTGTCTTAGTGACAATGTTGACAGGTGCTTCCTAGCATTAATATACAATAGAATAAATTAAAGGCTTGGGTTGCTTGGCAATTTTAGCAAAGTTCGTGTTTGTGCTAGCTTCTCAGAGTATCAAAGCTCTTACTTGACTTGGTGGTTGGCCAAAGTTAAAATTTATGTGGCTAACTTGGTTTTAAGCGGTCTGTGGACAAAGGAGGAGAAGTGGATGTATCAAAAGAATAAGTTTGTGGCATGTGCCTTATGGGCAACGTTCTTTACTTTTATTGGAATGGACAGAACTGAGCTGTAGTGGCGACCGCTGACCGCCTAACCCAGAAGTCCAGCGCACACGGGCCGATGGTTTTGTAAATTTATGGCATTGCAGCAGGCAGGTCGTTACCCATAAAACATTCGGACATACACAAAATCAACGTGAGAATGGCTAAAGCCATAACATTCACATGAGACGCCCGATGGGATGCTCGGCCAAGCGATTTGCTCGCCACAATGCGTCGCCGCTTGCCATGCACTTCAATAATGCGCCAAACATTTCGTATTGTTTGCTTACATCCATTCCCCTGCCCTGCTCTCCCACTTCTCCGGTCGTTCTCCGTCGACAAAACATTGTTTCATTCCATAAACCGCTAACTTTGGCGCATGCGAAAGCAGGCGGGCATAGCAGCATCGTCATCGCCATCGCTATCGTCATCGTTGGTGGTTGTTTCGCACTCACAGCTTTTTGTGCTGGCAACGTGTTCCGGTTTGCCATTCATTCTTTGCTTTGCTATTTTTTCTGTTTTGTTCATTCACGACCAGCCGGCGCGTGCTCCCGTCCTGGCCACGAACGCGCACACATTTCCGGCCTCAGCTTGAACCTGAGCCTCTGGATAAGTGCGTGTGTGTTGGCGATGGTGGTTGTTGTTGGTTAGTTTTCGATTTTATCGATTTTCATAAAGCAGCTTTTACTGCCTGCAGAGGGTTTCCCTGGCCCACAATGACGCTAACAAAGTTTGCCACAACTCTAATTAGAGGCCCGGCTGTAAAAATAGAGCTCGCTCCTTTGCATACCAATAAGCGAATCCCTTTCGCAATGCCCCAGAAAGTTAAACCTACTTGTACATGAAAACTCTACTTTCTAACAATAGTGGAAATTCTTTAAAATAAAAAAGAAACGAGTTTGTGTTAATTAAAACGCTTTCTTTATCATTTCTTTCTAAGTATTGCATTTCAAGATTATTAATGTTTACATTAATCGAATGCCTTATCTACATACAAACATAAATATGTGATTGTTAAGTTTATAGGGTATAATTTTAATAGAAATATTTATGTCTGTACTAGATATTTGTAATATCTGTTAAATATCAGGGGATGATTTCTGTGTCTACCTTGGTAAGGAAGTATCAATAGTAATTTCGTTGGAGGGTGGAATAAAATTTCAAGTTTAATGTAGGAAGCTGATTTATGCGTTTTACTACAATTCTGATGTGTGATGACGAACTTAAAAACCTATTATTTTATTTCGGCCTTTACATCGCAAATTATATTAATAATCTAAAAGTATTTCAAAGTTCTACTTCTGTGGGTACATACTGTAAGTTGAGCTCACAAGAAGACGACCTAGTTTCTTACAAACTGTGCCAGGTGTCGCAACTATAAGATACTGCACGACCCGACGACTTGATGCAAACTTTTTAATTACTAGGATCAAAACAATAAAAGTTTATTACGCGCAAACGCTTCCTTACCAGCAAAAAACTCCAAATAATATAGTAGAACTAATAAACTGAACTTGACGCTCAACTTTTCGTAGCTTCTAGCAACTGTCATACTCGTAAAACCCTAAAAGTGGAAGTTGGGATTTAATGTGCGGTAAAAGTTGCTGCTAATCCCAATGAAAAAATAAGTGGGGAAAATTAAATGAAACTAAAATCAGAGCGACAATAAAATAAGCAGGATGTGGCTGTTGCGCTTATATTGGATTTTGCAAAACTTTTATAAATACTGAACACTGCGATGCACTGGAACAGGACGGAGGACGGCTGAGCGGAGACTTTATGGAGCGACGCCACTAACATCGCGCCAGCCAACTGTGAAACATGGACAAATGTATCGCATGTGGCAGCAAAAACAGCAACAACGGCTATGCAAATGGCAAATCGATTTGGAATGCAATTGAAAAAGCTTGCCAGAGCTCCTCCTCCTATTCTGCCTCCGTCGTCCTTTTCCCTTGTCACACTGTTGCTCTCAGCTAATATTCAAATAAAATTTCGGTACGTTGAACCCGCAGGCTGACAAGCAGGTAGGCATGCCATGAATGCATTAAGCCCCTGGGCAAGATGCGAAATGCGGGAAAACAGGATGTAAGCACATAACAGTGCACACTACAGGAAGACAGGAAGATCAGAGTTGGAACTGGTGTGCGAGTACAGTAGATAGATAAACATAAACACAAACTAGGACAAACTAACACATGGGCCTAGCGGAGAGAAAAAACTAGTGTGAAAATCTGTTCAGGCAATGGCTGCCTTGGGGCTTTGCATAACACAGCTGAGCAGCTCTTAAGAGGGCCGAGAAGACCGGGCAATGGCAATGATAGTCGGTGTAAGCAACGGAAGAGAAGCCGAGCATAACAATGGAGGTGAGAAAAGTCGCAGTTGCACATAAATTCCATTCCGCTGACAAACTCACTAAGCATAAAGATTCTAGACACAAAATCTAGTGACATTTTCTCTGGACCATATAACACTAATAAAAGTTCAACTTGTTGCTGCTTCTGTTTCGTATTGAAAGTTCGGACGTTGGTCACGAATGCTGGTAGAAACATTTGTATCTTCCCATTTTTATTTTTAGTTACATCCCCAAAAATGATTGATAAATTTTGTTTTTTTTTCGGATTGAAGATCCATTTTTGTATAATATTAGTGAATTGGCTTCGTATATAATGCTAGAGTCGAGCGCGTCTAACTCTTAAGTAACCACAAACAAGTAAAAAAGCTAAAGTCGGGGTGTCCCGACTTTGAAATACTCTGTCAAAAAAATAAAACAAACTCGTATAGCGTACACCCATAAGGCATCTTTGTGCAAAATTTGGTGTCTCTACCTCTTATAGTCGCTGAGATCCAGGTGTTCATACGGACGGACAGACTGACAGACAGACAGGGCTAGATCGACTCGTCTAGTCGTGCTGATCAAGAATATATATATACTTTGTGGGGTCTGCCACGCCTCCTTCTGCCTGTTACATTTTCAGCTCCCGCAAACCTAATATACTCTTGTACATTTTATGTACAGAGTATAAAAAATATAAAAAATTGCCAGTGAGGGCAGTGCATAAAAAACCCAAACTTGTCCTTTATCGGACTTAGGACTTGACTTGGATATCACCCCTTATGCTTTTCCAGATCATTGCGTTCATACAGATCGACATGTCAATATTGATTCTTCTTATCGAACTGATCAGAATATGCTATCTGCCATGTCTTTTGTGAGTTATACGTACTATATAAACTCGCACTAAACCAATGTGCCCTTTTACCCTTTGAGATGGGCATAAAATAATTTATATAAACGTGTCCAATGCCATTTCCAAAAAATGGTCAGTGCCGAGGAAGACTTTTAATGCCTCAAAGACTCGAAACATTCTAAGCTACTCTTATCTTATCTAGGATAATGTTTATTAAATACTACCACAATCCAGACAGCACCATTAATATACAGTTGTAAAAGTCTAATTTTGGGTTCGAAAAGAGCTCTAAAAATTTGTGACCAGAAAGCCTTTGACTATTGTAGAAGACCGTTTCGCCATTTACTTAAAAATATTTCAATGAATCTTCATCGAATACAGAGCGAAATCTGTGTAATATTTTTTCTTCGTATTTCAAACCAGTGTGCTTAGAGGCGCAATTGCTCAGCTGGCGAAGTTATTCCCTGCTTGACAACTTCTGAATTCTGGGAAATCATAAAACAGCTTCATACGCACACACTTGATATTTTCTTCTACTTATATACATATTTCTCAGTGCGTGTATAATAAAGAGCGACGCGGCAATAAAATTAAAAAGTTAAACTTCAACTTGGTAAACAGAGTACCATATGGGGGCAGCCGCATAACAGAAATGGCTGCTTGGCCTGTTGGAGGCATTTTGCTTTTATTTCAGTATCCAGCAATCCCCTCCCCATGCCCACAGTGTGTATGTAGTTTAATACGCTCAATGAGCATTGTTTGGCTGTTTAGCTGGCGTGGCACAAATTACGAGCGCCGTTGTGCTCGGGGACAGAAGCTAGGAAATTGACAAGCATATTTCATGCGGCGCCTCAAGCTCCGAACTAGCTCTCAGGAAACATTGCCTGGCAACCCTAAACTTCTTCAGAGACTGACTGACTGATTCACTCATTTAATCTCATGCTGTGATTGTGTTGAGAGCGAAATCTTAGCACAGTCTTGTCTCTGTGTATGTATATATGTACATATATAGTACATGGGTGTCTCAAGTGCATTGCAGTGGAATTGTGTCTCTTGCCCCACGCAGTTGCGCCCCAAATTGTGAGAACTACTGTCCACGATTGCTGCTGCGTCAAGCTTACAGAACATTGCACTTTGCTGATTATTTTATATAGCTGCCATTTTGATGTCATTCCCCGCGCACGCTCTCCCAAGCATTGTTGATGACTGCGTCAAGTAATCAATTTGACATAGATTTCTAAATCAATGGGAATTGCTGTGTAAGAGAGCTGCGCCGAATTGTGTTTGTGCATTTTAATACGAGCCCTATTTCTTGGGCCAACTTCATTTGAAAATGGTTCTGCTTTTCATTTGTACAGTAATTTACCTCTCGCTAAATTGATGACGGGTGTCATTGATTTGATGACAATATTCAATCACGTTAATATTTAATAATATTTTCATTGATTCGATTCTTATTCTACAGTTAACGAACTAGAATGTCAAACTGCATCGTTATATTTCTGACCCTCATTCCCACTTTTTGATTTGCTTGCAGGATTTCTATTCATCGATATGCATCGAACAATTTTGCTATATCAGGAATTTCTCCAGATTTACATTTTAGGAGTTGATTTCGTACCCCGCAATATAGTATTAGATAGGATGGGAATCGAATATGTTAGAAATTCATTTAGAATGAAATTTGTATAATTTTCAGTAGTATTGATCACACAGTTTTGTGGAAAATATTCTTTATAAATGAGGTGCTAAGTCAAGATTCCTGTTCAGTAATACAAAAATACGTGAAGCTAAATCATTGTACATAAATATTGTTTTATTATTGTAATTTAAAGGTACAAAATCGAAGATCAATTCTCTGGTTTTATTCCTTAACTTATCAAGACCTAGCACCTTTAGAGCATTACAGGATCAAAAACAGCTTCCATGTGTCCACTTCCACTCTGATATCCACTGTATCACTAGTTTCCCTGCAGCGTTATTCAAATACGACGATATATCTAGGATATAAATACGTATATGTACATATGTAAAGTTACAATTTATTTAAATGTACACATTAAATGGTGCTGCAACGGGGTCTGTGAGAAAATAGCGTTCCCACATTTGCATGCGATCCGGCAGCAGTGGCGACGCGGGCAGCGTGAGTGATGTTGTAAAATACACAACATGCCAACCGAAAAATGTTCACATGTTACTTGCTGCTTGTTGCTGGTGTTGTTGTAGTTGTAGTTGCTACTGTATAGTTGTTGCAGTTGGTGCGAGTTTGTCTGTGCCATATAAATTGCATTTTTAGCCAACAAACATGTTGCATTTGGTTGCAGCTGCTTGTCCACGTTGTTGTTGTTGTTGTTGCCCTAATTGCATTTGCTCTAGGAACTGATATGCCGGCCGCCACATGCCTGCCTTCTTGACAGTATAGATCGTCATTGTAAAACAACCTGGCAAATATTTGTCAAACTTTGAACCATGTTTGCAGCGGAGTTGTTATCTTAGCTACTCGATCTAAAATAAATACTATACTTGTTCAAAATCGCGTACATACATATTTATGTATTAGGGGGTCTAGTCTAGCTGAAGGAAAGAAAAGAATTTCATGTAGTCGCAACTGAGGCACCGTTAACCTTTCTGCTTGTGCCCCATGGAAACCGAAAGTGTTACATTCTAGTTGTGCTTCGTCGTCTTCCCTTTTGTATTTGGCGCTGCTTTATATCTTGAGCTTCTGGCCCCTGGCCCCTAGCTCACGTTATAAATACCAAGTGTTTTCGCTGACATCCTGCACCTCGTTTGATTTTGTAAGCAGGTCACGTGAGCATTTAGACAGCAATGTACAGAACCTGAAGACATTGGGCGCGACCAAAGGCGAAGGAGGAAGTCTCTTGTCTGTTTGTCTATTTGTCATTCAGTCAGTCAGCTAGACGACAGTAAAAATATGATTCTACTGCCTCTTACTTTTTCGCTTTTCAACGCGTGCTTGTTTGCTTTATTTTTGCTTGTGAACAAAATAAATGTATAAAAAAATTTGCATGGTTTTTTTGTTTTTGTATTATTTTTTTTTATCGTTTTGTTTGCAATTGTTTCAACGTGTCTAAAATATTTTACCCATACGCCGGCGCTTTGTCTCTCGTCTCTAGCCTCTCTCACATACCGGGTTGTTTGTTTTGCTTGCGTTTTTGTTTTTACTCATATTCGTTGGCGTTGCCGCTGCTATAGCTACATGCTTCTGTATATCAACATATGTATGTATGTATATAGATGTATGTACGTATAAATGCATGTATGTATGTCGCATATAAAAATTAAGTTGATGTGCTCTGTGTACATACATACATACGTACATTTAAATCAATATTTGTCCCTCGTCGCTGTCATTTTTTTGACTCTTTTTTCATTTTTCTATTTAGCTAGTGTGTATGACTATTGCGCCCATGCTTATCAGTTTTTTTTATATATTTTTTTGGTTTTTTTTTTTTTTGTGTGAACGATATTGATATTGGGCTCCATGCCCAGCTAACAATAAACATTTTCGTTCCGCTCTTTCCAGCTCAATTCTAAGCTGGAAGTTATCTGCCATCGTTTTCCACCCAACCGCACAAATAAGTGCAGCCACAGGTAAAAATTAAATGTCTATTAGTGATATCTATTGCATAAATCATCTAGATAACCAATCTCATCACTTAACGCATTTCAATACATATAAATGTATATCAAGAACTAATCCACATATCTGATTTATTCCCCAAACTTGATATTCAGTTTTAGTGATACAAGTAGTGTATTGGCATAATGAAATAGTCTGTATAATAATCATCCTGATTTTCTTCTCATATATTTGCCTATAACATAAACGCCTTCTTGTGTACTTGTATGTTACATTCATTCAACATTCGTAATACGGCCTTAAGGTTGGGATATGTAGATTAAAAAAGGAATAATATTTAAAATTCTTAAAATTTAAATATCTTTACATCTCCCATTTATTGTCTAAACAGTTTTCAAAAATGTCCAGAAACTTTTAAAGCTTCAATTTTGTCGTGTGAAAATATAGTTTTATACCTACATACGTACATATATACACAAAATACATTAATAATTAAATTCTCACAGACTTAGTTATCTTGAGAACTCAGTTTAGACAGTTGTTATTTTAAAAAAATGTTCTCTGTCAGCGATTGCCGTTTTCTGTCGCTTGTTCCACTTGTTCTACCTTGGCCGCAGCAGCATCTTTCCCTTACACTTTGGTTATCAAGGTATTCTGTCTTTCCAACTATCATACTTCTGCCATTTTCTGTCGCACTGTTTATGTGCACCAAAGGCAAAAAGCGAACCCCGCAAGCATTTCCCCCTCCATTTTGTGTAGTCTGCCAGCTGATATCTACTCCTCTCTTCTCTCGCGCCCCTGGGCCCAATTCAAAACTTGACAAAGCGACCAACTAACGACAGCAGCAGCAAACGGTTGTCGTACTGCTCCAACAGAGTAGAGTGTCTTATGTGCTCCAGTTCTTGAAGTAGATTTGAAAACTAGTTTTTTCGGGCAATTGCTTGGCCCATAATGTGCAGAACAGATCTACACATAGCAATACGACGACGTTGATCATTTACAGTGGGTATAATAAACATAAATCAGACATAAATGGGTGCATTCATTTGCACCTGTGTGTACACTTAATATTATTGATACTTTCCATTGGTTACTTGACTGGGAGTTTATTTGCACTATGGTAAAAGGTCTGTCCACGGAGGAAGAAATCTATAAAAACCTATTGACGACGTTAAAGGCCCGGTTTATTCAGGTTCTTGTGCATTTAAATATTTTGTTTTCAACTTGTTTATCTTATATGCTATTGTGCCAAGATAGAAGTAGAAAGTATAGTATAATCGCAAAATGTATGTAATAGGCAAGGAGCCGTGACAATCTCAGACGCATGAATGAATGTAGTCTTGTTTGTATTTGGATTCCATTTAAGTTCACTCACGTAAGTTTTTTATAATAAGGTATTTTTTATGCGCAGCTTCATAAATGTAGTTTAAGAATTGTAGATAAAATTTAGGCACAATCTCTGTATAGTTATTGGAAACATTTGAATATATTATATTATTTCTTCTTAAAAATGCCCCCATTGAAACATTTTTAGCTTAATTTGTTGTGTATTTTTACGCTTAGTCGTTTACCAATTCAACAAGGAATACAAAACTCTTGTTATTTAACAGAAACAAAAATTGTTGTTATCTGTTTCAAAATATTTGTACTTGTATCCGAATATATGTATAACCGTCTGCAATGACCTATTGGCTTTTTTAAATGCAGCACTGTCCCACTTTGCAGAATTAAAATTATGTTTGTAGATTATTTTAAGTTACAGTTTCGTTTAAACATTTCCAAACTAGTTGCAAACCAATTTAAAAGTAATCCAAATGTGTGACCTCTTCTGTAAGTTAACACACAAATCTACTAGTATGTCTGTTTCGTCTCCTTTCTTAAGGTCTCCAATCACTGCAACAGGGGAAGCCCGTGAAGGTTGTGTTATGTTTTGATAGGCTATGCGCAAGTTCAACCCTCCAATGTCGACTACGACGACAAACCCTTGGCACGTCTCAGCTTTCATGACTAATTATATGGGAACGCTAGTCAGGGCGCTGTAAGGCGAGAAGGTTAAGCACTCATGCACATTGAATTATGGGAATTATTTTTTAATATTTTCCTTTTCTACAAACATTTAGCAGTTGTTCTGCTTTGTGCACATGCGGGTGCATTGCTGTAACCAGGAGGGAGGGTGCGTAGGGCGCTGAATACTGAACTATAGACAACTCCCTACACTTACTATTAAGACTGACCCTCTTGCTTGCCTCTGTCTGTCTGTCTTAATGAAGCTTATGGCTTGGCGTGCTCTTTGAATTTTCGGTGCCTGTGAGAAGCCCCAAAAATGGCTCGCAACAGCGGTAACAACAGCAACAACCAATCGCTGCCATGTTGCATGCGCCGGAGTGCCGTTATTTGGTTTCATGCATAAAATAACTGCACATAAATGCAGACTGCAAGTCCCGCAGTTGCCGCTGCCGTCGCCCGCATAAATGTTAAAAATTTAATGAAATCGCAAGAGGACGTGGAAAATGGAAAGGAACGCAATGGTGGCCAGGCAGTAGGGCAAGGAAAGGCATCCTTCTGCCTTCAACGTGCCATGCAACGTCGCTTCTGATAAAATGCAATTTTTCGCTGCTAGTTTTTAAGCGCAGTACACACACACACACACACAAACACACCGTGCTTAAATATTTGTTGGTCTGTAGTTTAATAAATGTAAAAGGCTTAAGTTTATAAAATTGTGCCCCCTGAAGTGTCGCGTTGGCAAAGCGTGTAGCAAGCTGTTGCATAAATCAACGCCGCCTGTTACCTTTCAGGTGCGTATATATGTATGTATATGTGTGTGTGTATTGTTGATAACTCAACGCTAAGCGCGCCCTGAAACTATGTCAAGCACCCCCCACACGCACACACTGGCAAACACTTTCTCACAGACACAGTCGAGCAGCTACCATCATGCTCTAAAAAATATTTGTTTAAACTTGCACCCATGCCGCCCCAACTACACCCCCCACTTCCACGCCCTCATGGTCTGTGGTGTTGATAAGCGCACTTTGCGTTTGGCACTTCAGAGCGACGTGTAATCACAACTCAAATGGGTGTATAGCTGCATATTGTTCAAGTACGCAGCAAGCGGGCCCTCTATTAGGGCAGTCGTTGCTGGAGTGGCGACACGTAATATATAATAGTCGCCAGGCAGGTGCATCTTCTGGCGCCCACTTATTAGCCAACCTGTCGATTTCACGAACTAATTACAGTTGAATTTCTCTTCAACAAACTTGTCTTTTACATCAAACCTGTTTTTTGTTGCGTACGAATTCCGTTGGATTGTTTTTGTCAGTTTTGTCCTAAAATGAACAATCAATATTATAATTATTTTTTTTTTTCTTTCTTTTTTAAGTTATGATTATAAATTACTTTTTAAATTAAGCGTTTCCGGCAAAATACATGAATTTCTAAGTCGAGCATTATGTGCCTTTTTTCCCAGTTTTTTCGTGTATGAGTCGCCAAAGCCATTTGTGTGAAGCTGTCTGAGTGTTATCCTGTTTCTGTTTTTCTTTTTTCGTTGTCGCAGACGGCAGCACCAATAAAAGTGATAAAAAAAAAGTTGAATACTTCAGCCTGCATCCTGCACGAAGGCAGGGCAGTAGGTGTAAGGCATACCCACATATACAATTTGTAATCTTTTAAAACGAAGCTGTACAGTTTTTGTTTCTGTTGTCATGCGGCGAAATGCCGCATTGTCGCTGTCAGGATATACTCTAGACTCTAGAGTATTAGTGCAGCAACCCAACAATACAATATAGTTTGGAAAGAAAAGTGATCTTATACGGAAATTCGTCAAATTAAAGAAACCACAATAAGGTCTCTTTAGCCAAATATTATTGATGTATATATTTTACACGGTCTTTTTCTTACACGATTTAGATATAACACGGTTTGAAAATTAAAAATTGCAAATAGATTTGTTTAGAAATAAGGAACGAAATCTTAATGAAGCAATTTACTCCGTATGCTAAGTGTTAATAAAGCTATCTAACAACAACAATTATTTGTATGATCTTTATTCGCTATCTGCTTACTAAAATGTTCTGCATGCGAGAGAGGCGATGTATATTTTAAACTGAAGCATACTTAGTATTTGTTTTAAAGATATTGCACAAGGTTTTAATACATGTATTTGTGACTTTACAAAAAACAGTCCATTAAAGCCATAACAGGTGGACTCAGAAGTAAATTCATTTATGTATATTATTTATTTTTCATAACTATTCTTCTGAACGCTTGTAAGCCTTATACCTTACCATTTCACTGTTCTAATTAATCAGTATATAAAAAAGAGAGAAATATAAGGAAAATGTTTAATGATTAAAAATGTACATAATGGCTTGCTATATTATATTTCCGACCACATTTTTGTTAATCGCTAAGCTCTCAAAGATTTCAAAACCGATGCGTTGTATTCACATATAAAATTTTGTAATCTATGTTAAAAACAATCATTTTATTTTAACACGTTTGACAGCGTCTACGCAAATGTGATCAATGATAATCAATGAGCGCTGACTGAAGATTAATAAGTTGTTTTGAAATGGTCCAGCATATTTTAAAGATTAAGCGTACATTTGAGTTATTCGTTTGGTACATTTGTATTTCGATGAATTTAATTTTGCACTAAACAAAAAGCTTTCGTCTCTCTAACTGTGACTGTGATCGAACGTTGATGGAAACGAAGTACTGCAAGGGTATGAACGGTTCGGCTAGACAACGACTGCATTTATTTTTCATTCATAATTTTCAGGGGGTTGTTTGCACCTGATTGCAACGAGAAGTTGGTGTCAGTTGGGGGGCCTTGTCGTTGTCGTGCTGTAGCATTTGTTGTGCTGTGTGCATTTCTACTTGTCGCCACATGCCGTCGTTCCCTGTCGGTCTCCTTCGTGGCGACTCCTTGACGCTTGTTAGCAATGTCTGCACATGTGCGCCTGCATCGGACGGGTGTGAGTGTGTGAGTGTGTCTGCGTGCATGAGG